AGGGCCGGTGCACGCAGTTGCAAAAGATGCGCCTGACAGGCGCCGCCTGCAGACTGGTGTCGCAGCAGCATAGCCCGGTCATGAGCGCGCCCGCAGATACCATACCGCCGGAGACGCGGACCAAACCGCATCATGAGCGCATGGTCGTGGTAGCTGTGGCGCTGGGCATGCCACCCCCCACCCCTCCCTCTTCCTCCCAGCGGGGAGAAGATGCCACGCAGACGCGCTGGCAAGCGCGTGAGCGCAACAGTAAACATAGCATGAAATTGGGATCATTTAAATTGCAGATCCTTGAGATCTGTGAAGACGATTCGCTGAATGACTAGCCCGACTACGGTGTCAGACACGCATCTACAGAATCTCTGACCGGGAACGTGGTTTTGCTTTTCTAAGACTCAATAAACTGTAAGGACAAACTAACCACACAACTTGTACCTTGTAGGACGTTTAGAAAGATTATAAATGAACTTCTGCTGTATGATCTTTTATAATGTTTATATTTGCGACGGCTGGTGGAAGCAGAGGAAGAAATGACTCGAGCGAAGATCCACGGAAGATGGGTCGAGGAGTCGTGTGGCGCGGTATTGGGCGGGGGCGGCTACGAGTCTTGTGGAAGACTCGAGCCGAAGTTGGTAAATTGGAAAGTGAGATTGAAATAGTTAGTTGTTTGTCGGCTACGAGATACCTCATGGAGGTAGTCCCTAGTTACCCTACGTAGTTATATGCATTTCACTATACTAGATTCTCCGTAGTTCTTGATACTGAATCTTGAAGGTAGTCGAGGACGCGGTTCACCTGAACCGGTCTAGCGTCGACCTTCTATGGTAATTTCAAATGAAAAGAATGAAGGCCATGGCCGCGCACTCTTTAATTTGCTCTTCCAAACATAGCGATTATCTTCGACTACGCATGTGCCTGTCGGGTAGCATAGTGGTAGATAATGCAACGAGTTGCACTAGACGCATCCTAGCCGAGGGCCGTGACGCTGGTGCGCCGTTACAATATTGGATATAATATATCTACTCTTACGCCTGATAAACGGCCCACTTAACCCCTTGGTTCCCAACGTCGTAAGTTACGACTTTGCCGAATCTCAATGTCGTACAATACGACATAGCTCGATTAACAATAGCATTTGGCTCGAAACGAGATTGCTATACTTTAATCAAGTTTATTTTCGTCGGCGAAAGTATAAGCAAGAGAGGTAAAAATCAGAATTGCACAAAAACACGGATATAGAGCTGTCATCAGAGATGGGTTGTGCATAAGCCGGGGGCGGCTAATGGGGCATTTTGTATAGAGACAGACGAACATCCCCTTTTAAGGTTTGCGCGAGTGCCCACCTTCAAACAAACACAACAGCGACCTTGAAGGGGAGAGTACGGCGTATGCGGCTGTCAAGAGCTCCCACGAGCTCGTAGAATAGCTTCTAAACGCCCGAACACACAATAAACAAGTAAACGATAAAAACCATGAATGGAATGGCGCCTAAATAACTCTCCAAGGGCTGTTGCTGCTATTTCCTCGAGTTTAGGTGCCGAATATACAAAGTAAGTATAACCGGAAGTAGACTATGTCTGCCGAGACTTCTAACACGAAGAAATATTTATTTGCAGCCTTATAACAACTGTACGGTGTAGCTGGTTTTGGCAGCGACAGTGTTGCAGGGTATTTCGCGCCACGTAAATGCCGGATTGGAAGCAAGGGCATGGAGTAGTGAGTAAATAACCTTGATCGTGCGTATATTCGACAATGACCTCTCCCAATAACTAAACTAAGATGACGAGAGTATCCTACTACTAACCAACTTAAGCACGACGTATACTTCGGTATCGCCGGGAACGACGGAGGTCTGGCTCGTACGCGCGTCAATCTGACCATAACGCCTTATTTGTGCGTATAGAGATCCTCTTCGGCTGTTTTGACAGTCTCCGTGTACGAGGCGATTTCTATAGTACGCTAAGCCCGAGTGCCGCTACCGGTGCGGCCACCCTCGAGAGCAGCATCAATATACCTGCTTCGAATTAGAATAACCGTGGTAGGCTTCAAGTTTTTCTAGGAACGGTAAAACGAAGCAATTTCGGCATTGCTTCAGTGTTCCGGATTGAGAAAAGCCGTCGGTGTAGGCCGTTGCCTCGGCAACAACACTCTATAGAAATGGGCGAGCTGTGGGCATATATCGTAAAGCTGACAAACAAAGCGAAGAAGTGAAGCTGGTTCTACGGTTATAGAACCGCTTTAGCACTGACATACAAAGTAAGTCAGCACTCCAAGTACCCCTAGTGATTACCCATTTTTCTTGAATGGGATACGGTTCCCCATTACCTGACCTGTGCATAAGTGAGAGGGAAAATGTTTTGATTGGCTATATATAGATGATTTGGTGATTACAACCTCGCAGTCATCTATCAACACCGCGAAAGATGGATGTTTTGTGCAGTTCACCAATCCTATTGATCCACCATCTGGGATTAGTATGCACTCGATCTACGTTCAATGTCGTAAGTTCCGGCGTGCTTCGCGTCGTTTTCGACTCTTATGTCGTACGTTCCCCCCATAGATCTCTACAATCTAATATGTCTGATGGGGCTTCTCTTGTTGCGGACAGGGCGCGCCAATACAAACTCGTAGTTACTTTTTTCGTCGTAAGTTACGACGTACAGTACCGTAGATTACGTGTTTCGGTGCCTAAATCCCGGGACCCAAGGGGTTAACAAGCTGGGCAGCGGTATAACTTGCAACCACTCAAGATCCACCCCGCAACAGCCTTTAACATACCCTCTAGTGTCTGGGCAGTTGGCATATGCCTTGCTGTGCACCTACACGAACCATGGGAGACATTTGCGTAATTCTGCTTGTTTTTTATGAGCTATGTGCCTACCCTCACCTCTTTCTATTATTTTCATGCTTTCCTTTTCCTATATACACGCCCGGTCAAAATTATACGAACGCGGCTGCTCCAAGCCCTCATAACTAAGTCAATTCTTATCATTTTAATGTGCGATTTGGACAGAGGCTAGAACACATGTTGGGAAAGACATAACATGCACTCGCGTTTTTACACTCTAAATGGCAGCTTGCATACATAACACAATTTTGCCAAGTGACCAAAAATAGGAACATACAAAATCCTATACTAAACGCATACCCGTCCAAGAGATTTGAGTTGGGATTTGTATTTTTCAGACGGACACGTTCGCTTATGCGTGAGTCGGTCCGTAGCTTGCGCAAGAAACGCTGGGCGGTGTCGTTTGTGACTGAGCTTTGAATCCGAGTGATTGCAACGGTGCACAGGTACCTATTGATCTCAATCAGGAAGCGCGTCCTGACGACCGTCGTGCGACTTGATAATGAAGGACAGGCCTCTACCAAGAACACACCCAGGTTAAGCTATTTTCATTCGTTTTCGTATACCTTGGGCTCGTACTTCTGCTTCTAGCTGGCCTTCAGTCAGGATAGCCCAGTTCTCCCTCGGCTGGATGTTCATGCCAAGTAGAGTTTCATTCAGGGCCATTCGGGTTGTCGGCGCTTCATCGATGAAGTAGTGTGGTTGCCCGACTCTAGGTATGGGTCGCCGCACGGTGAGCGTCGCATCACCATTGGTCCGTAGAGTGACGGACACCTGCGCGAGTTCTTGACGATCGCGGATCAGGTCATGAAGGTGGTAGCGCCGACCGAGTTGGCCACCCAGGCTGTCATGATGCAGCATGTCTGCTGCTGGCACCCACGCAAGCGGGTACGCCAGCAACAGACATGCTCAAGGAAGACGTACCTGGTGGCTAGGAAGGCAGGCGTCGCAGCACCGCCTCCTCCTCCGCCACAAGTAGCTTGCGCGCAGCGTCGCTTGAAGGCTGGCGCCAGGCTTGCGCAAGACTGCCTGGCGCCCGGAATCCAGAACTCTACCTGCACAAGTATACAAACATGCATATATAGGATTACGAAAACAGAAAACACTTGCATTTAGTATAGATTAGCTCAGCTTCTAGAACGACACTAAGGAGAAAGCAAGAGGAAGACCTAGAGCCCGTAGCTAGCCCGAAGACTTAAAGCCATCAGTCTCACTTTGCATTTTACCCAAAAGCAAGCAAGCAACCACAACAACTCCACGCACTTTCGCTACGGCAGGCCCCACCGCATCGGAGCCTGTCATTTGGTAGCACTTGTTGATCTCCTCGCAACCGCGCTTCGCTCAACCTCAGGGAGGTCTTCGGGCACCGGCTGGGTATTCGCTTTTGACCGCGCTTCGCTCAACCTCGGAGAGGGCTACGGGCACCGGTGATTGGCTGTAATTCGGACCCACCAGACATCTGTCAAGGGAACGTCGGCATAAGTACGAGGCACCAGTTGTAGCGGCGCACCCGATCCAGTCCGGCTTTCGAGTTCGGCGGTTAGGGGTAGTGCAGTCCGCTCTGAGTTGCCCGGGCCGCTTCTTTGATTGGATGGCTGGACGTAGGGGTCGTCGCGTTGACAACGCTGTTCCCGACGGGTCTTTTGAGAGGCTGGGTGTAATCGACGCCACCGACATCGACAAGTTGCGCACCGATTGCTACCGTCAAATCCAGCACGCGGTGCGAACGACCGAACGGCTGCTGAGAGATCTTGCTGAGGTCAAGCCACTGACTTCGGAGGAAAGAGACCAGAAAAAGGCGGTCATCCACCAGCTCTGTCGCGTCCAGCGTAAACTCGGCAAGGCGACCGGCCTCATCAACCTCGGTGTAGCCAGGATTTTGGACCCTCGTACCACCCGTCAGCAACTCGAGCACGACAACCGTCTCCGTGACCGCGAGGAAGCCCGCCGCCAGCGTAACCTAGCAACTGTAAGGGAGCTGATTAACTCGTCTAGCGAGCAGTAAAGACGTTTTAGTCGCTTTTTTACGGCAATTTATCGTAGTGTGTGAAAACGAATACCTTCGCGGGTATAACGTTTTAGAGGGAATCAGCTTTGTTACTAGTTAGACGTTTGGGTTAAGGCTTCCGCGTGTGAAAGGAGGGCGAACAAGATGGCGGACGTCTCGGAGCTCATGCAAGGAGTGCTGCAGCTGATGCAGCAGCAACAAGAGATGATGAGAGTAATGAACGAGCAACGAGGAATGAATGACTTCAAGTTGGATGGGATTAGACTACCCAAGTACACGGGGCATGAGTCTGAGTCGTTCTGCCTGTATCAAGAAGAGCTGTCGCAGTACTTTGAGGCCCGCAACATTGACTGGAAGAACGAGCGTTGGCCGACGAGGGTACTGGCCATTATCGGGAGCACGTTGAAGGGGCAGGCTGGTCAGTGGTATCTGGCGCGGAAGCATGAGATCTACTCTGCGGAGCAGTTACTCCGAGAGTTGGTACGCGCGTTTGTTCCGGCGGATCTTCAGTTGCGGCTGCGTGAGCAGTTGCGACACCTGAGCCAGAAATCTTGCAAGTCGTTGGGTGATTACGTTTCACGGTTTCGCAACATTGTACTACCAGTGGAACACATGACGGAGATCGACAAAGTGGTGTACTTCTCGCAAGTGTTGATGCCAAATACGCGTCAAGAAGTACTGTACAAGCGTTGTGAAACCCTTACGGATGCCATTACGGTAGCGATGGACTATGAGCGCTCGCACTTCGGTGCTCCGGCGCGCACGGGACGTCGCGACCGTGATCACCCACGATTCCGCAGAAACGAGTCGACTTCAAGATCAAATGGCCCTGAGCCAATGGAGATCGACAATGCGCAAGAGCTCAGTCCAGAAGAGTGCCGTCGGCAGAGAAAATGTTACAACTGCTTCCGTGGTGGTCACATTGCAGCCCACTACAAGGCTCCTCGTCGGAACCAGCGCCCCTACAGAGGTCCGAATCAGCGTCAACGAGACTCGCAGCACGTCAATGCTGTGGAGCAACACGTCAGCGAGGGTGAAGAAAGAATCGCGTACGATCAGTACACTGTGGATGCGTTTGAGGAAGTCAGCATGCATGACATGGTTGCTTGACCGGATAATGAGCTCATGCGCAAACCCGGGAGAATCGAAAGGCGCCCAGTAACGATACTGCTTGACTGTGGTGTTAAATCTGGTACGGCCAGGAATGGTGTCGAAGGTGACAGGAACTAAGGATGTACAGGGGAAGGGCTTCGATGGAGAGATCAAGGAGTATCACGATGTGAAGGTAGTGGAAGCGGACATCAGCATGGAAGACAAGACGTTCGAGAGGATGCGTCTAGCAGAGAGTCTACTGGCGATTGAACATGACGTTATCTTGGGTAAGCCGTGGTTTACCACATATCAGCCAACAATCAACTGGCGAACGCATGAAGTAGTATTTCCGAGCATGGAAGAGAGACCACGGCCCAAGACGGACAAGAACGCAAACAAGATGGAAGACCAGAAAGAATGTGAGAAAGGCGCCGTCACAATGGACCCGAGCGAAATTGAAGAGTCGGAGTCGGCAGAAGAGCAACGAAAGAAAGCGGAAAAGGAAGCAGTTCGCGCACGTCATCGGTCACATCTCGCCTTGGCTGAGGGCATGGCGTAATGGCGTCTTTGGGTCCACGAAGAAGTTTCGTCGTCGTATGCAGGACAGGGAGTTTGCGGAGCTGTTCTTCGTCAAGGTCTGTGTAGCAGTGGAATCTGACAATGTACCAGACTACATTAAACCTTTGCTGGACAAGTTTGGTGATGTCTTCCCAGAAAGTTGCCAGATGGCCTACCTCCCGAGCGCATCGTCGAGTTCGACATGGAGATGAAGCCTAACGCCGCTTCTAGCACCCGAGCACCGTTTCGACTGTCTAAAACGGAGCAAGAAGCATTGGAAAAGTTCGTCGCGGAAAACATGAACAAAGGGTGGATAGAAGTCTCCAATTCACCCTGGGTCTCCAATATCTTCGGTGTTCCTAAGAAAGATCCTGCGACTGGTCAAATCCCGAAGCGGGCAGAATGGCTGCGATCCGGGAATAGTTCCATTCCGATTCGTTGGGTCATCGACTTCCGCTATGTCAACAGTCAGACGAAGATCCCGAAGATTCCATTACCGCTAATCGAGGAAATCTTTGACAAGATGGTCGGCTGCACAGTGTTTTCGGTTCTGGACCTGGCCCAAGGTTACCACCAGATGCGGGTCAAGCCGCGTCTTTCGGGTATGCCTGGGGTTTGGTCACGACTGATGCGCGTCCTGTTTGACAAGTTCGACTTCGTCGTGGTCTATTTGGACGATATCTGCGTCTTTTCCAAGATCAAAGAAGAGCATCTCAATGTTGTGGCCGACGCCATATCCCGTCCAAGTCAGCTCCCGGCGACTGATTCCGACGATGAAGTTACAGACAAGCCCGAGCCTTGGAAGTTACCAGCAGTTCATGATTGTTCGTCATTCTGTACGCATCAGGCTTCGAGGCTTCGACGTCACAGTGCCCACGCAGCAATGCTTCGCTTGCTTCCGTCCGACGACCGCTGTCTTCTTCTCGATGATCTGGACTTGCGGGGGGGGGAGAGTCGCCCTTTTGGGGTTCAGCAAGAAGTCAATGTTCACGTGGAACAAGTCCAGAACGTCGAGTACTCGACATCCAGCGTGAATTTAAGCGAAGATCAGAAGAAGAAGTTCCAAGCTGGATACAAGCGAGACCCCGCGTTCAAAGAAGCATGGAACCGACCGAGCAAATCTGCAGACTTCGTTAAATCGAATGGGCTCCTGTACAAGTGTTCGGATCATTCAGTCATGAGGCTGTGTGTCCCCAATAACGCTCAGCTGATCACGAACATCTTGCAAGAATTCCATGATGCACATACGGCAGCTCATCCTGGAATCCGTCGAACGCAGTTGAGGGTTGCTCAGTGGTACTTCTGGCCCACGTTGGAGAAGGACACGAAGGAATACGTGGCAAGCTGTGGGACGTGTGCTAGAGGGAAAGTAAGTACCGCACACAAGAAAGGCACTATGATGCCAATTCCAGTTCCGAGTGAGCGCTGGGAAGTAGTGACTATGGACTTCGTGACAGGGCTACCTGTTTCTAATGGCTTCGATGCAATCATGACAGTGGTGGACAAACTGTCCAAGCGACCCAAGTATATTCCGATACATACGACGGCAGATGCCCCGGAGGTTGCACGAATCTTCTTTGAAGGAGTCGTTCGTCATCACGGTCTGCCGAAGGTGATCATCAGTGATCGAGACCCCAAGTTCACATTGAAGTTTTGGAAGTCGCTCATGGATATCATGGGGGTCAAGTTGTCGCTCACCACGGCATATCGAGCCCAAGCGGATGGACAGACTGAGCGTCAGAACCTTGTCTTGGAAGATGCATTACGGTGCATGGTGTCCTATCATGGTCGAGACTGGGCTACGCATTTGGGAACAATCGAGTACGTACATGCGACGCTGGAGAGCTCCTCGACAACGCTCACGCCGTTCGAAGTGGACACAGGACGCAAGGTCAGGAACTTGGTATCCCAGATCACATCTGGTGAAGTTCGTGATGAAGATGTCCCGCTAGTTGATTTTGCGCAGAAGTTTGCTCAAGAACGCAAGAAGATCATTGAATTGGCGCGCAAGAATCTCCTGGCAGCTCAAGAACGTCAAAAGAAGTACTACGACAGGAAGCGCCGAGACGTGGAGTTCAAGGAAGGAGACCTTGTCCTGCTGGACACGCGTAACTTGCCACTCAAGCGCATCACGGCTAACACGGAGCTCAACCGTGAGAAGTTAGCGATGAGATACATCGGCCCATTCGAAATCGAGAAGATGATCAACTCCAACGTAGCACGGCTCAAGTTACCAAGCCACATGAGTCGCCTTCAGCCGAGTTTCAATGTGGCGTTCCTCAAACATGACGTTCCGAACCCTCAACGCTTCGCGTCACGACCTTTGCCTAAGTCTGCACCAGTACTCCTCGACGATGACACCGACGAAGAACTACATTTCCCAGAAGCTTTGCTCCAGTAGAAACAGCGCAACACCAAACGGCTTTGGCTGGTCAAGTGGCACGGACTTCCCGATTCTGAAAACACTTGGGAGTACGAGGTCAAGCTCAAACGTGTATCGCATTGGCGTGACCTTCTTCACAAGTTCCGTCAACAGCGCCAACGCGATTAAAAGTCCGGGGGGATGTCATGATGCAGCATGTCTGCTGCTGGCACCCACGCAAGCGGGTACGCCAGCAACAGACATGCTCAAGGAAGACGTACCTGGTGGCTAGGAAGGCAGGCGTCGCAGCGCCGCCTCCTCCTCCGCCACAAGTAGCTTGCGCGCAGCGTCGCTTGAAGGCTGGCGCCAGGCTTGCGCAAGACTGCCTGGCGCCCGGAATCCAGAACTCTACCTGCACAAGTATACAAACATGCATATATAGGATTACGAAAACAGAAAACACTTGCATTTAGTATAGATTAGCTCAGCTTCTAGAACGACACTAAGGAGAAAGCAAGAGGAAGACCTAGAGCCCGTAGCTAGCCCGAAGACTTAAAGCCATCAGTCTCACTTTGCATTTTACCCAAAAGCAAGCAAGCAACCACAACAACTCCACGCACTTTCGCTACGGCAGGCCCCACCGCATCGGAGCCTGACATAGGCAGACCTTAATTCCAATGCTTAGGGCGCTCTTCCCTACGCCATTATCTCCAGTTATGAAATTTAGGTGCGGGTTCATCTGCAGGTGCAGGTCGCGGCAGCACAGGAAGTTCTGGAGGTGCACCTCTGCGATCGTGCCAGCCATCCGGTCCAATCTGCTGCTGCTGAGTTTGCTGGCGTGAATTAGACGTTGGTTCTTCCCAGCAAATATGGAAATGAGAGATGTGGAAGCTTTCGGTGCGTGCTGAATGCCGCCAAATGAGGAATTCTAAGATTTTTGACCACGCAACTTTCAACTTGAAGCCGTTGGTAGTTGGCACGGGGAGTCGTTCGACATGCGGTACACTCACCAGGGGGTTAGCCACTCCAAGAAATTTGTGGTTCCAACCACGGGTGCGTCTACCAACCGCATCACCTGAATCTAGGAGGTTAAGATTAAGGCTCGAAAGAGAAGCGAGTGCGGGATGTAGAAGACCAAAGGGGTCAGCTATCAAGATGAATGCCTTTGGCGCACCTCGTACTTTGAACAGTACAAGAAGAGCAAGACTAGCGAGTACTTTCACGACCTGTTGGTCGCTAATAAGCGTCACTATCAGTTGTATAATGAGCACATTGTATTAGTATACATGGAGGTTTTTTGTATCCGGTTATATATGGTGTGGCTCCTTTACTTCGTGACTTCAAATGGAAGAGGCGCCAATTGTTGACCCTGTAAGAACTACATCATGGAAGAGGCGCCAATTGTTGACCCTGTAAGAACATCTACATCAGCCACTTGTCTTTCAAAGCGATGGAATTATAAAACAAGAAATGCACTAAAACTGTAAAGTGCTGCTTTCCAAAACTTTAGGAAACTAAAGTGAAACAGCCTGAAACAAAAGCAAATATCTAAAAACACTCAAATAAGCCGCCACGTACTGAAAAATTTAAGAATCATTCTTGAATAATGCACTAGATTAGTGCAATTGGATTTTGATTTGTCATTTACTTGGATGTTGTTGTGATTTTTGCGTCGATCGACCTCTGTTTTGTTGTGTCCGCTGCAGCGACACCTTTTTGTAGCGCCAAAGGATTCCTACCCCGCGAGAGCTGATGCCGATACAACGCGGCGGTGGACCGGGCTCGAAATCAGCCGAGACCTTTGCCAATTCGAATAGGATTCTTTTCCATACGAAACACTTTATACAAGTTACTGCGTAGTGGACTAACTTTCTGAGCAGTCTTTTTTGGCGAGAAACTGTACCAACGGGGCGACGCCCCCTCTCTAAACGTGCGCGATGGTGTCCTTCCCGCTGCGCCGGGAGCTCAAGTTCGCGCTGATCGTGGCCGCGCAGCTGCTGCTCTTCGGCCTCTTTCTGCTCTACGCGCCAGCGCATGACGGCGGCCTGCTGAGTAGCCGCGTGCCGCCGCCCAACGCGCTGCGCCGCTGCATCTCCAGCGCGCACCGCGACCTGCGCTACGTGAGACCGGGCGTGTGCGTCACGTCGGAGCAGCGGCTGCGCGCGCTGGAGGACCTCGTGTACGCGCTCAAGGTGATGCTGGAGAACGCCAAGGTGGCGTACTGGATCGACAGCGGCACCTTATTAGGGGTCTACAGGGCTCGACAGCTCGTTCCGTGGGACTACAACGCCGATATGGGGGTCACCATGCCCGGACTCGAGTACCTCCGCACCATCAACAAGGAGGAGCTTGAGGTGCCCGAGGGCTACGAGCTTACCGTGTTCAATAGCTCACTGTACGAGGCGGGAGACACGTCGACGGCGGTGCCTGCGAGGTTCGTGGACACGAAATTCGGCTTCTACGCGAACATTTTCGCGTTTAAGGAGTTCGAGGGGCTCTTCAAGGACGACGTGAGGCCGGCGACTGCCCCGGAAGTGGAGGAGGACGTGGTGGGGAATGGCGTGGTGGTGGAGAAGCTGATGGGGCCCGAGCCGTCGGAGATTTGGCAGCGATGTATGCATTGCCCCGTGGTGGGGGAGGACGAGGACAGCGACGCCATGCGAGCGGAGAACGCGACGCTGGTGAAGCACTTCCGAGTGCCGAGGGATTGGATCTTCCCGCTGCGGATGTGCAAGCTCGAGCTGTTCGAAGTCGTGTGCCCCGCTCAGATGGCGCCGTACTTGATGTTCATCTTCGGGAACAGGTTCCTGACGCCGGAGCTGTGGGAGTGAGGCAAGCTTGTTGATGCGCGGAGATATTGACAGCAGTGGCGCGGATTAGTGTGGACAGATGGTAGGACTTTTGTTGACGTAGATACACCTATTTAATTGCCATGGAGATCATAGTGATCACAACAAGCAGCCCAACGTCAGTCCCAATGCAGCTTTCTTTGTGTTGTTGCCTGTAGAGTCGCCGCAGTGAGTAGTTTTCCATGCCTTGCCACACGGCGAAGCTGTCACCCTCGAGTAGTTGAGAGGTGTGTTCTTGCAATTGTGTCGCGATCCACTGGCTCGCGTTTAACTAGCTGGCCGAATACGAGGTGGCTTAACTCGCCGTTATATGTTCTTCTCGCTCGTCGATCGAAGCTACCTCCGACAAGAATGCAAAGCTAGCAACTTTGAGAATGAAATGCATCGTCCTCAGTTTCGTTTTACGTCGACACGGACTGCTCGGGCCCGAGCAAGCGCTTCAAGACGTCTTCAGGACGGGTGTCGTACTTCTCGAGTTACGCCATCAACGAATAGGTTTCGTCTTTCATGGTGCTGCAAACTCCAGAAGAGATTGAGAGTGGAATAACTAGCATCTGCGGTGCCTCAATACCACCGTGACCGCGACCGCTTGAGTCTACCTCAGCAACGGGGGCTTGGCGAAGTGCGTCAACATTATCTGTGGGCCCAGCTTCAAATTAAATACCAGTTGAATCTATTATCACACAATTTATTGTTGCTATAGGTGGTGGTTGACGCTGAGTCGAAAGTTAGTCATTGCTGCTTCATTCAGTTTGCAACTAGCGCAACCCAAGGATCATCATTTTCTACTTGATTGCCACTGTCCACAGCAATACCTACACCATTGATACGACAACGGAAGACAAGTCCGCGGCTAACGGGCTCCACGACGACAGGGAATCAGAAGAACTGCAAGGACACGACGCTCCGTCCACTGCTGATCACACTCATCTCAACTTGAGCTCAACTTAACCTATGAGGGTGTCCACATCATTCAAGAATACTTTAGCGCAGGTTGAAAGAAAAGAAAAACGACGTGGATTTCTCCTTCATTTCTTTGCAGTGCGTTACTCAGAGGTTAACTAGTTATTCTGCGAATTTGAAAACATAAATGCGGAGAGTTGAGGACCAAAGACTCAAGACCGCTGTATCCGAGCAAGTAGATCAGAAGTTGAGAGCTAGAGTCGGGTCTTCTTCGAGAATACCGTCTGAGCCAACACTGGTCCAGCTGCAGACATTCGACTTCCCTCGCTTGGTGATCGCATCGCTCGTCGTTTCCTTCGTCTTGAAGATGAAGGACGAAACCTGGCCGCTCAGCTGCTTGAAATCAGTAACCCCCGCGGCCTTGGAAAGCTGAGCTGTCCCTCTGTGTCCCGTGCAGTCGGCTTCACTATAGAAGATGAGCGTGTCCGAGCTAGAGGTCGGAAGCTTGTCCCACTTGGCCGACGCAGCCTTGTTGTCCAGAGAGTCGCAATCCAAGCTGTAGCATCGGCTGGCGTAATTGAACTTGATGGTGGCGAACGAGCTCTTGTATTTCGTGCCGGAGTAGAGCTTGAGGACTCCGTCGAAGTCTGTATCACTAGCTGCGAGTATGCAGCTGAGAAGCCTCAAGTAGATGCACAAATACCAAAGCGACGGCATTGCGAACTCGAGTGCGAATCGAGAAATGACAACGACAGGAGGACGCCAAACGCTATGTATTGTCAGGGGAAAAAAACTTCATGAAATATACAGCTATCAATCCACGAACAGCGTCTGTGATCTAGCCGACTAAAACGATATCAGGTTGGATTTAAAGGTGCTAGCTTCATTAGAACTCAATTCAAGTAGAAATTTACGCAATCCCTCACACCACTCGCTAATGCACCCACCACACACAAAAGGTGAAGCATTCCAGCCATCCACCTACGTCGGCTTGGCCACGACCATCGAGATCGAATCGTCTTGCGAGACCGAGCCACCCACAACGTCAGCCCCCGTCCAGCTGCAAACGTTGGAGAATCCGTTGTCGACGTCCGAGGGTTGCGACTTGATCATGAAGGCCGAGATGATGCCGTCCACCTTTTTGCCGCTGAAGTTCTTGATGCCGCCGGAGTTGGGCAGAGTGATGGACAGCTCCGCTCCGCCGCAGTCAAAGTCCTCGTAGAAGACGATGTACGCCTTCCCGTCGACTCCCGTAGTCGGGAGGTTGGCCCACTTGGCAGACTCGACCTTGTTGTCCAGCAGGCTGCAGTCCACGTTGTAGCACTGGTTGGGGAACCGGACATTGATCGTGAGCAGGCGGTTCTTGTGGTCGGTGGAGCTGTAGATCGCCACCGTGCCGTTGATCTTCGTGGCGGCCGAGCAGACGCTAAGCAGCGACAAGAAGCAACACAGGACGGCAACGAAGTTCACACGCAAAGCCATTGTCGAGTTTGACGCAAAAGGAGAAATGACAAGTGTATGATAAAGCTACAAGACTTGAGTACATGTATGACGCAAGGATCGATACTGTCATTTTGCATTACTCTGTGCTATCCAGGCGTATCATAAAACTAAAAAATAACTAGTACTTCGAAGTACAACTTTTTAGATAGAAGTTGCCTACATTATAGAAGCCTAAGAGCGAGCGTCAACGACTGTCGTTCTGTTCTTCGGCCACGTAGCCGCCGAGAGTTTCGGCGCCGGTCCAGCTGCAGACGTTGACAATTCCGTGCAGTCTTCTCCTGGACTCCGATCGCACCATGAAGGAGGAGATTCCGTCGGGGTACACGAACTCGCGGACGCCTCCGTTGTGAGGAAGCAGTGACGTCGTTTTGTTGCCTTGGCAGTTGACGTCGGCGTAGAAGGTGAGGTAGGCCTTGCCAGCCAAGCCTGTGATCGGGAGGCCGTCCCATTTTGCAGACTTGATGTTGTCGTCGATGTTGGTGCAGTTGACGTTGTAGCAGCGGTTGGGCATGTTGAAGTTGATGGTGAGCAGGTGGTGCTAGTAGTAGGTGCCCGAGTACATCAAGTTTACCGGCTATGTGAAACTCTACTCGGGAGTACATCAAGTTTACCGGGTATGTGAAACTCTACTCGGGCACCTACTACCAGCACCACCTGCTCACCATCAACTTCAACATGCCCAACCGCTGCTACAACGTCAACTGCATCAACATCGACGACAACATCTTGAGCGAGCCCAGCACATTCCTTCGCCCAGAGTGCCATAATGAAGAGAACGAGCTGCGTTGGGAGCGAAGGCATTGCGAGCAGTGAAATTGAGAAATGGTTTAGAGGAAGAAGAGATTCTCAACCATGAATCTGAGATAGACGTCAAACCAGGAGCAACAGCCCGATCGCAGGCTTACGCGCCAGTAAGCCAGAAGTCCTGAATTTTAGCGAGCTGGACGGCAAAGTCCGTGAGATTAAGTGTACGATGGAGGAGAGAAAGTCTGTAAAATCCACGATTAACAGGAATTCATCACCCATTTATTTAAGCCCATTCCACGGCACCTCACAGATTACAGAACTCTATACGAAGTCCACAAGCGAGCTGAAAAAACGACGCTCATACAACGCATATTCCCTCAGCAAAACTTAATTCATTTCCGTCCAGCTGGCCCAAGCTGAAGATGTCCCCGAGAACTCTTTCGACCTCGCCGAGAGCACTGGCTTAAGCTTGCAAGCGTCTGCAAATTGGTGCAGATCACCACCACTCTTGCTATCTTTAATGCAGTCGGGTGAGAACCCACGGACGACTTGTTTTTCATTAAGCAAAAATGAAATACAAAGTTCGTTTGAGAATCGTATGATCTATACCTGTATGTGTGGCGCTCTATTTGCCGATGCTTCATTAAAACACAGTGTCAGATATGGCGGCACCGTGCCGTTGAGCTTCGTGACGGCCTCGAAGCCATTGTCGAGTTTTACGCAAACGGAGAAATGGCGAGCGGGTAGTGAAGCTTTAACGACCGAGTGCGTATATGACGCGGGTCGATACCGCCATGTCGACTGGATTCTGTGATATCCACGCATATCATAAACTAAGAAAAAAAACTAGTTCGACTTTTTAGATAGAAGTTGCCTACATCATAGAAGTATTCTCCCGTCAACGACTGTCTTTCAGTTCTTTGACCACCAATCCCATAAAGTCGTCTTCTTGACTCCGAGCGCACCATAAAGGATGAGTATCTGAGGCAGACTGTCCGATTAATTAATAATTGACTTGATTCGTACGCTGCAAGCTTACGCGCGAGTAGTCCGCAAAATCCTTTAGAGAGAGCTGGGCAGCCGCAACATTCGTGAGATAAATTGTATGACGAAGAGCAAAGTTTGTGAAATCCATGACTAGGAGGACTTCATCGCCCATTTATTTAAGCCAATTCGAGTGTACCTCGACAGCTACAAAAATACAACTAACGTATATGAAGTTCACAAACAAATAAGCATGGACGACCGAGGAGAAGAACAGCCCCATTGATCTCACACTGGACAAAATGAACGACGACATGTCGTCCTCCGTGGTCTGGGTTGACAACAGCGAGGCCCTTCCAGGTAATTGCAGCTAAAAATGGTTGGAAGGGGTGCGTCGTAGTACGGATGATATCTGGAATGCAAGCTGGATCTCGTCGAGACTGCGGATTGCACCAGCAATAATTACGGAAGTTCTCCATGTGCATCAACCTGGTTGCTTTACCAAACTTGTCATTCACCAATCTTCCTCGCCGAGCACAAGCCCCGACCCCACCTTGCCACCACCTACCAACAATGGCCAAGTTCGTCCTCTTCGCTGCGTTCCTTGCCGTCATCGCCGCCGTCCAGCTGGCCCACGCGGACGACGTCCCCGAGGACTCCGCGCATTTCGAGCCCGCTGAGGGCAGTGGCTTCGTCAACATCACGCTGGAGGAGAGGTGCTGCCTGTAAGCCTCAAGTGGCCGGCGTCTGCGATTTCTATTGCGATGCAGACCGGCTTCAATGCCGTTGGGTTGAGATGAGAACCCACGGACGACCTTAGAAATGCAAAAGTTCGTTTCGAGACTATACTTGTGTACTAGCGTAACATGCGGCGATTTACAGTGTCAGAAATGGCGGCCTCGGTCCGTTCTCATCCGTCAACATTATATTCTCACTTTTTAACTTGCCGTGTTCGTGTGGCTGTCGAACCACTCAGAGCCTTCTCGCCCTCAATCGACCGCGATGCCAAGTCTTCACCGGAAGTTCGTCAAGGCATGGGAGCGAACGCAAGTGGAGCTCCACGGCAGCTACTTGACCGAATGCGTGGTCGAGCTCGCCAAGTACACTCGTGAGAAGAGCTGGGCTCACATCGTCATGGTGTTGTTCGTCACGCCACTACCATGCTTAACCATTACAGTGCTCAGTGACGTTCTGCCTCTTGATGAACTGTCCGAAGGCCTCAAGGTGTTCCAAGTGCGGCAGTTCTACAGCTACGTCGTCATGAGCTTCCTGTGCGCGCAGCAGTTCCGCACCAGCGTGAGGGCACTACCGTACCCGAACCGGAACGTGGTCAGAGACACTGGCATCGTTGCGGCTCTTATGTCTGCGGTTTTGTACGGGTTCGCGTCGTGGATCGGCTTCCCCACCCCCTTCTCCATCGTCATTGCGATGCCCGTCTGGGTCGTGATCATCACTGTGGCCATGGCGATCGAGTGGCTCCGACCTATCCAACAGAACCCGGGGACGGGGACGATGGTGTTCAACACCATCAAGGTCTGGCTGTGCGAGGTGCTGCTGGTCGTCACGTATCCGCCGTACTACTACGTGTTCACGACACTGCCCAAGACGGGGCAAATGTTCTTCGCCTCGTTATTGCCGGTGATCAAGTTGATCATGGGCAACATCTTCACTATGGTGCACTTAAGCGATGAGATGCCGGAGATGGTCGTGTTTAATTCCGAGGTCTTCAACGCGCTGTTCGTGTCGTACTGCATGCAGAACTCCCCGTCGTTTGGCACTACGCTGATGGTGACGACTGCGCTTTTGGTACAGCTGGCGATGTCAGTTCGAGATGGAAATGTTGCCATCAACCGGACGGAGCTCGTGGGGAGGCATCTCCTCGAACAGTTTAACGATCCCTGCGAGTTCGTTGCTAAGTCCAGTATTGGCGGACGCAAGCCGAGTGCATTGCAGCGCGCAGACTCCCTTTTACTTGATGGCGTGGTTCAAGACGGAGTGAAACGGATGAGCAGTATTCACGTGCGGTCTGCCAGTAATCTTCAGCTTTCAGTATCCAAGGACGGTGGCATCGTAGACCGAGACTTAAAGTTCGAGTCGCGCGGCACACTACAGTTGCAACCGATCGGAGCTCGCATCCAACCCGCACCAGAGGTCGTTAAATGGGGTCCTCCTGTGAAGGCAAAACGCGACTCCAGATCGATGTCCGCTGCTTCGCTTCAGTACGTGCTGGACGTGCGGAGACTCATGTATTTGACCGAGTTCCTCGTGCTCATCTACTACGTTGGCGTCTTCATCCCGCTCATCTTTTGTAAGTCTCCTCTGTATCGTTATTTTGTTCAGATTAATTCTCACACAACTCTTTGTGTAGCGGTCTACATGGGCGTTATGTATGCATTGCCGAACCGTAGATACTACGCGCAGCTCGCCGACTTGACTCCAGACGAGCTGTCGGAAGCTCTGAAGAACGTCATGTTCAACTGCGCTTTAAAGTTGGCGTATTTGGTGTTACTATGCGGCATTCTGCAGCATCGACTACGGTTCTTAGCTATTCGCCAACTCGCCTTTGTTCTCGAGAGGCAGTGGCCCGGTGTGCAGACCAAAATTTGCTTCTGGGTCTTCTACAACGTACAGGCCTCGCTGGAACACGGTACGTGAGGTGGTCATGCCATTCTGTTATTATTACCCTTCATCGTCTAATATACGGTCGACTTTAGGTTTCGACTGTACGTTCAAGTTCACGTGGTTGTACGAAGATTCCGTAGAAATGGCGAATAACTCAGCTACGTCGTAGGACTGGATGGCAGGCAGCGAATACGTCACCCATTTCTTCAAGCTGAGTAACGAGCACCTCGAATAACAAGCTGGATAGCTTCGATGCTCCTCGTGTTACCAGCTACAACGCATGCACATGCTCCAGCCGAACAACTTGATGTTGCCATTGATCAATCTTCCTCGCCGAGCACAAGCCCCGACAAACAGACTCTCGAACAACCTCCAACAATGGCCAAGTTCGCATTCTTCACCGCTCTTCTTCTCGCCATCGCCACCGTACAGCTAGCCTACGCGGAAGATGCTTCCTTAGACATCGCGCCGTTCGACTCCATTGAGGGCAGTGGCTTCCTGAACACGACCCTGGAGGAGAGATGCTGCCTCTGAGCATGCAGCCGGAAGTAGCCACCCACCCAAATCAAGTAAGGATTGGTGATTAATGAGTTTTGGGTCTTAACTCCCAAGAAACTTTTCTTTATATCATCCAGAAATCACAAACTTGAATCGTTTCCTTTTAGACGAAGTTGAGATAGCACTAGTTTGTCACCTCCACCTATTTCTATCTTCTGCCAAGTGAATGCCAAGGCTGAAGGAGAGGCTCATCAACGCATGGGAGCGCACCCAAGTGGAGATCCATGGCAGCTACTCGATCGATCGCGTTCTTCAACTGGCGAAATACACCCGTGAAACGAGCTGGGTGCACATCATTATGGTTTTAGTGGCCACTCCGCTGCCGTGCTTGACCATTACAGTGCTCAGTGACGTTTTTCCTCTGGATCATCCGTCCGAAGGCGCATCATTAAACAAAAGCTTCCAGGCGCGGGAAATCGACAGCTTCGTGGGTTTTAGCTTCCTATGCATGCAACAGTTCCGAACAAGCGTGCTCATCCTGCCGTACCCGAACAGGAGTGTAGTGAGGAATACGATCGTGGTGGCATTCCTCGCAGTCGCTGTCCTGTACGGCTTGTCCCTTTTGGTTGACTTTCCAGTTCCGTTCTCGCTTATTATTGCAACCCCACCGTGGGTTGCGTTTATCGCGCTCTTCTTGGCGATGGAATGGCTGAAGCTGATTCAAGAAAACCCCGGCGCGGGAAAGATGGTTGGTTAACACTATAAAAGTGCTGATGCGCGAAGTGCTGCTGATCGTCGTGTATCCGCCAAACTACTACGTGTTTACGACGCTATCGAGGATCGGCCAGACGCTCCTCGCCTCGTTATTGCCAGTGATCATGCTGATCATGCGCAACATCTTCACATTGACGGTCGTGCATCTAAGCGACGAGATGCCGGAGGTGGTCGTGTTCAACTCAGAGGTCTTGAACGCACTATTCGTCTCGTACTGTATGCAGAACTCGCCTTCCATCGGCACTACGTTCATGGTCACAGCCGCGTTACTGGCTCAACTGGCACTATCACTTGGAGATATCAATGAAGCCGTTCAGCGGACCGAACGTGTCGGGAGCCAAGTTAGGGAGGACCATAGTGACCCAGGAAATGTTATCATGAAAGTGAGAAGGGCTGGACGGAAGCTAAGTGTGCTGCAGTACGCAGACATACTACTCCGAAATTCAGGTGAACAAGAATGTGCCGCGCCAATGAGTCGGATTCAAGTAGTTATCTCAAACGAGAAACACCGCGGTCACTCGAATGGTACAGGACTTAGATTCGACTCGCGTGCTTCTCTGAAAAAGCTGGTATCGTTTGGAACTCCTCGTATCTATCTACCCAGCCCCCGGGTCACACCAATCTGAACCAAGACGCTACTCCCGATTCATGTCTGCTACCTCACGCAATTACGTACTTGAGGTACGACGACTCCTGTATCTAACAGAGTTTCTTGTTCTCATTTACTACGTGGGTGTCTTCATCCCGCTAATCTTCTGTAAGTATTTGTTTATTAACTACATTTTTTTAACTTACTGTATTTGCGTAAAGACATACCAACGTTTAAACTCTAATGCTTACATGGAAGGCAGCAATTTACATGGGCGCCATGTACAGACTGCCAAATCGAAGATACTACGCGCAACTCGCCGATCTCACAGAGGATGGACTCAACGACGCCTTGAACAGCATTTTAATCAACGGCTTGCTGAAGCTCGCATCATTGCTACTACGATACGTCGAACTTTAGGTTTCGACTATACTTTCAAGTTCGCTTGGCTGCATGGAGAATCCGTAGCAATGATGGCCAACAACTTCACTACCTCGTAGAAGGGGGTGATAGCAGCAGCTACGCCACACATTACTTCTGGATCTAGCCAAAGTACCTCGGCTTGCAAAATCTGGAATGGGCGCTAGATGCCGTCGATACCGCTGCTTGCCCCAGCTACGTACAACATTATCTGCTGAATTGACTTGAGTCAAGTCGCTTCGCGCTTTACAGCTATCAGTCTCCAACCTTCTTCGCCGACCACAAGTCCCAACAACACCCGACCAACTACCTGCAACCATGGCCAAGTTCGCCTTCTTCGCAGCCGTTCTTCTCGTTATCGCCACCCTTCAGCTGGCCCAGGCTGAAGAGGCCCCGCAGGACTTCGCGCCATTTGACCCAACTGAGGGAAGCGGCTTCGTGAACACGACGCTGGAGGAGAGGTGCTGCCTGTAAGCACGGTCACGGTGGCACTTTACAGGGTAAGTGCAAGCTCAAAAACCACATGATACGTAGTGTCTAAGACACCTTGTCTTCTCAATAAAACCTGGTTTGTTTCACCCTCATCTTTCATATTTTTTGATCCATCTAAAAGATTACTCGACGAATTTACCGCTCGCCTTGCCTCGCACAGAGATGACACTGAAGTGAGTGCAGTGTCGACTTCGTTTCGTCACCATTCAACAAGTATCTTCCGTCTTAGAGAAACAGTCACCCGGTGTGCAAGTCGATTTTGGGTTATCAATCATGCAACACCACGATTCTGCTTCTTTCAGCTTTGCCCCAATCATATAAGTTGGCTTCAGGGCAGGTTCGGACTGCTTGTTTAAGCTCGTCCGGCTGAGATTAAGGCGGTGAACAACTCGCCTAGTATTACCATCCAAAGCAGAAGCTGCTGTAGATTTCTTCTCCCCCATCGTGCTCATAGCTGGCATAATTCAACCCAACCAAGCTAATGATACTCACCGCCGTTTTCGAGCGGCTCGATCTCGGTAAAGGTAGAAATTTCGCGACCCCAAAGTCCAACAAGAGGCGATTCGGAAGCACCACTGGGCAGCGCTGAGAGTTGTCTAAGCCAATTTAAGATGCAGGTACTCACCGCGACCAACAAACTGGAAAACGTTCCCCGCTATTCATCTAACATCCGGTTGTTTTAAGATTTCGACTGAATGCACCTGGGGTGTATGAAGGTTCCATATCGATGTCAATTAGCCCCAAGAAGTGGGTGCCACAAGCCGCACGTACCTCTGCTCGCATGAACGAAGTCTGAAATGCACGCAGGTGGCTTCGATACTTCTGATTGTACTAGCAGGCTCACCGTAGATATGCGTATTATGCTGGTCACTCACACCAATCTCCCTCGTCGAAGCTAATCCCCACAGCAGCAACACCAATTACCTACAGCCATGGCCAAGTTCGCCTTCCTCGCAGCCATCCTGGTCGCCATCGCCACCATTCAGCTGGCCCATGCCGAAGAGGCCCCGCAGGACTTCGCGCCACTCGACCCTACTGAGGGAAGCGGCTTCGTGAACACGACGCTGGAGGAGAAGTGCTGCCTCTAAGACGAAAGTGGCGAGCGACTGCAATTTATATTGCGATGCAGATCACGGTCTTGCTGTCTTCAATGCTGTTGGGGTTGAAACCCCACGGACGACTTGTTCTTGCTTAAGTAAAGTTCAATACAAAGCGGTTTTCAAAAAATTTATGAGCTGCGTAATTTGTATTAATAGCAGTTTATCTAACTGTGTACTGTAGGCTTGTGAGGAAGGATAATTTTAATTGGAGAATGAAATGCTGCCTCGGTACTGAGGCGATTGGAGGACCAACTAACTCTCACTCTAGTCTGTCAACTTTACTTGTCACTTCTGGCACGCCCTTGTTCTGCGGAACATTGCACATTCAACGGCTAGAACTTCAGGTGTTGTTCGCTGTTAAGGAGGAATAAGGTAACGAATTCTATAAAACTACACCACCCCGAAGGCGCGTCAATGTACGAGGTCTCTCCACTTGGCGAACGTAGCGCGCTTGTTGAAGGAGATCAGTTGGCGCACTCTTGCGAATAATGCGGTGAGTGTACTTGCCACCGCTATCGTCGTGCTACAGTATCAGGGGTTGTAAAATGCCAAGGTGTCAGAGCTGTGACAAATTGGTTTGTAGCCAGTGCCTTCTACACAAGGAATAACCCGCACGAACACAGTGAGAAAAGTGAGATACTATCACCAACCGAGAGCAAATACTCAGGCAACTTCTTTCTGCGATCGTATCGCCTATTTGTTGTGTCCACGGGGTTCCCATGCCCGTGAGACTTCCAGTGCTGCCTAGGATAAAACGACTATTCTACGATTATCTTCGTTGTGAGTCTTAAGGCCATGGTTCCAAGCAATTTCGAACGCAATAAAAATCAAAATGAACTTCTCGGTACATACTCTACATTTTGCAGATCTAGAATATTCAAGCAAAATCTTAAGTGCAAGTCACTCGCTATCGAACATTTCACGAAGCTACTGGAAGATGGGAGTCAGCACTTGGGATCTATCATGAACTCGTGATCGTACTGGGTTGCACGATGTCTTGAGAGCTCAGGAAGGCGTAGCTCGTACTCCTGGAAAAATTCGTCACTCAGCACACGAGCAGTGTGCTTCGAGACCATCTCGTTGTCCAACTCGACGACCGAACTGAAGGATGAATATTATTCATCAACCCACGGGAGATATTGACGCGAGCCAAATGGTATTCGCCGGAACAACACAACCATTTTGGATTTGTTGCGCAGCGGTATCATTGCTCGAGGTACCGACTTAGACCTAGCGTGGAACTACGCGAAACGATCTTGCAGCTACCAGCAATTGTTGCTGCTAATCAGCTATTCGTTCACTTCAATGCTGTTGCGTTGAAAACTCGCCGAGGACTTGTCTTTCCTTACTGTTTCATGTGTGGTTTTGTTCTGATACGTATGTAGGGTTGCCTGAGTTGAAGATGTCTCGATCAGACTCAACAAATTATAGCGCTACTTTATGGATGGCAGGATACGAGGTAGTCTGTCCCCCTGATAGCATGAGCCAAACTACTGGAACCCAGATAGCTTCGCTACCCGTGATTGTACCAGCTGCACGCATATTCCATCCATGCATACCTGCCAATGCCACTCAGTGCCATTCCCAAATCCTTCTCGCCGAGCACAAGTCCCGACCCCACCCCACCATCAACTACCAACTGCAATGGCCAAGTTCGCCTTCTTCGCTGCCCTTCTTCTCGCCATCGCCACCGTCCAGCTGGCGCACGCGGAAGATGTCCCCGAGACCTTCGTCCCATTCGACGCTACCGAGGGGAGTGGCTTCGTAAACACGACTCTGGAGGAGCGCTGCTGCCTGTAATCAAGCGCATCAAAAGCCAGTGGTGGTTCAAGCGTACGAACCAGTACTACGCCGTCGTATGTAGCTGATGACTTTTTTTTCACTTGAAACAAACTGAAACACGAATTCCGTTCGACAGTCTAATGAACTAGAGTTCTTCCCTAGCTGTTAGCGTATTTTCTACTAGTTGGTAACTCCTTTGGAGTTGTTCCCAAGGTGATGTCCCCGCTGGGTACGATACATACTGCACTGATCCTGCTTGAGCGTCCTGTTCGTCGTTCGATCGGTCTTTATATCCTTCAGCAGCTTCCACGATAGGTGTCCATATCGCCCAGGCTGCTTCAATCTCGTCCACGTCCGCGAAGTGACCGGATCTACCTGCTGCTACGTCCCGGAGTAGCACGTCATACGCCGATAATTCATCGCCCAGATCCCACGAAGACGCCTTGACCGTCTGCAGATTGGGCTTGGTAGGCGTAATAACGCGATGGTCGTGGGTATCCGAGTATTCCCAGTTTTCTGGGAGATTAAGAGGAGATAGCACGTTGCTGACATCGCAAGACCATTCGATTCTATGGCTGTGGCGGGTGTCAGCATTATGGCCTTGCTGGATCGTAACGGTGAGCCTGCACGGTGCAGAGTTTCCAGCTGGGAAAGTTTCTTGTGTGAAGGTAATCACGACTGTCAGCACTCGTTTCTCAGTAGCCTTCGCCGCAGCAAGGCGAAACGTGGAGTTGCTCCATGTCTGCAATGAGCTTCTGAGCTCCACCATCGCGGCGGTCGGGGTGAAGTGGCCGCTTTCATCCAGACTTCGACCCATTTCGTCTTGGTAATGTGTTGCAAACTCATCGTATTGCCCCACCACGAGCGGTGGCTGTCGGTGAGACGTCTGGCCGGGGAGCTGTAGTGACTCAACAAACCTCAGCTGGGCCACATGCGAGCGTCTAGCAAACTCGCTCGAGGATGTAGATGCATCGTAAATCGCCGCATCGAAGGCGGGGGATACGGCAATGTTGAGTAGCAGTTGCAAATGATTTACCATGACGTCGCGTATTATGCCAGCGCTATAAGTTAAGAAAGAGAGAGAGAGAGAAGGTGTCAGTAAAGGGGCATCGTCGGTGGTGTAAAGCGTGGAAATACCTGTCAAAGTAGTGCACGCGATTCTGTAGTGTAGCCTTTTCAGTCATCTCGATCTGTTGCAACGTCATCTTAGTACGTTGCAATCGGCCCTAAAAAAAACTCCAGATGACACTTACATGGATGTCACGGATATGATCGCTGTTCCAGATTGGTCGAAGCGCAGCAGCATTAAGCTGAAAGTAGCTGCGAAGCCCGTGAACAACCAGTTTGCCAGCGTAATGGTCCATCACATACAACTCGTCGCTCTGCACCAGTGTAAAACTTAGTATCACCCCAAAACATTTCCCACTCTCCGAAACGTACCGTATAAAACGCCCGCAGGTGTGTGGCAAGCTGACGAGCTGACTGTAAATCTCGACCGAAAGGCTTCTCCACCACCACTCGCAGAAAACCAGAAGGCTCCTCCTCCGACGTCGCTGGCCGCAAGCAGCGATGAATGAGCTCGCAGCTCTGAACAACAAAAAGCTCTCACTATCAGCAGCCAGAACAAGCAAGCCTACGCCGTTCCAATTAACACGAACCTGTTGGAAGAACTGCGGGGGAATAGCGAGGTACACCATCCTCCCCTCCTCAGTGATCTCCGCGCCCACCTGATCCAGCTTCTCCCCCAAATCTCGATAGTGCTCCTCCTTCCATAGTGGCGTATACTCCACACGTGGCTTGAACTCTTCCTCTAGAAACTCCAGACACCGCGTCTGTGCTGTTGAAACCCCTGGCTGGACTTCTGCATCTGCAGCTCCACACACGCGCCGAGCAAATCCCTCGTCGAAGAAGCGATTGCGCCAGGCTCGTCCACGCTCCAGAGACTGCGAAGCTCCAGCATAGAAGCGGTAGGTCCGCCCACCGGTGGACGCCCCCTCCAGCGCCAAGCGGAACAGTGCCACCCACAGATACTTGGCCGCCAAGTCCCCCGTGGCACCCGCCACGATGACGTCCACAACCGGGAGCTGGTTGGCATCAGAGGGGGCAGATTGCGCCGATTGGGACAGCAATGCATACGACCCGAAGAGCCCCAGCAGGGCGAGCAGGAAGAGGCCGCGCAAGTGACGATGCCGGACACGCATCATTCACGATGCTTATCGAAAAATCGCAGTAGGAATATTGCGAAACGAAATGTTGCAATAGGCGAGAGGTAGTGCACTTTTGGGGTGTTGCTGTCGTAAGAAGTGCAAACGTTACGATACTACATGTACATGTAATAATATGTGTTGGTATAAACATGTACAGTAGCACCAGTATGTATCTCCAGCTAACGCCATTAGCACTTCAAACGAGCGTCTTTCGAAGCAAAAAGGCAAGGATAAGAGAGTTGCGTCTACAATGCACTACGAAGTAGAATGCATGCCATAGCTGACGATTGACAACACATCGGCACGATATGTAGCATCCTACGTCACTTTTGCTGACTTTTTGCCTTCATAATTCGAACCGTTCGGAGCGAGAGGGTTTTTACAAACGAAATGCGAGAGCGAGAATGCACACTACTGTATGAAGGTAGAGGAGTATTTACCGTAACTAACGACGAAACGCAAGTAAATTCGGCGCATAAGTTGAGTACAGTACATGTTATCCAATCCACAGTCTCCAGTAGATTGTTCAAGCTACTCATAAGTACCACAAACAAGTTTCTCTAACAACCTGTGAAAAAATTTCCGGGTTGGTCCATCGCATACACGGACTGAAGACCTGCCGGCGACGGAAACGGGCGTAGGTAGGAGGTGTGATTAGCGGTCGTTAGGTAACTAAGTGACTACAACACATCTAATAATAATAATAATAATAATAAAACATTGCATGACAGCTTGATGGATCATAGATTTTCCCCACATGAAAAGCCTCGCCCGTGAATACAATACCTGTATGGTACAGGTATTATTTTCGTACATGGAGAATGCTGCTTGATGAGTATCGGGTTCAGGACGCTAGGTTACAAGCAAAACTGAAAAATAAAATTACTTCGAAGTATTATTTGGAGCTCGAGTTTGTGGAAGCGCATTCGACAGCAAATGCTTACTTATTATAATAAGTGGCGCCGATTTTAATTTTTCAATAGACATGCCCGTATGCCTCTTTGAATTTCTCGAAATATTTGGCAAAAACTGGAGTGTTCGGGCTGCTTTCAAGCACTGACTTCGACATCTTCAGATCTAACAGGCGGAATACGATCTTTGGGTCCATCTTGGCCTGCAATCAGTGACTAAGCAGCAGGTCTTGCAACTCCTCGGCAATAGTCTTCGTCCAAACGGATTTCTTCGCTGCTTCAATTGTCTCCGATAGTTTCGCCGCGCCGAATCGCTTGAGCAGATCTGTGATAACTGGCGACTCCGTCAATTTGTTTTCCTCCCCCACGACTCGGCCGTAAGACATCCAAGTTTTCAGGTGTGGGTTTGCTAGCAGCTTGGACGCCTCGTCGTCTAGCTTCAGGATCTTGAAGGTCTCGTCCATCGAGTAGGAATACTGGAGCCAGAGTTTGAATTGCTCGGGCATCTTGGCCTTTGACGTCACCGTCGCCCCCAATCCCTTTACTTGAGGGAGTCCAGGAAGTCCTCCCATCTCTTCAGTGGCTGCTGCTTCCCTGTTGGCATTTCCGTCGTCATTCTTTTCCACTTTGTCTCCAGCTCTCAAGGATCGATCAGCCAGATTATCGGTGGCTATACGTGACAAAGACGCAGAATCGAGTGTAGGCATCTTCGCATCGCTTGACTCCTTGGCGTCGACGACCAGTGCGACGCACACGAGTAACACGGTAACGAGAGTTGAGTGACGGAGGCGCATGTCGTCGTGGCGGAAGATGTTGGAACTTTTGTGTCGGGAGGTGAAAGTTTGAATAATCGTGGGGATGGAGACTTCGGCTTTGCTGCAGAGCCAGTCACAGCCACACAGTGCGCGTAAGCATTACTTTCAGTCGTCGTCGTCTTACTTGTTGGGGGCGTGCCGAACCTGGCACAAAAGTTGAAAATTACATTGCAGCGCCTCCACAGCCGGGGTGTGGCGTGGAGGTTGCCCCTTGATTACGCTGCAATGTTGCCTTGGCCATCATGTCGCCCGCCATCCGTGCTGTTAGTTGTGAGCTCATTCTTGTGTACCGCTCAACGGCGTCCGATCTCCACCTCCCGAAAAGCTTGATGGCCAAGCTGTCGTAGCCCGCATTGAAGAGTGCTGAGGCACCGCCGCTACGAAGTGAGTGGGAGCCGTAACTGTCTAGTTCGTGCCCAACGAGCTCAGCTGCGTGTTTCAAAGCACTGACGAGGTCTCGGACTTGTAAGTTGTGGGTCCGCGTAACTTTGCAGAGTAGAGTGTCCGCCTTCGCGCCAATGGATAGGTGATGCTGAACGAGATACCAGCACGCCATTACTGGGCAGCATTGGGCGTGACCAGACCGACCCAGCACACGAGTACATCCATCGCCAAACTGGTCAGTCTTGCTGCCTCGAAAACGAATTTGAACCTTTTTCACTCGATCGATCAATTCTTGGTCGCGGCCTTGATCATCCAGGAAGCGTACATCGGACCTTTGAATAGCATATTCTTTTACCCTCGTGCCGTCAGCTAGACACTCGGAGCGGCGCAAAAGAAAGAAGAAGCCCAGCACCGAAGCCCCCCAGATGACTCGGTGCTGGGCACAGGAAAAATCGAAGGAGCTGTGCAATTTTCCGAGGAGATGCATGGTGACGGGGCCTTGGGGTTGGTTGGAGGGTCTTCTCTGCGCATGCCGACGACAGCAAGCTGGTGTCCGGGGGACAGTCCGACTTTGTATCTGACGAAGCGCTTGTGATACCACGAGATGTGGCAGAGTTTGGAGGGCACGGTGGAGGTAGAGTTGCCTCTTTCGGACGAGTTCCATCCGAATTTCCAGCAGTAGATTGCGAAAAGTGGGTAACCATTTAGGCAGTCGCATTTCCGTGGACCATCGCACCCACTGTGACCAAGTAGCTGAGTATTTAACGTTTGATGACGAGGCCAGTGAGCGGGATTGAAGTCCTTCGAGAAGTTCGTGTAGAGTTTGCGAAAGATTGGCGGCACGGCTGTCTGTTCCCAGGACACAGAAAAATTAGTCCACACAGTTTTATAAGGATCCGTCCAGGCCCTCGATGCTGCGTCTGCCATGGTATTGGTCGACCCTGGTAAATGCTCCACCGATACTCGTAAGTTGAAGTAGGCTCCGGCTAGACGAATTGCCCTGTTGATTTCTTGGCTGAGTTCATTCTTTGAAGAAAGTCGATTGCTCCACTGCACTGCTGAAATATTGTCACTCCAGCACTTCACGTGAAGCATTTGGCCGGACGAATTGCTCGACCACGACGAACCCCAGGTCCACAGTGCCAATGCGATGCACAGATGCTCCCGCACATTAATGGAGAAGCTGTTGAAATGCGTGTCATCGTTGGCGATTAGAAGAGTCTCGGTCTCGTCAAATTTTTCTTGGATAAATTTATTTGCGCCAGGGTCCAGAATCGCCAAACCCATGTTTGAAGCATCCATGTACAGTTCCACATCGGATGAAGGAAGATCACCGAACATGCTCAGGGGTAGCGCAGCGAAATTCCCATGACTCAGGATGTTTTGAAACCATCGTAGATCCGCCTTCGCCCCGGCGGAGAGTTTTACTTTTGCAAACCGTGGTGCGGCGACTGCAAGTGCTTGCAGCTGTTGGTAAAATGGCTTGGCGGCCCGCAGGCAAGTTGACACATGTCTTAGCGACCCTAGGAGTTTTTGTAGATCCGATTTTGTAGCTGCTTGATGCTGAATCATCGTATTTACTCGTTGTAGCGCCTTAGCGATTTGTCAGCTGGCATCGATACTGTTCGCTTTTCCGTGTTCCAGAGCAGACCTAGGGCGACGAGTTCGGTGCTCCAGTTCGAGAACTTGGCCCCATTAATTGATCGGGGTCCCAGCACGGCTAACATCGCATGCCGTAGGGTTGCTTCTGCGAGATGTAGCCGATCATTGACGTCCAGCTCGACTAAAATATGATCATCTACCCATTCGTAGCCAAAAAAGGGTTCGGTATCTTCGGAATCAGCGACGGTGGCAGGTGAATTAGTTGTCATCAACCACGAGATGGCACGTCCAAACAGCCCATAAAATGGTGGGGATCCGGACCATCCGAAGGGGGCTGCTAAGTCGATCAGTAAAATCTTGAGGTCTGTCACCAGAGCTGCCATACGAAATACTTGAGATGCTATTGACATTAGATGTCGGTATGCACCTTTCACATCGCCTTTCAGGATACATACGCGGACACCAGGATGACGCGTAGCCAAGTGTTCGATACGTCGAGCAATATTAGTCACTGGCTCGTAAGTGAGGGCTGGCACCGACTTTTTCTGGTAGTAATCGTTCGTAGAATTACCAAATGGGTACGATAGGTCGTGAATGGTTCTCACTTCAACGGAGGGATCCACGTCCTTCTTCTCAACCGCTCCTAGTGGGCTGCAGATTACGTTCGACCATCGCCCCAGGATATCGGCGTCGACAACCATGTACTGCCCGCTATCTTGGCCTGCGCGGATGCTTTTACCGACGGCTTTCAGATGTCGACGACTCGACCCGTGATTTTTGGGTGGAGGCCGAACTGGTATGGGGCCATAGCCCCAGCGTGCCTCGATACCTTTCGTGGCGATATTGATCAGGAGGTCTAAGTGTGGGTACCCACGTAGTACATACCGCAAACGATCCGGGTCAAGCGCCTTGTTTGGTCTACAGTCAGGTAGAGTTTCGCCTCTCAATAATTTTGCCGCGTCCTCCACGCTTAGCTGTCTCGATCGAATTTTCTCCGATAGCGAGCGGCACGCAACCATGTCGATGACCGATTTGTCAGCGGATTTAGGATGCGATCGTCGCAGCCCCCAGTGACGGTGAAGCTGGGATATTCGAGCTTCGTCTCGAAGAAGCCTTAACTCCAGCTCGTGCTGTATGGTAATGGCAGACTCCCGTGAGAGAGATACCAGATTCTGCGAAGCGGTGGAGCTGTAGGCATGCGCAGCATTATCATGGGACGAAGCCATCCTGGCTTGATGAGGCGCAATAGAATTCGATGCATACGCCGTGATAGGATGGTGAGGACTTTGCTCAGGTGTTGAACGGAGATTTTCTGCAGCATCCACAGCAGTCACTATTTGAGGCAGCACAGATGTGTTACCCCAAGCAGTGGCACTAGGGGCAGGCTCAGCGTCGTTCATAAGAGCAACCGTGCGTAATATTTTGATGTCTGATCTGGAACGGAGATTTTCTGCGGCATCCAAAGCAGCCAATACTTGGGGCATTCCGTGGATGTTAGCCCAACCATCAGCGCTGGGGGCAGGCTCAGCATCGTTCGAGATTCGAGTGCAGGTTGTGAGAGATGACATTGATGTGGAACGGAGATTTTCTACAGCGACCACACTAATATCGCCTGTAGGTGCCGCAAAGGCACTACGAGAACGAACATCAGCGGGGGTAGGCTCAGCGTCGTTCAACTTGGGTTTGCATTCAATTATTCGGCATTCTGATCGATTCGATATAACGTTGGCAGGCTTCGTTGGGGAGTAACCGGATCGGAGCGTCATGTGTGCCGATGGCGACCGAGCAGCCACAGGTAGTCATAAGTGTTTGTATTGCGGCTTCAGTCCATCGAAGCGCTTCTCGATCTCGGCTTTGACCAAGGCGTCTAGCGTTTTCGGAACAAAGTGGGCCCGGCCGTCGTGAGCTCCTTCGTGAAGATCGGTATCACACCCTGCATTCGATAGAAACCGCATGCAGAGCCGGCGACTTCCTCCCTGCGAGTCGTTCAGCTTCGGCAGTTTTTGCAGCACTTTGGGCGGAATGGGGCCGTGTCCTTTCCTTTTTCCTCGCTGTCTCGCCGAGGCGGAACCGCCCGGGATGGCCTGCGTTGCTTCGACCGTGCCAAAAGGTGCTCTACTCGTTGAGCTCTTCTGTTCTAATTGCTGAATTCGCCGTTCTTGGACTTCTTGCAATATTTCACGCAGAAGGGGGTCATCCAGCGTGCATCGAAGTCGAATAGCACCCGGATCTTTATCCGAAGACGCGACTAGCTTTCGAGAACGTCGTTCACCCAGTAAACAAAGGCCGGTATGTCCTCCGGTTCCCAGCGCAGAGCCATAATCTTGGCCTCAATAAATCCAATGATGGCATCCACCAGCTCAATCGCGCTAGTGACGCAGTATTCGCGCGCGAACACCTGGAAAACGAGCACCGCACCAACCACGTCGTTGATGCTGGTGGCTGCTGGAGCTGGTTCGAAGTCCGCTGTCGCCGAAAAGTTCGAGAAATTGGCACTGCCCGAGTCTATCCACTCCATACGTTTCTTTCTGTCCATAAAGCTGAAGTGCATTATCGAGAGACCTTCAATGTCAAACTGGTAGTCGTACGCGCGAGTCAACACGCCGGGGAGAGACTTGCAAAGCAGGGCACCGGATCGGATTTGACTAGGCACATAAGTATCAGGGTCCTAACCTCTGTGGCGCTCCGATGTTAGCTTGTCGTGAACTTCCTGGCGCTCTCGCTGTGGCGAAAACGCATACTTGGACTTCTTGGTCGTGCTCTTGGCCTTGCACGGCGACGCCAATGGTGGTAGCGGTTGTTTTTCTTCATCATCTGCTGATGCACTGGACGCTTGAGTCCTGGACTGCTCACGGAGGTTCAGGAAACGGTCGAGTAGTTCGGGGTCGTGACTTAGCCTCGCTACAATCAGGGCATCCTTGTGGAGAGAATCAGTGGCCTCTGTGGTACGGCGTCTTTGGTGTGGAGGCTCAGCAACTTCCTCACTGGTACCATGAAGGGATTGGCTGCGTTTTGATCCTGCTGCTTGCACAGTGGCTGGAACCGGTCTGGCGATCGGGTCCGATGCATCTGGAAAACCGTCGTCATCATCGTTGAAGGAGTCGAAAAGTTCACATGACTCGGTATTGCCAGATTGGCATTGTACCTCATGTGTACCGGTGGACACCACATATTCGTCGTGTGCGCGGCAAAACGATTCGCCAAGTGCCGCCGGCGCGCCACCGGCTTCACCGTCGATGTAGAAGGCGTAGTCGACCGCGTGTTGGAGAGGAAATTGTGTCTCTGATCCCGACTGAGGATCCACCCACTTGCAGATTGCAGACGGCTCGGGATGATTCTGTTCGTCGATCAGTCCACTAAGTATACAGCTGATAGACCGGCTTCCCTCGTTATTCCCTTCTCCCAATACCCTCGATAGTATGGCCGTCTGCATGTTGTCGACGTCCGCAGAACTCCACTCGCTCGTGTCGAGCGCGACATGCTGCAGAAGTAGAGCCACCACAGGCGCCACCACCTTGATCGCGTCGACTTGACCAACGATTTAGGTACCATCGGACTCGACTGTCACCTCGCCATCCTCAACACCAACGACTTGACCATGGAAAGTCTTGGGCTCCGGATCTCCCGTAGTGACGGCCACTGGCCGGCGAAGCAGCGACACCCTCCCCATCTTGTTCACGGCCGCTATCGTGACTGTTCGGCGAGCGGCGACGGACCGCGAAAGCGCTCCTTCTTCCCCGTCAAAGCTTCGGAACTTGACCTCGTCCCCCTCTATACCGACGACTCGGGCATAGAATGGTAGAGGGAAGGCGCCTGCCGCTACGTCCTCAGGCAGGAGATGCAGTGTCGATCGCGACGTTAGACGCTGAGGCGAATGCAGAGAGCCGAAGGGTCGCTTTTCTAAAGCTGTGAGCGCTGTAAAGGAAGTCTGAAACTAACGCTGTTCTCCGTCTTCATCTGCGTTGGTTTCAACCTCCTGCCTTCCTTCTAAAAAGCTATTTTCACTGCTCCACTCGTGAAAATCTTCATGTGGAATCGTGCTGAGCAGATTTGAGAAAAAATATACAGACGATCCTATTTGAAGTGCTAGCCTCGGGGACCACTTTTTATCACTATCCAGAGGCGTCGGTATCTAGATCTGAACAATAATGGCGGTACAATATTGTTCGAGGTACCCGTACCGGTTAGGCACTTTGTAACGGGGTTACATGGAATAGTGACCCTGTCACTATTCCGGGATGGCTACATTGGTCACTTCCCTGGATAGTGACCCAAGTGGCCTCGGAGCCAACAGATACATTTTGTATGACACAAACTATAGGGAACTTAGGATTTGTATGCAGGCCAAATCTGTACCAACCTATAAATACATTCAGTCTTAGATCTACCGCTTTTCAAGTCAAGTCGTCCCCTTCAGACCAGGGACACGTGAACGGCTGTTCACTTGGAGTTTGTATACTCCTGCTTCCTCTGTTAAGAAGTGCTGTGTGCCCCGTCACACTTGGTAGCACTTGTAGTCAATCCTACGCCTACGCAGGTAGATTGGACTACCTGAATCCTCCATGGTCTCATCTAGTGAGCCAAGATGGATCGTACGGAGTTTCCCCATCTGAACGACTCGCAGTACGAGTCCGTTCGTAATATGGCAGGCATCTTTGGGACAGATGCCCTGTGTAGCTTAGCGCCGGCGACGCCGGCTGAGCAGGTTGAGCGTATCAACGCGTTCGACACCTACGAGCGAGGGCTCATCGCCCACGTTCAAGGGCTGCAGGCCACTGCGGCTGCGACGAAGCCGGTGCAACCGAAGCCCCTGCGGCTGAAGGTTCACCCCTTCGAAGGGAAGGAAGGAGAAAACCTTCACTTCTGGGTTCGAGAGGTTGAGCTCGCGATGGTCGCTGCTCTCGTCTCGGACGAGCGACTCCGTGTCGCCTTTGCGCCTCCAACCTTAGTGGTCGCGCTAAGAGTTGGGTGTATACGCGCGAAGCGACGACGCCTGGATGCTTCGCATCATGGTCCCAGCTGTGCGAGCAGCTGCGGGCCGCGTTTCTTCAGGCGAACTACGAGTACCGCCAGCGTTCGCGCTTCCTCGCCTGCAAACAAGGAAGGCGCGAGCTGCATGAGTACATCCAGGAGATGCGAGTGTTCACTGCCTCTTTGGTGGGGAACCCCCTGCCTGAACACATCAAGGTGACCGTGTTCATGGACGGTCTGCGTGTCGGTCCTGCCCGCACGCAACTGTTCCGTGTGCAAGCAAACACTATGGAGGAGGCGATTCAGACCGCCCTCCAGGAGGAGTACAGCCACAAGCAGGCTCGTACCCCCGCCACGGTATGGCAGAGCAACCCTGCCTCTGGCGGTGCGCCTAATGGTAACTCTGGCAATGGAGCGATCAACGGGCCGGTTCCCATGGATCTGGGCATGGCCGAGCAGAGCGACATTCGCTGCTACGGCTGTGGCAAGCTTGGGCACATGAAACGTGCCTGTCCCGCGGGAGGACTGAAGAAGAAGTTGTCTTCGAAGCCCTTTGGCTCAAGGGGTCGCTGGCAGAAGCCGCGCCCCAGGAACCAGGGGAACGCCGGACACCAGTAGGGGCAGGGCGCCCTACTGGGGAAACACTAAGTCTTCATGAGGGGCGTGCGGGTGGCGCACGCCATGGGGACTTAGCCCCTGAAAGTCTCTGTACTCTCGAAGCGGAGAAGGGCAGCGGTGGGCTGCTTGTGGTGCACGCGAGTGTACCGGGATACGATCATCCCTTGAGAATCTTGATCGACTCCGGGGCGTCCAAGAACTTTGCGCGCCGCCAGGCTGTCGCACGCAATCGCGACAAGTACGCCGATGCGCTACGAGGCAGCAAAGGCAACGGGCTGGTCTCGGTAAGACTGGCCGACGGTACGGTGGTAGAAGTACCTCGGGTCCACATGGACCTCACTGTCAAGTTCGAGGACTTCGACAGCACGGAGCCGTTCTTGGTCCTAGACATGGACAAGTATGACTTGATCCTTGGCATGCCGTGACTGGAGAAACACGAGCCTTGGATCGACTGGCGCGGCAAGGTCATCGGGGCCAGCCGTCCCCCACGCTCTGACAGAGCTTTGGTGAGTCATGTTCCCACCTCTGGCAGCTGCTGGGGCGCCCGCTAGGGCCGCCAGGGCGCAGCAGCGTCTAATGAGGTCTTGGGATCCGTCGAGACTGACGACGACTCCGACCGGGCCGGAGAAGGCCTGAGAGTGGAGGTGCCGGACAGCACCTACTAGGTGGGTAACGTAGGTCCACACGCGGGTAACGAAGTACCGCAGGCAGCAAGGGCTGCTGGAGAAGGCGCCGCTGACGTTGGCGTGGGTAACATAGTTCCACAGGAGGTCACTCAGACCATAACTGATGCGGTCGTCGCTGGAAGCGCTCCTGGTGTGGGTAACCAAGTTCCACACGGCGAGGTGGGTATCATAGTTCCACCCAGCAAGGCGGGTAACCAAGTTCCGCTCAAGAACAAGGCGGGTAACCAAGTTCCGCTCAAGGACAAGGCGGGTAACGTAGTTCCGCACGAGATCGAGAAGATCGGTGGTGCCGTCAAGGCGGCGCCACGAGACGAAGACACCCGAGGGTCACGTCGTAAGCCGGGCCTAGTCGTGTGGCCGACGACGCCAGTCGCCAGCGACTCCGAGCCTCCAGCCAAGGCTCCAGCCGCCGAAGAGTGTTATCACATCTTCGACGGCGTGACCGGTCGTCGGGTCAAGACAGGAGCTGTCGATCTTACAGCTCTGCCCGAGGTTTCAGAGTTGCTGAACCTTGAGGAGCTCGCCATGGAGGACTTCTTGGCCGAGCTAAAGGCCGGGGAGATCGCAGAGTTGGTTCTCCTCCGACCGGAGTCCACGTTGGCCGAGTTGAACTCGTCCTCGGTCATGGACCAGGAAGTCCTGGAGGAGCTCCAGAGACAGCGCGCGTCGCGCATGGGCTCTGAGATTCTTAAGAACCCCCGGGACCCGGTGTACCTCTTGGTGAAGGAGTTCGAGGACGTGGTGTCCAAGGATCCACCGTCCAATCTCCCTCCGGACAGGGGAATCAGGCACGAGATCGATCTCGTGCCGGGCACGAAGCACTGTGTCACGAGGCAATGGCCTCTTCCCCGGGAGCAGTGTGAAGTAATTGATGCCTTCTTTGCCGCCAAGGCGAAGGCAGGCATGGTGCGGGATTCGAAGTCCCCGCACTCGACGCCTACCTTCTGTGTTCGCAAACCGAACGGAAAATGGCGTCTGGTTCATGCTTATAACAAGCTGAACAGCGCGACAGTGCCTGCGCAGACACCGATCCCGCGAAAGGACGTGTTGCTCAACAACATGGCCGGCTGCACGCTGTATAGCGCGCTGGACCTGGTGGACGGATACTACCAGATCCTGATGCGCGAGAGCGACATCCCACTCACGGCGGTGAGCACGCCAAGCGGTATGCTCTGGGAGTGGCTGGTCATGCCTCAGGGTCTTTCTAACGCCCCGGCAACGTTCAATCGCTTGGTCACACAACTGTTCCGACCTTTGCGTGCGTTCACACAGACGTACTTTGATGACATCTTCGTCCACAGCCGTGCCGAGGCAGGCCAGACGGCCATGGAGGTGCATCTCCAGCACCTTCGACGTGTGTTCGAAGTCATGCGGGCGAACAAGCTGTACGCCAACATCGACAAGTGCGTGTTCGCAGCTGAGGAGATCAAGGTTCTGGGCTGCATCGTCAGCAGCGCCGGGGTCCGGGCGGACCCGGAGAAGGTGAAAACCATCGCGGCTTGGCCGCCACCTCGGTCGCAGAAGGACCTACGACAGTGGTTGGGCCTCGCCAACTACTTGCACAAGTATAGTGCAGGCTACGCCGAGCTGGCACGGCCCTTGTCGGATCTCCTGAAGAAGGATGTCGACTGGCGCTGGGAGCGTCGCCATCAAGATGCTTTTGACGACATCAAAGCGAGCTTACAGCGCGCGCCAGGCCTGGCATTGCCGGACGAGACGAAGCCTTTCAGCGTCGTCTGTGATGCGTCTGACTACGCAATTGGCTGTGCGCTATTGCAGGCCGACGATGAAGGCCGCGAACGGGTCATCTCGTTCCAGTCCAGGCAGCTCAAGGCAGCCGAACGGAACTATCCAGTCCACGACAAGGAGCTACTTGCCATGAAGTACGCTCTTGTCAAGTTCCGAGTGCACCTCCTGGGCTCGACGCCCTTTGTCGTTTATACAGACCACGCGTCCTTGCGGACTGCCGTCAACACGCCGCACCTCTCACAGCGGATGGCGCGTTGGCTGTCATTCTTTGCGGAATACAACTTCCGTGTCGAGTACAAGCCGGGCAAGTTGAACGTGCTTGCCGACGCGCTGTCGCGCTGACCCGACTACGAGCTTGCTCATATTAGTCGGGTCACGACGGATCTGTATGATCGCATCAGGCTGGGGTACCGAGACGATGCCAGTCTCGGACCTCTTGTGCGGTTCTTGGCCGCTGGCTCGGAAACCAAGGCCGAGTGGCTCACGCCCCGACAACGTGCAAGGCTGCACCGCTATGAGTGGGCTGACGGTTTGCTCCACTATAGGGTCGAGCCCGAGGATCCTCCCCGTATTGTCGTGCCCAACGACGAGGATCTCAAGTACGACATCCTGATGGAGGCGCACGGCGCTCCATCCAGTGGCCATCTTGGCCGTGAGAAGACGTACGCGTCTGTCTCGCAGATGTTTTGGTGGCGTCATATGTACAAGTGGGTCGCCACCTACGTCCGTACGTGCGAGACGTGCCAGCGCGTGAAGCCTGCCGGTCACGCCTCGGCACCATTGCAGAGCCTGCCGGTCCCAACGGACTGCTGGAAGTCGATGAGTCTCGACTTTGTCTTCGGACTTCCGGTCGATGACCGTGGCAACACTGGTGTTGTTGCCTTCGTGTGCCGTCTGAGCAAGATGGTCCACTTTGCTCCAGTTCATGACACCGTCACTGGCGACGAGGTCGCTCGCCTGTTCATGGACTGTGTCTTCCGACACCACGGTCTGCCCGAGACCATTGTCTCTGATCGAGACCCGCGGTTCACCGCTACGTTCTGGCAGACGCTGTTTCGCCTTCTCGGCACACGACTGTCGATGTCGACGGCGGACCACCCGCAGACGGATGGCCAGACGGAGCACGTCAATCGCGTGCTCGACGACACGCTCCACGGTATCTGCGCGGAGATGCCCCGCTCTTGGGCTGATCGCTTGCCCATGGTTGAGTTCGCACTCAACAATGCGGCACATGCATCGACGGGCTTTACGCCCTTTTACCTGAACGGGTTGGGCCACCCTCAGGTGCCGCTCACATTACGAGGCAGTACCGGGGCTTCGGTCCTAAGTGGGGGAGAGGCTCGGAAAACCTTTTCCTCCCAAGTCTCGGACGTGAATCCAGCCACCTTCCGGAAACAACTGTCCTCGTTTGCCGAAGACAGGCTGAACATAATCAGCAGGGTGCGAGACACCATGGCGCAAGCCCAAGATAAACAGAAGGAGTACTCTGACCGAAATGGAAGAGGAAACATGAACGTGTTTAAGGTTGGGGATTTAGTTCTCCTAGATACTAGAAACCTACCGCTAAACACTGTTAGCTCGGTCGAGAGCAACAAGCTGAAGCACCGCTTCATTGGACCCTTCACGGTCCTCAGCCGGCATGGCGCGGCGTACACCATAGACTTGCCCAACTCGATGACGACTCACCCGACGTTTTACGTGGGTCGTCTTAAGAGGTACCGTGGCCCTCTGGCTCTGGCTGCCCGCAGGAAGCGGTGGGTGGCCCGGTGGAGAAGAGCGCAGCTCCTCGAAGCACGGCGTCGGGTCGCGGTAAGGCGCCTGATACGCGCGCTGGTCGTAAGACGGTGCGGCGTACATCGGAGCAGCATACGCAGGGGCCCCGTACGAGCCCTGGCCAAACTGGGCCTGATACGAGTGGGGCTGCTGCTGCTCCGAATACGGCGCGTGGCCATGAAGCTCGGCCCGAAGGCCAGCGAGCTGTTAGACGACAGGTCGGCTCGACGATCCACACGGCCATGGAGACTGCGAGTTTCTTGATAGAGCGAGGCAACATCCTCACGGAGCCGCTCCACGGCACCAGGCTGACCAGCACGAGCGGCAGCCTCCCCACCAAGGCCGACGCCAAGCGCGATCTCGAGGACGTACACACGGTCCCGGAGAAGACGAATCTCCTCTTGCTGCAGGGCGACCACCTGACTCGGGGCCCCAGCATCCGGCTGCGTCACCTCAGGCTCGTAGCCATGGCCGTGCGAGGCCACCGCCGGCCCTCCTTGATCGTAATGGGCAGATCCACTACCACGTGGAACGAGTCGTCCGGGAGCGGCGGCTCCATGGCAAGCGCCAGCTGCTCGTGAAGTGGAGGGGTTACCCTGAGTCGGATAACTCGTGGGAGCCCGTTGAGCAGCTCCAGGCAGACTGCCCGAAGGCTGTTGCGATATGGGACGAGAAGCAGCGGCAGCTTCGTAAGTAGTCCTTGGCTTCTTGGCCGGTACCCGGGACGCGGTAGCAGACGTAGTCGCACCACGCCCACGCTCTTCACGAGCTTTGGCTCTCGCCTCTTGCTTCAGCTCGTCCATCTTCGAGTGGAGCTTGCGCTTGCTCACGAGTAGAGCGAACTCGATGCGGAACTCACGCACGTCCAGGATTGTGGACAGAGTGCGATCCTCACGGAGTTCTTTGAACTCTTGGTCGGAATACCCTTTGCGCTGGACGTAGCGCCAGAAGAAGTCTTCCACCTCGCTCCAGGTCATGTTGTCATTCGGCTTGACCCAGTGGAAACCCCACACAGGATGGAGTCCACCCTTGTCCTCCGGCTTCTTGCGAAGCGTGGTGAACTCCTTCAGTTTGAGTTTGAGCTTGTGTGGTGCTAGTAGCACACACCGGGCAACTTCAACGTCACCAAGAAAGAGTGGCTATTTCTCAACAAGAGCACGCTCCTAGGAACCCCTCGAGGTGTACCCGCCGATAAGGCCACGAGGAGCCGAGAGCTTCTCCAACAGCGCTGGCGCACCAGTGCCAGGCTCGGGCGGGAAGTAGCCCTGCGGGTACGTGGCATCCCCGCCTGAAGAAGACTCGATGGCAGTCGTGGCAGTCGGCTGCCTGGCATACGCACCCGAGCTAGCAGCGTGGTATTGCTGCTGCTGCTCGTCGAGGTTGTTGGAGAGCTCCTTGGGCTCGTGGACGGCACCCTCCTCGTCCTCAGACTCCGAGTTGATGAACAGCTTGGAGCTGGACCCGCGAGGCGACCTGGAAGCTGAACCTGCTTCGCCTTGGCCTAGGCGGCCTTCGCAGCGGCAGCCGCTTTCGACGCTTGGGCACGCTCACGACCTTGTGCCAGCGTCAGATGCTTGGATGCCAGCACCTCCTTGGGCTTGGAGCCCGCGTCGCTCGGCGACTTCTCGACCACGACCCCAGCGTCAGCCATGGTGACTTCGTCGTGCGACTGCTTGCTGTCGCCTGAGCCGGACTTGGCGTCCACCGCCTCCTTCTCTGACGAGGCCTTTGCGTCGGCCGAGGCGTTGGTCATGTCGCCTGCCGCCAGCTCCGTGCCTTCGGCAGCGTGCGTGCTGCCCTCCGAGACGTTCTCGTCGTCGGGTGAACTCTCACCGGAGCACAGGACCATCGTGCAGTCAAAGACGGCGGCTTCCCAGTCGCGAGCCGGGCTTTTATGACCCCGAGGACTCTCCTCCTTGTCTTGCGCGGCGTCAGGAGACTTGCTCCGAGCCCCGGCCTGACGGCCACTCTCCGGCGTGCTGCTACGAGAGCGCACCACCTCCTCGGCCGCCTTCGTGGCCTCCATCAGCGCGGACGACTCGTCCTTGGCCTTGGCCGCCCTGGTCTTCGGCCCTACGGCCCGCGGTTTCGGAGGTGCTTTCGCACTGCGCGCACTGCGCTTTGGAGGCATGCTTCCGGTCAACGTGGAGACCCTGCGGCTTGCTCGGCGATGCGCCAGTTGCTCTGTGAGGCCCGGGAGCCGAGGCACCAGAGCTCGCGCCGTTGTCGATGGATTTCGACTTTGCGAGTGAAATGTGAGTCGCCGGCGTAACCTCGCTCTGATTGGTCGATAAGATCGAATCTAAGTGGGGGAGGATGTAACGGGGTTACATGGAATAGTGACCCTGTCACTATTCCGGGATGGCTACATTGGTCACTTCCCTGGATAGTGACCCAAGTGGCCTCGGAGCCAACAGATACATTTTGTATGACACAAACTATAGGGAACTTAGGATTTGTATGCAGGCCAAATCTGTACCAACCTATAAATACATTCAGTCTTAGATCTACCGCTTTTCAAGTCAAGTCGTCCCCTTCAGACCAGGGACACGTGAACGGCTGTTCACTTGGAGTTTGTATACTCCTGCTTCCTCTGTTAAGAAGTGCTGTGTGCCCCGGCACACACTTGGTGATCTTGTATTGCACTCGACACGTGATCAAAACGCTAGATACAACTTCACTGTTGCGCTAGACATTATAACAACTATATGTTGCGAGGGGCGATGATGCGCTGGCCATAATTCAAGTGGACTTGGAAGACTGCATCGGCAACTACAACGAGGAATTTAGTCAATCTACCGCCAAGCTTATTAACTAAAGGCATGTTCCAGAATCACATCAGGCTAGATAAAGTAAGATATGCTATGCAGTCCAGGATAAATTGAATTCATTTCAGCTCCCCCCCCCAATCATGTATTATTAGTGTTGGCACAAGCACAAACTGTATAGCTAACGCTAGTGTTTGCAAATTGTTTGTTAGTGTGTTGTGAATATGGCTTACATGTTTGTGGAGTTAGACAATTTTAAACTATTTACTTGGAAGTATCCTGAACTAAAAGAGTCGAAGCTCTTGTCACTTGTCGGGAAGCTGACTTGCACACGAGAAAAAGGTATTCTTCCTTACACCAACCATGATCTCTTGAAACTAAGCAGCACTGGATTACTCTTGCTACGCCGTGGTGCGTACATGGAATGTGGACTCGGCTACGGGTGCTACTTAATTGTGAGTACACTTCACTGACTTCTGAGTAATTCGACATACTGTGACTTAGGAAAGATGCCACGTCCGGCATCGCCGTCTTGGACCAGACCAGAGGAGGATACAATGTAAATGCATCTGGGGAAGTAAAGCATTGATCCAATTATGCGGACGTGAGTAAGATAATAGAGAATTCAAGCATCATCTAGCAGAAAACAAAAGATAAGTTGCCCTAAAGGGTTTGTGGCACGTTATTTTAGTTCGTGAATGGCATCCCAACAAGCAGCGTATTTAAAGTGTAGTCAATAGTTTCAAGTTGACGCAGCGCACGAATTTAAATGAAATCTACGTACTCGGAAGTCCGAGCACATTACTCGTTACTCAAAAATCCGCGAAATGTACTCAAAAGTAAGGGTAATCCCTCGACAACGGTACCAGTGGCCATTAATTTGATCTGCTAATGATAGAGCAGCAAACATACAAACGCGTTTGCAAACAGCACTAACGGTAAGTTAGTGTGTTGTGAAAATCACTAACATGTTTGCGGAATACACTAACTGTAATGCATACTGGTAACGCTATACAACAGAGTAACTATACGGTTTCAAACGTTTTCCCCGACCAGAACGACTCTTTCATGGTATTTTACCTGGCATTCGTTTGTGTCGTCTGTACATGCGGTAAATTCATTACGTGCTCGCGCTCGCGTTCCCATTGAGAAACATCAAATTACCAGTGAAACTCGTCATGAAAGGAATTAACGAAAAATGGAAATGAGATGCACAATTCTGTGGTGGATTTAATCATGCAGATAGCCGCTGTCAATGAATAATACCGATGCACACTCGTGCAGAAGTACATGGTTTGGTAGTCGACTGGGGTCGCCAGATTGAACACCGGCATCTCGTCCACGCAAGACTTGTCCAGCCTGGATTGGTGTCTACCGCATTAGCGCTTGTTAATCACTCCCATAGTCCCATAGCTCATCGAAATCACTGGGTGTAGTAACCCAGACTGGAGTTGAAGGCGCCATCGTATGCATCATCCGTATAGTCTGGTAGTCGACTGGGACCGCCAGATTGAACGCCGGCATCTCGCCCACGCAAGACTTGTCCAGCCCCTTGAGGTTTCCCTTGTTGTTGACATACGAAGCCAGAATCTTCGCGCCGCAAGTACTACCAGAATCCAATGGGGTCCACATGAGCGCGCCGTGGATGGAGGTGTTGAAGGTGACCATCTCGTTTTGGTCTCCATCCAGCGTCTCCAGCAACGCCTTAGCGTACTCGTGCAACGTCTGAGCGTCCAACTTGCTGCTCAAGAGCAGAACGCTGGCCTGGCGGGGGATCGTGGCGGTCTTGTTCCAGTACTGGTCGCGTTTGTAGGTAATGGGTTTCGCAGGATAGTTGCCGACGTTGAATTCGTCACACGCCTTGGACTTTTCCTTGGAGAAGGCGCAGTACTGCTCAGGCTGCCCAGCGAATGCCCCGGTGGAGATAAGGGCGTTCTCGAACCGCTTATCCATTTCGGCCTGCGAAGGCTGCGGGCGCTCCCACATCTCTGAGAAATAGATGAGGCTGGATAGAAGTGGGGAGTCGAAAGCTGCGGTTTGGGATGATGCGCTGGCGTGCATGTTGTAGTAGGCGATGTATTGGCCCAACACTTCAGCGTCATTCGAGTCGCAGCGCTTCATGCGGTAGGCAACCGGAGGGATATGCTTTCGTTGCTCCGCATCCATCAGCATCATGCCGAACACAATTCTTAACGCAGCGAAGGTGGAACATCGCTGTAGCCTTTCACGTCCTTCAGCATACTCGCACACGTCGAGTTCGGGTCTTTGTCGAAGTCCGAAAGCAAGCCTCGAAGGGTTGTAGGCAGCGTGTTGGGCTTCTTGAAGTAACTGCTACAGGTCTCGTCCTCCGCGCACAGCACCAAGAAGCGGTCGCCCACGATACCGAAGTCAACATCCCGTTTGGACATGTAGAAAAACTTGTCCGCTGACGCTCCCGACGCTGTGGCGACGCCGTCCATAACGTACCCCGTCACCTTTGGGGGGTTCAAGTGCATCACGCGCTCCACAAACAGTGTTCCGTAGCTGGCACCATACAAGATGGTATTGGCGCTGTTCGTATACTTGGCGATGAAGGTCGCCAAATCCGTGGCGGAGCTTGTCACCGAGAAGGCAGCGAGATCACCGTACTTATGTTACAGTTCCTGAGCACAGGCCGGAACTTCCGATGAGTCGAAGTCCTTACCGAGCGGAGATCCCGTGGTAGTAGCCTGCGCGGCAACGCAGTCCAGGTACGTGCTGCGACCAAGACCGCGGTAGTCCATAGTGTACATATTCGCAGTGCCATTTAGTTGCGTGAGCACGTCAATCATCGAAGATTCCACTGGAAACGACAACCACAGCTTAAGTCAGAAAAAATGACAAGAATTACGAAATCGTACGGAACATACTTACAATCAGTGGACGAAGATGGACCTCCTTGTAGGAACCAAACGTTCGTAGCGGTTTTTGGGTCTGCGTTGGTTGCCGGGATGCGCTTCACGAAGACATCAACCGTCGGGTCGGCGAACTTGGGCGCCTTACAGATTACAAGGGCGCACTGAAGGTGGCGCTCTCGGTGTACTGCCCCGTCGAGCTTCCTTCATCGGAGAAGGTGAAATCGGTGCACTTGAACCAGCCGTTCAGTCGGATGCTGCCGAGGTCTGGGCGATGACGGCCGCGAGCGCGAAGAGCTGGTAGAGACGCATTTACCGCTACTCGGCAAATTCGGAAATGAGCTTGATTGTTGAGGCTGACAAAGGTGATGATTGCCTCGTTATTGGCTCGGTGTTTATGAGTCGACGGGATGTACAGTACCGTATTCATCCCGTCGTGGTTCGTGATTGTCAACGAGTCCTTGGCACAGCCTTGAGTTGTGCCTGCCGACTGAGCGTCGCATTGTCCGAAACCATACGGCTCCGAGAACGATGGGTTTTGGGCATTGTCATCATGTCTACGTATTATAATGCGCTTCCATAAGCATTTATCACTGCCTCGATACGTCTTCAACGCTACTTGTACCGGTACAATTGGCGCTCTCACTTCCGACGCCGTGATCTCCTGATTATTTTTCAAATTTAATATATATAGAATTATAAAGTTATATAGGCGCATGGGCTCCAATAATGACGGGGCGCCAGCCGGGTTTGGCCGTATCACTTACGCTATGTAGTTCGCGGCAGGAACTGCGGTAGACGGCGCCTGATGCCGGCCTGTGGTACGCTGTTGTATGTTATCTCGCCCCGCCGGGCTTGCGCAACACCGGCGCCAGCGCCACTGGAGTAAAAGCTAGCGGCCAGACTCCTGACCGTTTTCTAGATTGTCAGCAGCTCGGTCTTACTCTCGTTACTCCACCACGTCGGCTGTGATGGGCATGTTTTTGAAGCGCACCTCCCTCTTCGCCATGGTGCGGCCTGGCGCGTCCTCGAAGCGCGTGGGCACGTAGTTCTGCACTGCACACTGCAGCACCTTCGGCCCCGCTCCATGAGCTATGTGGTGACTGGTCTTCTACCTACCAGACTTTATTGACTTTTATTGAATTTAGCACTCTGACAATTAAAGGTGGACCACGGTGTCGGAAGTGGGAGCGCCAATTGTATAGACTAACGAACGTCCCTATTTTTATGTGCGTGAGAAATATCCTCTGTAACTTTGCAAGCGTAGCTGACCATGTATTGTACTGGCCACGCTCATAGATACACCACATTTTTATAATTGAAGTTTCTCCGGAACTACAGCGCCCTATTAGCGGCACCACGCCTTAAAAGAAAGATAAGCGTTGCGTCAATGCATTTACAACATACATCTGTGAGACAACTTTAACTCACTCCACACACTCAACTTGAAACCAACTTCGTAACCTAAAATTTTGGTTGCTGTATTTCATTTCGTGAAAAGAATACAAAACAAATGCTCTAACTGACGACAGCCACGTGCTCCTAACTCTGCCTTGAACGCCAAACTGAAAACGAGGAGACGCGCTTTTTCAAGCTAACGGAGATTACCGAACAATACCCCGGGCACTATTTATTAGTACCGCATCGCCGAAGTCATAGTTCCTACCTGATCTACAAGGGGGTTGTGGTTATAAGGGATCCCTTAAGTATACTTTGTCGTGTGATTGCTGATAGTAAAAGCGATTATGATTGGCTAATAGAAAGTGCGCTTTATGATAAATGTGCAACAAATATGCTAAATTATGGATATTATTGCCGCTTGCAAATACTTTGCCCTCTAAAATAGACCACGCCTGTCTCTTAATATGAGTGGACACGAGATAGGCGAGGGCTGATTTAGCTTTATGCTTTGCTGGGGGCCGCTTTTAGGCCCAGAAACTCGGTTTGGCCCGTCTAGAATGGCATTTCTGCGTTTCCAAGCCGTAGAAAAGCGCCTTGGTCGAGAAAACAGAGCCCCAAGCTCGGATCTTAGACCGTACTGGCGAGATATATAAATCAGACCTAGGTCTTAATTAAGAGCTGGCTGGATTAAAATCGAGATTATTAACGAGATAATAAGCATGTGTTGGCCAAAATATCTACAAACGGCAATACACAGTATAAACATGCTTTCGACAATAAATTCATAACGATATACTTGATCTTTGTATGGAAGTAACATCGTAACCCTGGGATACACATTGGGTTAGGTTTTAGAGGGTACTGCCTTTGTAGAGCGGAACGGGGGGGCGTACACACCCAGTAGTTTTACCTAAACTGACCGCCGCGTAGCGGCGGCGCTCGGCTAGTTGTATGGGATGCACACACCATAACACGGAAGCGCGACATGTTAAGGATGTACATTTGGTAAGGATAATACATACAAATGTCTCGATAAACAGGATTAAAAAATAATGTAGATGACGAGAAGGATAGCAAGCAGTTTTGTGATGCACAATTGTACTTACCACAGGCAATACTAAGAAGCAGTGTTATCGTAACTTTGGCATGGTGGTTAATTTGCAATCTTTCTTTGGCTATACACGTTTTGCCATATTGTTTCAAAGTATACGTAGCAACCTGTAAGGCAAAGGAAAGGCTGTAGAAGTTAGTCTCCCTGGGGAGTTATGTAGGATATTCCGCGCATCTTCAATAAAAATCGTACAGCAATAGAGCTTAAAACAATACGGTCCTACTCACGGTCAATGCGTACCCAAACAACCCCATGTATCTGAAGAACAAAAAAAAGCTACCGCGCTTGCGCTTGGGGATCGGTTCGCTTCGCTCGCAGGGTATTATGTATCATGCCTGTTTTACATCAAATATGAAGTATGTACACCGATAACCGTACGTCCTCGCGCAACATACAGATACGGTTGAAACCGTATAGTTGGATACTCTATACCGGTAGCCCTAAAGGTGTAACGTCGACATTGGGTCGCTCCCGGGGCGTTGTGCTTTTGGTCAAATGAGCCTTTGTGTCAGAGCTACCATCCGCCAGAGATTCATAACCAAATTGCCTTTTTACACTGATCTCTACGCATAGTTTTCTCCTACAGCAGAGAGCATACACCGCGACATAATCACAATTCCAACTCAATATACCTGTCACGAAACTCACGACTGCAGAATCTCCGTGAAAGGCTATATGATAGCGCTTGAGGCCGCTTGAACCAAAATGCACTTGTGGCTTCGCTCGTCGATCCACTTCGGACAAATATAGTCAACTGGGTCCAACCAACCCGAAAAGAAGGGACATACATGGTTTACTTATCCACATGACCAAATTTGAATTGAGGTTTCAGGAGCGACACATTGGCCCTCTTCAGCAAATTTGGAACCTGAAACCTGGTAAAAGTTCCAAGATGCGGTTTTTCGAGGCACTTCAGGTAAATTCACCTGGAACCGCACACTTTTACAACATTCATTCTGTACATAAAATTTTGCAGTGCCCTCCCTCGGTTCCACTTTCCCACGCGTTCGTTGGCCACGCGAGCGCCGGCGTGCGGCATGAACGCCATCAGCGAGAGAGGAGAGAAGGAGAGAGACGTTCCCACTGCCTAGTGGTCACTGCCAAGTAAGGATTGCCTTCGACAAGCAGCCCAGAGTTCGTGATGCTGTTATTACGCCCTCAGTCGAGCTGAGCTGTCTCCGCTGCATGCACGGCTACGCCATCCTTGGTGGTGTGGCCCACACGACCTTCTATTCGATTAAAAAGTTCCAAGCTTCAGGGAGCCCCAGAGCTGAAACTTTGTCACTAAAACGAGGTAATCTTGGAACATTTTTCGCGGTTTCAGGTAAAAATGAGCATGCTGAAGGCAATTTTCCCTGGAACCGCGAACTATCTTCCAGCGTTTGCTGAAGAGGGCCATTACTGTAGGATAAGTAGTATTTGGCCGGAAACCCGACCCCTATGATAAGCTTGCCACCTCGCTGTAGCCAACCAGCGATTTGTTTCTTATCATTTGTGACCTATTTTCATCCAATCGTCGCTCATTAGGGTTAGGTTTATTTCGTTCCAACTTATTTCTGGAATCGTCCGGAATTTTCTTCTTCGCGCAAATAAAGTAACCATACAAAACTAAAGATGTTTCTCGTACTTATTCGATAAGAGCAAAACCTGCCGGATGTAGCCACTTCCAGACTTGCCCAAGCTGCTCGACACTGTAGCTGGAAGGTCAAGGCCGACTCCAACAACCCAGCAAGCGCGGTAGTAATGTAAATGAAAGACAGAATGGTCAAGTAAATAAATGAAAGAATATGTAGCAATCTTGATCGATAAACAATCAAACAATCAAGGGCTTGATGTCTACTGGTACTAGCTACACTGCGCTTGGCCGTCCTGCAGCTGCGTGTTCGCGCTAAGTGCCGCCCCAGGTCCTTGGTCTTGCTCTCGCGCTTGACGAAATTAAATGCTCCATCTTCTCATTGGGGTCGAGGTTGCTCCCTTGCCGCTCGTTCAGTGGGCGTCCAGGTGTAGTAGCGCGCTGCGGGTCGCGTCACCGCTCACGTACTCGCTGGTCACTGCGCTCGCCACCTTGGTCGGCATCGACTCCGTCGTCTTGGTCGGCGGACATCGCTTCAAGCGGGCGGCACGCCCAGCCGTACCCAAGACATTCACAGCGCCGTTGGCATCCGCGGACAAGCCGGCCGCCTTGCTGCTGTCGCAAGAGCCTCTTCCTTCGTCGCGGCCTTCTCGGGCTTCTCCTTCGTCGTCTCCTCGGGGATGTGGTCTTCCGTCTGCACCGCAGCCTCCGCAGCACCTGCTGCAACGCGGTCGGCTGCCTCTAAGTCTTCATTCTGCACCCGCCTGCTCCTCCTCCAGCTTCATCACCTTCGACGTCCTCCTGCTCCTGCTGCACTACATCCAGGGGCCCCGCAGTCAAAGTCTCGCCCGAAGCGCTCTCCTCCCGCACCACTTGAACTGTAGCTCGTCCTCGCGCTGCCCGCGCGTCTGCGCCTGCTGATCCCACGCCGTTCCCTCTTGCCCGAGTCGGCGATGCACGCGTTCTTGCATCTCCTCCCCGTCGCTAGTGCGTACAGCACCACCGCCAGGCGCTCCGGCGACTCTTGGTCCACTTCCGGCCCGCCCGGAGAGCTCATCTTCGCCGCGTACGCCGAGCTGGACGCCGCCGAGCACAGCGCGAGCGGATATAGGCCAGTTGTCTTGAATATTGTTGGTGTAGGCGCGGTTGGGTGCGCGTCGTAAGTCTTGACGAAGATGTAACCGCCACTTATCAGCGCACCGTACCGCGGTCGCTCATGCCCACAAGTTAGGCGCCGCGCTGGCGTCCGACAGCGCCGGCCCGCCGCTCCTTCCACTCAATGTACGCGACACATCCTCCGTTTGCTCGGGCACGGCTGCAGGCTGCCCGTCGTGCCGCCGCGGCGAGCTTAACTGCCCTCCATTGCATCCTGCGCCACTCCAAAGAAAGATTGAGAGAAATATAACATTACGTAAGTGCAAATATCACACTATCCGCTGCCGTCCGGAATGAATAAGTGGGCGCAGATTGGCGCAAGTAATTTTATGTGTCGCCTGTGTGTCTCTATTGCAGGTTTGACAGGTTTACGGATTCCGGTCCGGAATCTAGCAATTATTGTAGGTACCCTCACTTCCGACACCTAATACTCCTTATTACTTCTGAGATTTAATGTGTTTATATTGATAAGGTTGCAGAAGACCTAGCTAATATATTATGATCGTTACGAGGTTTTCGCGCCAAAACCATTCATTTCACATTTTGGCAGGCAGCAGTGAGGAGCATCGGGGGCAAGTGTGAAGAAGCATGATGAAGACACGGCGATGACGCAAGAAGAATTCTGCGCTGCTGCTGCTACTGCTGGGTGTGGCACCCCGCCAGCTCCTGGTAGACCTCTCGCGGGACGAAGGCGAAGAGCAGCGCCGCCGCGGATAGGAAAAAGCTGCTCGACGCCATCCAGGAAACGTACGTCCTGTGGACGCGTCCAGCACGTGCGCCGACAGTGCCTCGTGCAGCGAAACGGAGCGCTCAGGCGCGAAGTACCTGCGCTATATCTTAGCCCATGCTACTGGGGCTGGAGCTGAGTCGTGTTCGGGGCGCTGAGCCTGCAGCCGCCCACGGACGGAGCTTTTGGAGAAGGCCTACAAAGACCAGCTAACGCCAATGCAATGGAGTGAGGTAATCTGCGGTACGATGTGCGCTAAACTCGTCTCGCACTGCTGGTGCTATCCATACATGTAGTCTTGCCTCTCAATGCATCTGCGACCATGATGAGCTTGACCTCTATGAGCCAAAATACAGCATAAACCCAAGCAAATACAATCCCCCTTTAAATCCGATAGAAAAACCGATGTCGGAAGTGAGGGTACATACAGTATCGAGACAGTGATAAGTGCATTAGAAATGATGGTCATGTCTAAATCCCCATCATTCTTGGAGCCGTATGGTTTCGAACAATGCGACGCTCGGTCGGCAGGCACAGTTCAAGGCTGTGTCACGAAACCGCTGACCAACAGCGGGAATCACGACGGGATGAATACAGTACGGCATACCCATAAACTCATAAACACCAAGTCAATAACGGCGCCCTTCGTCAGCCCCTCAACACTCCAACTCACTTCCGAATTTGCCGGGTAAGGGGTATTATTCGGGAATTTACGTTACATGTATATTTTGACCATTTGGGACGCCGAAAAGTGAATATGATTACTTACACAAGAGCGAGCTTCTTGAGACGCAGACGAATCTATTGATATCTGTACTCTTTAGAAATTCGGTCTAGTTCTTGGGAGCACTTACACCATTTCAACCTCAAATTGAGAATCTGAACGATCAAGAAAATCTCCAATCAAAACGAGAAGATAACAAAATAGGATTTGCTGTCCTGGCTATTGCTTTCCAGAGGCTCCGATCAGTGTCGCATAGAGTGTCCAAATGCGACATAAATAATATTTTATGAGTTGCTAAAGGATATATTTTCTGAGCTTCACGTAATCATAGAGGTTTTCTTGTTTTGATTGTACGGTTTCTCGTTTTGATTGTAGTTTTTCTCAATTTGACCTTGAAATGGTGTATCCCGACCACGTGGTCGGGATAGAATGACTACCAGATAGTCAAAAGTGGTATTGTGAATGCGTCGCACGGATGATCGCGCCGTTGCGCTCGACAAGTAATGCTATCTTTGCTAAGTTTGCTGGTAACGCCTTAGATAGGTTAGAAGACTAGATTACAGCAGAAGAGCGATGATAATGCTGGCGCATGTGTCAGTGGGGCTATAGTTGCCAAGCGAAGGCTGACCTGGTGTTGCCACTTTCGTCACGCAACAACTTTATGCTGAAAATCTATTCATGGGTAGCGAGGTCTGCCTTCAAACCCCTGCGTCGTGCTTCTTGATGCTCGCGCTGACGCGCTCGTCGATCAATGCTACGCTTAGAGTAGATGCCGCATTCCAGGTTTACCTGGTTTTGTCTCCTCTCTAATAGAATCAATGCTAGCAGCAGTTATTTATTTGCTGTTTAGATTGCTTTATCAGGTTTGGATACCCTTATCGAATTATCAATGTCCTAGGGTGAGTGAATCGCCCCCCCTTTCGTCCACAACCCTTCAAATCGTTTAACTACTTGACGCAGCATTGCTTATTGAGCGCATCGGCGCGATCATTAGTGTATCTCGCCCGAGGCGATTCCTGAGGAGGTTCCTCGTATTGTCCTTGAATTGCGAGTTAAAAAGGTCACAACTATGCCAGACTTTCCTAGTAGTGTGATCGCTGCTACATATGATCGCGAACCAATACAGAGTTGTGACTACAATTCGTAAATGCCATAGTTATTAAAGCAGTTAGGAAGAACACTCGAAGCCTCTGGAGCTGCAGTCTTCGATGTACAACAAAGATAAGATCTTTTGTGTATCTATGCGAGGGGCCAGTTCAATAATACATGTTATTGTGAGAATTATTAGATCTCATCTGCCTAATTAATCAGAGTACAAATTAGGGCTGAAATCGATCGTGATCTAGATGCATCACTTGACTGCTCGATTGCCCAGTAAAAGGTGGGCATTCTGCTCCAAGCGCGGCTATATCGACTTGGCTTCCATAAAACGATCGCCTAAGGCCCTGGTTTCTCCGTGGGTCTGGGGATATCTGGGGCCCAACCAGGAAAACCCCAGGATTTGCATATAATTCCCACCCCCTTGGGGGTGAGAATAAATGGAGGATAATATCCCCAGATGCGTATTAGATGTGACGAGCTGATTAGTATCACAAGCTGTAAAACCTAGATCAATTCTCAGCACGATATTCAATTTTACAATCGCGTACGTAGCCTTGCCACATGCTTGGCTGAGTGCTAACTCTCCCGACAAATCTCGATGGAGATTTGAGATTAGCCAATAGGCTCGCTTGCATTTTATCCCCAGACCCAGACACCGACGGAGAAACCAGGGCCTTACTAATCTGCACATCCACTCGCATATGCATCGCAGGGCGCGATCGATTTACAAATCGATCGAGCTAAATCATAGTGCTAACCAATCGATTTACGAGCAAAATAGGCAAATGAAGCGGTTTTCACAATAGCACATCGTACCGTCCATATAGACGGATAATAAAGACGGATATTTTTCTTGAAGTAATAATAGGCATCGCCAATAGAACATAATATTATATAATAATACAATGGTGCTCAGGTCATAGGTAAGCTATTATAATAATAAGCTCTGGGGCAATACACTCAACGATAACACGGTAATGGTATTGTGGATTTCACGAATTTTGGCGTGGACTAGCCATTTCTCGGTATTTCCGGCGAAGACGGAAATTAAGTTTTCCTGGAAGAAGGAGAGGACGACGTTTGTCAAGACTTCGCGCTCCAGGTCGCTACCAACAACTTCAAGCCGTCAGGTCACAGGCGGGTCAGCTGGCAACCGTGTTCGACCCACGGTTCTGACCCGGCTGTTGTAGGATAGAAATAGCAGGAGATGAGCGATTCTAAAAAATGACCGGCCATTTCATATCTGACCGGGGTGATATTTTGGAAATGGTTTGGTCATTTTGGGGGCACTCAAGTGGAGATATTTTTTGCACCATTTGTCAATTCTGACCCCAGACGATAATTCATCCTGGGGCCACGGTCGACTTTATGAGTATTGAGCGTAACGAGTGGCTAGTCGGAACCGTAGTCATAAAAGTGGCTAGTCGAAAATTATTATGTGGCTAGTTGAAAAACCGCACCCTTGGCGAAGATGGCAGCTTCGAAGCATCTGAACATGATGCTTGCATGCAACACGACACGTCTAAAGCAGATTTGAGGTCTCGCCAGGCAGGACAGGCAGCGTAGATGACTTCAACAATCACAAGATGGCGTGACCAAAGAGCATGACCAAATCCGTTTATGACATGTAATATATAGTTCCCTCCCGTCAAGTATCAAGTGGTCAATGCTGCGACTGCTTCGTATCGCAATTGAAAATTTTGAAAACCTTCCGAGAATCGAGTCGGGAGCGGAGAAAAATTGACGTACGCTACCTTCATCCGCATGAATATAGGACATCCACGGTCGTGGCTATAATAGTTGTCCATGCCCGCGGTCATGGTTGCGGTAAAAAAAATTGAAGGGTACCGTTAACCGACCAGAAGTTCGGCTGAGGAGTTCTATCAGTCTACAAAATGCTTTCATTTTCACTCGCCATTTTATGCCAGGCTTTCTGTAAACACTTTGGCAAAAGGTACCGGTATTTCGAGAGTCTGTTTCCAAACAGACTGGCTTCTGGACGAACGATCTCGTTTACGCTGGTGATTGATTATGGGGCGATTCCCACCGCTAACGGTACAGTTGCTCTTGCCTGCTCTTGGATGTTCTGCGGGACAGTCAGTCCAAATTCACTTTTACCATCTAGCGCCATCAAGTCCATCTCACTCGCCAAGAAACGCGCATGCGTATCGGTATCGTCACGCTAGCGGCCGGCGTCGTGCTGCTCAGCACGTCCCTCTCCGCCGATGCTGCTATCGAAACCAAAACAACCGCAGTAGAGCCCGTTACCAACCCGTCGCTACGGAGCGGAACCCGGTGGACCGAGAAATCAAAGGTTAACGATGCCGATGGCCTCGACTTCAGCAACGTCGAAGACACCGACTCGAGTGACGAAGAACTTTCGCCATCTGCAAAAGTGGTTGAGAATGAAGAGAGGACTCTTGTCAAACCTTCCGCGTCAATGGATTCGTTCTGGGTGAAGGCATTCTACAAAATGTTCCCGCATGTCAAGCCTCCGGCCGCCGACATCAGGCACGTCCCGCTTCGCCCGCCTCGTTTTGTAGATGCTGGCGACGGTTTGGTAAAAATCGCCCACTGAATTGGTGAAAGGAGAAACCCACCAACCCTTCAGTCTGCACCGTAGGAGCTCGTGAATAAAGCTTGTCAATTGCCTATCGACTATTTGGCCCGATTCGTTCGCGATCGCACGAACGATCGCGAACGTATCATTCACGAAGCCCCTCCTCGATCGAAGTTGCACATGACGTGTTTGAAAGGCGACGTGCGTGTCACATATTGCACGACGGTCGTCGAAACACCTGATTGGCCTCGGCCACCCTGGCATCGTCTCGGTATCTCGCTCTGCTTACAGGCGCTGCACTGCACTGCAATGCGATGCATTGCGAGGGAGCCAACGCCGTGAGCGGGGGGAAGCTGTTGCCCCTCGCGTTGCACCAGCCAGAAAGCGGTGGTGCCGCCATATGACTGCAACCTGTGCTTGCAGCCACGTGGGAATTGCATGTCTCTAGCCGACGCTACGCGGCGGTAAGTTTAGGTTAGTCGTAGTAGTGAGGGCCGCCCACCTCCATTTCGCTCCGGTGGGCTGTTTTTCAGTCAAATGTCATTAATTTGGATTGTATGCACGTAAGAAGGTGTTTGTATGTTGGGAGTACTCTTAGTATGGTTAAAAGTGGCTGGTATCAGCTTCATCACGTCAGTGTTACTATAAGTAGATGCACTTGCAAGATAATATATTTTCTATCGCACGGTACTGTGTTGTAAACCATGTCCAAATCGTCGCAGGTATTCAACCCAAACTGCAAAGTATCTGCATTTAGAACAGCTCGTGTTTAGTGTGCTCTCATAAGTCTGTATACGTGTTATTTTACCAAGTGTATCACTCTGCCATGGTTTCTGTTAGTTGGTCCAAGAGTATAGCCTTTACATTATGTATCAAGGCTATAAGCCTAAATAACAATCCACGCTTCGCAATGCCTCTCCTTAGCATATCGTTAGTGCTTCGTTCTTATTAAAACATCGTGAACATATACATATCGGGATCGTTTCGGCATTTATATGATCCATAAATGTATTCAACTTCGGGCTGCGATAATGTGGCTTCATCAAAATTTATTTTTATTGAAGTATTAGTCTAAGCGGAGTACATAAGCACATTAGCGCACCACCTGCACCACAGCCGCTAAGACATTGAAAGTAACGACTTTGCATTTCGTATCTATGAAGTACACGTTGCACTATGCAAGTTCCGTTTCCAGCGTTTAGCATACAGGTAGAGCGCATCCAAGGTTATCTATCATAGAACTCCAGCTCATTGAATGTCAGCGTCTACTATTCAGATCTCATTATACTACATACCGACACATAACATAAGCTATCGATGCATGAACCACTTTTAGCCTTTAGCCTGTATCCCGATCTCCAATGCTATACAGAGAACGGAAGGGAATTCAGGTTCAGCATGGCGCGGTAGGAAGAATAAATACCAGCGTAGTGTAAGTAACCTAAATACACCTTATTCACACACACATGAACCCCTTTTAGCAATAGCAGATGCTTCGAAGGATGTTTATCACGTTGAGAGCCAAGTACGCGGTAGTTGTAATTAATTTGTCCCTGTAGTTTTACTATAGTGAAATAAGCTCGGCTCCTTGTTAATACTTAACCACCTTCAGCTCACCTTGCGCTACATGTACTCGCACTGCTACCACTTACAACGTTGCTGCTATCACTTACTACGTGCTCCTATCACTTTCTGCGTGCTGCTATGGCTAACTATACGTGCATGCCGCTGACTGCATGCTGCTATAACTAACTATGCGCTGCTATGGCTTACAATGTGTTTATATGAACCAACCTCGCTACCTTACCATTATACTAAGTAGTAGGGCAGGCCCAGCTACCTATCGCTATGCTATAACGCGGTGATCCGAACGGGGGTGATCTTATCGCCCCCGTTCCCGCAAAAGCCTGATAGATTTGGCACCCTTCACTAAAGCAGTTTTGCCGGGTGCCAAGTCTTTCAGAAAGTCAAGGTTGTCGCTCATTGGCCAATCAAAGTTGCGTATAGAGGTGGTTGGATGTGAGCGCATTTCAAAAGAAGGTAGATAAATCTGGGGAAAGAGCATTCGGCCCATTGGCAAAATGCCTCCGCATCGCATTAAGCTCGCCCATACCATCGAATTCAAGATCAAGACCGTCGAGGACTTCGCTGCATCGGGTGAAACCTGAGTGGCCTTTTGCACTGGCCGAGACTTTTCGCGTCCTACGCTACAGTACTGAGAGCACCATTATGCCTCCATGAAGGCGGCTGTTGAAGACAAGAAGCGATCTAAGAAGCTGACTGTAGGTGGTAGTGGCCGCGTCTCGCCATCTGCATGTGTCGAGGAAGAACTACGGGGCTGGATCAAGGACGAGAGGCGTGAAGAGCGGGCCGTGTCGATGGATTGCATCATTGCGCACTGTATGGTGATTTTGCCGGGCTTCCTCGACAGCAAAACAGCCACCGCACGTAAATCGTGGTGCAGCAAGTTCATGCGGCGAAATGGACTCACTATTAGGCGCATCTCGCACTCTGGCCGCAAGAAGCTGCGGGAGCTGATAGCGCTGCGCGATGCGTTCGCGTGCGAGGTGACCAAGGTGCTGACTGACCACTTTGTGGATGCTGCCACGTCGACGCCGCCGCCCTATGTACTCTACAATATGGACCAGACTGCGGTCTACTGCGACGTGGGATCGAAGACAACGGTGGACTTCGTCGGGGTAACTCGCGTCCCTGCTGTTGGAGGTGGCCAGGGCAGCTACCGTTGCACCGTCGCGCTGCTCGCATACACGGATGGCCGCATGCTGCCACCGCACTTCGTGTTTGCGGGCGAGCCCGACAATGACGTGTACGCCGAAGTGTCGACCTACTGTGAGCCGGGCGTCGCTACGTTTTCGTGTCAAACGAAGGCGTGGTTTGACGAGCGTGTCATGCTTGAGTGGATCGAAAAGGTGTGGCAGTTTGAGGTGAGCGGACCGACCGTCCTCATCCTGGACGGCCTTAAAGTGCACAAATGTGCTGCCGTGCGGCAACGGCTTGCAGAAATGGGCACCTACACTGTGTACGTCCCTGCAGGTTGTACCTCTGTGGCTCAGCCGCTAGATGTGGGAGTCATGTCTCCTTTCAAAAGCAGTCTAACAGCCCGTTACACCGCGCTGTACACGCACCGCCCACCGCCACGCAAGAACTGGGAACGCCGCTACGACATGTTCCAGCGCTCCATGCACGCGCTTGGAACTATCACGGCAGCAACCATCCGGGCCTCGTTCGTAGAGGCCGGTCCGTTCTTTCCGTTCGGGCCGCCGCCAAGCTCTTCGGTCTAGTAGTTGTGTAGGTACATAGTGTATGTGAACCACATCGTTTCAAAACAAGGTGGGTTAATACATTAGGTGTGCACTGATTGGTCAGCTCTTAATACAGGCGAGGTCATCCCTGCCAAATCTTTCAGTGTGCTAAATCTATCAGGCTTTTGCGGTACATCGCAAGGGGGGTCTGCCTTCGGCAGCAAAAGGTTGTTTGTGCCATTACTGGGGGCCGCCTGCTCGGCAGCTAATCGAACTTAGTGGGAATCGTACTTAGCGAATAAGTGTGACGATTTCTGTGACCGACGAACAGCGTCAAGCATCGGGCATGAGCGAGCGAAATGCAGCCCGCTCACTTCAAATCACGAGCTGGGTTCTGCTGCTCCCTCGGATAAGTACGACCCCAACGAGCAGCTCGTTTGAGGAGTGAACTGATAGGCTAAAATGGCTCAGCTTTGTGGCAGCATCACACTCAACAGAGGTGCCCCATAATACTGATACGGGTTTGGCCGTCAGCTACAGTAACTACAGAAGCCGATGATACCCCCATCAGCATGAACAACTGCTCTGAGTGCAAGTTAGGCACAATTTCTTAAAGTAAATTTATTATTATCCAATTAATGTGTGGAGCTTTGATTCGCGCTCCCCCCTTTAAATCGATTTCATGTGAGCAGCTACAGATCAGCGAGCGCGCTCATGAGGTTTTAGCTGCTCGTGCTTGTTCCCGCGAGCAGTGCTCCCGCTCAGCTCGTGGGATGCTTGGACAGCGTCGTTCTGATTGATTCTTAGGATTTCTATATCTACAGAAACCCGCGAATCCCGATCCGTTTCTGATTTCACGCCATACGAAAAAGTAGTGACAAGGCTGCCGCCAACTCAGAAATATTTCTATATTAACCTGTGTACAGCTGGTGTGGACGGGCACTTCGCGCGGTCCTCCCATTTCATCATTTCTGCGCGAGCAGCTACGCACCAACCCTCGGAATCCCCGTCCCCACCCTCCCACACATAGAGACCATGGCCGAGACCACCGCCGCCGCCCCCGCCGCCGAGGCGACGCCCGTGAAGGAGTTCACGCTGGAGGACGTGGCCCCGCACAACACGGCGGAGGACTGCTGGATGGTCATCCGCGACGAGGGCATCCGCAAGGTGTACGACGTGACGGCCTTCCTGGACGACCACCCGGGCGGCCCGGAGATCATGGTGGACGTGGCCGGCCAGGACGCCACCGACGAGTTCGAGGACATCGGCCACTCGAACGACGCGCGTGCGCAGCTCAAGCAGTACGAGATCGGCAAGATCAAGGGCGACGTCAAGCAGGAGAAGCCCGCCAAGGCCGCGGCCGCCGGCGGCTCCAAGACCTCGGCCAGCGGCCGACAGGACATCAGCGGCCAGAACGGCCCCCTGTACGCCGTGCTGGCGGCCGTGGTGGCCTTCGCCGCGCTCTACTTCAAGTACCAGTAAGGCGGCGGGGCCGGCTGCCAAGACAGACAAGACACGCGGAGCACACGAGTGGGCGAGTGAGTGGCTGACAGCGCGCCGAGGTGTCGCCGAATGTTTCGGGGCCGGGATATACTAAATATGACATTTTTTTTGGCTTTGCACTGCGGGTAAACGAGCTTTGATGCCGCTTGCGGAGGGGAAGTACGTGGCGCATGCGCTGTGGTTAGATGGCTATCTTGACGATGGGCAAAGGTGTAGCCATGTCGCGACGGTTGGAGCGCGAACGGGTAGACTTGTACAAGCTCTAGAGCTTCACCTCGGTAAGGATCAATGCGCGGGCAGCATAGCACGATGGTCTATTGGCACGCAGTTATATTGTCCGCTTCGCCATTCATGCTCTAGCTCCACTGACACGCTACCTAAGACTGGGCAGGAGGTGCACCTGGACTCGGTGCGCTCTTCGCAGCGTATAACTTGTTCCACTGCGACTGCGCATCCCGCTTGTTCTCTTTCTTGATTGCATCTGCAAAAGATGCACGCACAACACCAGGTTAGCTTGAGCATGACCACATCTCAAATCAATTTTAAACGTACAGGACTGGGCGTCGATCCGGAGCCCCTCGGCACGGCGCTTCATCTTCTCCGTGCTGACTGAAATTTCTTGCATGGCCATCTTGACGCCCTGCAGCTTCTTGACATAAAACGGCAACTTTTCCAGCACCACGGCCGCGTCCTCTAGCTGCTTGTTGGACTTGATTCCAGCGTTCTGCTCCGTCAGTAACTTGAGCAGGCGCTGCGGCAGTCACACACATTGAAACTCGCGCGTCAGCAGCAATTAACACGCGCCACAACACAACCACCTCAGTCTTACCTGCTGACTCTCCTTTAACTCCGCTATCCGATGGATCGTTGCGTCCAGCGAGGGCTGCACGGTATCGACGAACGCGTTGCTCATGACCTCGATGCCGTTGACATTCTCGTCCACCTGCCACAGCTTCTGCTGCGGCTCCTCCGTCTTCCCAGCAACCACCTCTGCAATCTTCTTAACTTCTGGCGCTTTTGGCGCCTCACTTGCTACCGGCGTAGGCGTCTCTGGTGGTTCGTTCTCCTGCTCCTCGTCCTCCTCGTCCTCATCTTCTTCATCTTCTTCCCCCGTCACCTGCTTCTCCACCGGCGGCGCCTTCCCCTCCAGCTTCAGCTGCAGTTCTTCGTCTCCACCGTCTTCCTCACTCTCCTCGTCCTCCTCACCCTCTGCCCCTGCAGGCGGTGCAACGACCGTGGGCACAGCAAAGCGTGGAGCTGCTGGGGACGTCTGCGAGCCGAAGCCATTGAACTGGAAACTCATTTCTGCAGTGAAAAAGACGGGAAATTAGGCATTAAAGCACGCAGAATTGGCAGTATGTTGTAAGGTTTGTCGCCCACCTTCCTCATCCTCGTCCTCCTCGCTGTCTTCTCCTGCGAGCACGCGGCCGCCGTAGATATCGGCCATGGTCCTCACTTCCTGCCGGGAACAGTGCTAAATGACTTGACAAAGCGAAAAAGAGTCTTTTCCGCGAATCGGATTCTGTTATTTGGGGTTACTGACCAATCAGGAAAGAGATGACGTCGGCATGGGCACCTGCGTACGCCCAGCAGACTGCGATCGATAGCAACCTTTTTTTCTTTCTCGCATCTAACTAGGCTCTTCCATCGTAATGCAGACGAGCAGATTGACCTTTGCGTCGTCCATATTCTATAAAGCTCATCGACGCAGACGCGTCTCAGAAATGACGCGCAGCGAGTCGCGCGCGCGATCCATCCACCGCTCTGCAACGACAATGGGCCACCACCACAGCAATCATCAGCCTAACTCACTGTCGCAGTCTTACAAGTATGCCTCGGATCAACGCACCTGCTTCCTCGGCCACTTGACGCAGCGTCTGGGCCTCCTCCTCGCTCTGGATCTGCAGTCGTCGCAGCTCCTCCATTTGCTCACTGAAGCACAGAACACCACCACTTCATCAGATCCAGCTCAAAGTCCTATCACACTTCAACTACAGTACACTAAAAACTCACGCTTCGGTCTTGTCGAGCCCCGGCAGGTCGTCGATGAGCGCGTCGGTCTCCTGCACCATCTTCAGGACGTCGTTCGCCAGCGTCGTAATCTGCCAAATGTAGGCCCAGCACACCACCGAATTAGCCACTTAAGCGCTACAATATCCCTGCTAATTCGCAGCTTCAGAGCCGCACCGCGTCCTTGGTCTCCTGCTTCTTGGTGTCGTCTCCAGTGGCGGCCGGCAGCAGCCGCAGCGCGTTGAACATGCTCAGCGCCATCTTGTCCACGCTTTCCTGCAGCAGCGACACCTTATCCAGTGTGATCACACCCGCGTCGGCCGCGTCGACGTCCGCCATCGTCACGTCCTCGCTCTCGCCGAGCTGCATCGCAGCCAGCTCATCCTTCACGTTGTCGGCCATGACTTTTTAGGGGTGTGGTGAAATGTGCTCTATAAACGTATCAGGAATGCTCCGTAAACAGAAGATGGCTACACCAACTGAGGATGGCTACATCGACTGAAGATGGCTACATGAACTGCAACTTACAGGATAGGTATGTCGTTTGGATCCGTGGAACTGCACTGCACTGTAGTAAATCAAGCATGGCCTCTGATGAGGCGATAACGTGCACACTGCAAGCGATGCTCGTCACGCTCAGTTCTCAACTTGCGCTTCGCATCTAACGACATGCATTTCCTCACACTGTCCACTTTGCTGCTCCTCGTCAACTCCGTGTCGGCTTGGTACGGCACCGTGACGTTCTACCAGGACGTCGAGTTCAAAGGCTCCAAGTACGAGTGGGGCATCTCGAAGACGCACCGGTGCTACAACCTGGCTTGCTGGGACAACAGAGCCTCGTCAGTCAAGTGGGACGGCCTGCCGACAGTCGGCAGCTTCGACGGCAAGGCACGCATCGCCTTCTTCACCGGCAAGGACTGCACTGGGGACAGTCGAGACTGGCCGACCAACGGAGTCATCAACGGCAAGAAGGACAACTACCCGATGGACTTCACTCTCGATAAAATCAACGACGCAGTGTCCTCGTTCATCGTGTGGGAGTACGGCAAGAAGATCTCGAACGGCATCGCCACGCCCTGCCCGTGGGGAACGAGCTGAGTTCCCAGCTACGTGCTTCGGTCCGGAGGCTTCATCAGAGTAATGGAATCGTTTTCACTTAGATTGCACTATTATCAATTGAACGCGTGATGTATATCCCTGTCGGTCTCTATCTGTAGGGTGCTACACCACGGTTTGCCACACCTCATGCGTTGAGCGTAGCAATAGCGACGGCCGTGATGACGAATGTCAGGGCCAGGAAAGTGCTCGCGAAGGGGACGGAGCTCACGATAGGCTCCGTGAACTCGGTGATCGCTGCGCCAGGGAATCCCCACACGCGCTGGCAGTAGCGGCTGCCAATGACCTGGAACCAGCACGGAATCGTCAGTCCCAGCAGGAATCCGAACAGTCCAGCAATGGCGAAGATGAAGTCCAGGCGCTTGAACACGATGGCGAACAGAATGGGCGGCACAGCCACCGACAGGCGGCACAAGCTGCGCGTGATGCTCTCGCCAAAGCGCGTCGTGAGGTGCGACGGGAACGACATGAGCATGTTGTCGCCCACAGTAACACCGACCATCGGGTACGCCGACACGACGTTCACGACCGGGAAGAGCAGGATAATGAGCTGCACGATGATACCCACGGGGTTGGCGTGCCCGCACTCCTCCCATCCGTTGCCGCAGCCCGTGTACGAGCTCCACATCAACGTCGCCAACGGGTTGATCTTGTCGAACGCCAGCGCACCGAGCAGTCCCACCAGCAGGTAGCAGACACCAGCAATCAACAGAGCCGCGAACGCCACGAAGCGCGCCTTGGACTTGGGGTTCAGCGGCTGCAGCGCGTCCGGCATGTTGTACTGACAGTTGAGCGCCAGCAGCGTGGGTCCGAAGCCCTTGCCGAAGTTCCCCCAGTTCACCAGCCCAATGGCGGAGTAGCGCGCGGCCACCAGGTCGCCACCGTCGCTCAGCACCTTGACCAGCATGGTAATCAGCATGAGCGCGAAGGCCACGATGCGGTACACGGACAGGAACTTCTGCACGAGCGCCTGGTCGCTGATGTCCATGAGCACCATAGACAGCACGATGGCCGAGAAGATGGCCATGAACACGTAGTAGCCGTCCAGGCAGCCGCTGGACGGCGCGTCGCCGTAGACGTCGCACGACTCGCCCAGCACGTACGAGAAGAAGAGCGAGGCCGTGGACGACGAGAACACGGACGCGTACGACCAGAGCGAGCCGATGCAGTACGAGCCCATGACCAGCTGCACGGCGGCCTTGCCCCACCGCCCCACGAACATCTCGGCGATGGTGGCGAACTCGAACTTGCGGTACGTGATCTGGTGGCGCGGCACGCCGCCGCCCGTGGCCGCGCACACGCCCTCGGCGCGCGCCAGCGACTCGAGCGTGTAGTTCATGGTGAGCAGCGAGCCGATGACGCCGACGATCATGAGCGTAAGGCTGAGGCCGATGCCCGCCTCCATGAAGGCGTAGGGCAGGCCGAAGCAGCCCGTGCCGATGATGTAGTTGAGCGCCATGGCCAGCGTCACGGCCGGGCTGTAGGGCTTCACCGCCATGTGGTCGCCGTCCCACTCGCCGCTGAGGCTGCGCGTCAGCAGGTACGTGTTCTCGTTGGCGGCCATGGCGACGTCGTGCGACCGGGCGAGGAACTACTTGCTTGCTGGGAGCGGAGACTTTGCCGAAATGACCGCTCGTGGACGAAGATACGTCACTGGACCCTGCGAAAGCTGATTCAGGAATGGAGGATGGACGGACGCACACAGCTGAGGACACGGCTGGCAAAGGGAGGAGGTCGGAGAAAGCCCGCGGAGATCGGCATGGCAAGCAATGTGGCGAGCACAGCTGCAGCCTGCAGCAGCCGCAGCGGTCACGATTTTTCCTGCTCCTGTCGCCGTGGTGATGGCATGAACTCGGCGATGCTTTTTCTTTCAAAGTTTAACTTTGGTTGGTCGAGTTGCAGCGCTCTGCACGAGGCCGGAATGAAGGTCTGCGGCCAAAGACTGGCACTGCGGTCTTGCCGGCATTGCGCCGCGCTTTGCTGCGCGGTGTGGAGCCGGCGGCGTCGCCGACTCGCGATTTGCGCGCCTCGCTGATTCATGGGCGACAAACTCACTCGCTTGCATCGCCCACTGGCGCTATCAGAGCTGCGGCTCCAGTGTTCGTAGGTGAGCAAAGCTGAACATGTTGAAGCCGCTCCCCCGGCCGAATAAGAACGGTGAGATGAGTCCAGCCACTTTCATTCCGGTGCAACAAGCGACGCCGTCTTAATCTCAAATTGAGATTCTCAATTACAAAAACACTCGCTGAGGCTCACCGCGTGAGGCTATCTCACTCAATGATCGTCTAAATACTGCAACTGCTGACTGCAGCCCTGCTCCGAGGAAATCTCACTCGGAGTAACGACGATCGCTTCGTGCACAACAAACGGCTAACAGGGTCCTCTATTCGATGCAGGCCTCATGTATTTCAAACGCAAATGACGCCGGCGACGTCAATCCCTCTCGAATCCGATCGTGGTTGAAGATCTCTCCCACGTCGGGTCCGCTTCGTAAACACCCCGTTTGAAGCGCGTCACTCGACGATCCTCCGACTGCGCCGCACCGAGAGCTCTTCTATCCACACCCCGAAGACTACCGCCATGCTGCGCCCCATGCTCCGCTCGCTGCCCCGCGCCGCGCCGTCGCTGCTGCTGGCGCGCGCGCTGGCCACGTCCGCGGGCGACGTCAAGATCCAGAAGGTGGGCATGGTGGGGCTCGGCCTCATGGGCCACGGCATCGCGCAGACCGCGGCGAGCGCGGGCTTCGACGTGGTGGCGCTGGACGCCAACCCCAAGGGCCTCGAGAGCGGCATGAAGCGCATCGAGGGCTCGCTGGCCAAGCTGCTGAGCCGCGGCGTCAAGAAGGGCACGCTCACGCAGCAGCAGGCGGACGAGCAGGCCGCCGCCACGCTGGCGCGCATCACGCCCACGACGGAGCTGGACGGGCTCGCGGACTGCGACCTCGTGATCGAGGCCATCGTGGAGAACGTCGAGGTCAAGAAGGAGTTCTACGCCAACCTGGGCAAGGTGGCCAAGCCCTCGGCCATCCTGGCGTCCAACACATCGTCGCTGGCCATCTCGGACTTCGCCGGCTCCTCGGGCCGCGCGTCGCAGGTCGTGGGCCTGCACTTCTTCAACCCCGTGCAGCTCATGAAGCTCGTGGAGGTCGTGCGCACGGACGCCACGGACCCCAAGATCTTCGACGCCTGCAAGCAGTGGGTGCTGGACATCGGCAAGCACCCCGTGAGCTGCAAGGACACGCCCGGCTTCATCGTCAACAGGCTGCTGGTGCCCTACCTGGCGCAGGCCATCTCGCTCTACGAGCGCGGAGACGCCTCCAAGGAGGACATCGACGTCAGCATGCAGTTCGGCGCCGGACACCCCATGGGGCCCATCACGCTGGCGGACTACGTGGGTCTCGACACGACCCTCTTCATCCTCGAGGGCTGGGTGCGCGACCACCCGAACGAGCCGGCCTTCTTCGTGCCCGAGATCGTTCGCAAGAAGGTGGCCGAGGGCAAGCTGGGACGCAAGACTGGCGAGGGATTCTACAAGTGGGACGGCGACAAGCGGCTGTAAGTAGATGGAAGAACTACGTTTTGCGTACCTCGAGCATCCATTTATCTACCCACCCGTAGGCGAACAACAATTCAAATAACTTGAAAAACTCACTTTTTACCAACTCCTTTTCGCTTCGCAGTACCATTTTCCCTATAGGCGAGACGACGTCATGGGCTTGGCGGCCGATTCAGGTTCGACTGGATAGAGTCTGTCGACCTCGATGTACCAGGCGGCGAACCACGCTCGCTTCTCAGCTTCGCAGTTTTGAGAGATCCGAGCAAATAGCGCGCTCTTCAACTCGCGCAGAATCCGAGGGTTGCTCCTCCAGCGAGCCAAAAGCCGCTCCGCTTCCATTGCACTCGCCTGCAGGATATTCATCGGCGTCATCTTCATCAGCTCGAAGACCAGTCCTGCGAGGTACAATCCATCCGTCTCGCTTGTAGCCGCATCCTTGGCACTAGGCTTTTCTCCAGACTTGGTCTTTGAACTATCAACTGGTGCAGCTTCAGTAACGCGCTTGGCCTCCTCGGTCAGTAGCTCGGAGCTCCGCTCGCAGCACTTGCGGACTGCCCACAGGACCAAGCGCTGCGCCGTCTCCGTAATTTCACTGTCACCTCCTATCGGCATTCTGAGAGCCTCCGAGTAGAACAGTGAGCCGAAGATGGCGCCGCAGGCTTTGGTGAGCGCTTGGCGAGATGCGTTGGCTGGGTACGCAGCGAGCGTGACTTGTAAGTAGTGGGGGAAGACTGTAAACAGCGGGGTGAACTGCGCCAGGTGCGTGAGGCAAACTCCGAGAAACCGGTGCGCGAAGGCGTCCACCGGTTCAAACACGTTGTAGAGCCCCGAAAAGACCACTGATAGCGCATCGTCAATTAGAGACGCGCACTGGAAGAGCAACACGCGAAGCTTGCGCTGCATGACAAGGCCCACAGCCAACGCCTGGCATCCAGCAATGATATCGACCTCAGTAGGGATAGCGGCGTTCGCAGTCATCGAGTGCATCGCAAGAGAGCGCAAGACTGGTGCGAAGATCGCTTCAGGCGACGCTGCCGTCTGCTCCAACGCCTGCTCCAACCGTTGTGTGACAGTTTGCATCGGGGCATTCGCAGCTGCTGAAGCACACACCTCGCGCGCAAACTCTACCCGGGAAAGCGCGAGAAATGCCCGGACAAGGTGACTAGTCGACAAAACCTCCAAGATCGGCGCTACGCCCCCGTAGAACTGTTTGAGGAACGCTACAATCTCGGACACAGACATCAGCAGACTTTCATCTTGGGCTGCGCGGTCAACTGTCGACTGGAGCTTGGTTAACATCCTCGAGCGGAAGAGCTCTGCCGGAAGCACAGACTGAGCAGCTTCAACGAGAGAGAGGTGTGCCCCGAGCGAAGTCTGGAAAAAGCCGACCATTTCCTCGATGCACGCTTCCGTCATTCGAAGTGAGTGCTCCAGGAGGACAGCATGGGATGGCTCCGCAGTTAAGACTTGTACTCTTCGACGAACTTCCACTTGATAGTCAAATATGGTCGCATCGTCACATGACTTCAAGCGCGAAGACAATAGCGGCAAATTAAGTAGCCGCAGCAGAGCAAACTGACACAGAAGCGTCGTGCTTCCTCCTTGCAGTTGAGTCCCTTGAGCACTGGACAGTCGAGCATCATCGAGAGCTGCAAGGCCCAGCGCCATAACAGCAATAGCAACGGGGATATGCGGCTGAGGAAACACTCCACGCGACAGCTCGTCAATCACTACGTCGCCCAGCGACTCCAGGTACCCCATTACTTCTGGCGCCCTATGCGCTGAAGTTAAGGCACTTAAAATCATCACTGTAGTAGCCACACCCGCAGCATCCTTCGCGATACTCTTAGGCCCCATCTTGAAATTTGCAAACTTTAACCATGCATCCACCAGAGGCGAGTTGCTCGATCCACGAAGATGAGCACGCAGCGGTGCTGCCACGTTCGCAATGAACGCAACCTCATATCCTCGCATAGCAGCAGTCATCCAGTGCAGATACAGCTCAACTAGCTTTCCTGAAACGTCACCAACAACTCCAGCTGGAGCTCCATGCAGCGGCTTGGCCACCACCGCCTCCCACAGCTCGCAACTGAAGGCCACCTGCTTTTCCTTGTTGCAATGCGTCTCTGATGTCGGGAAACCGCGCGGGGGCTGCGCATTCATCACAACACTTGAAAAACTCTTCGTCTTCGCCTCAGACGCCTTGCAGCACCGCAGAACGTCGAGAGAACAGCCCAACTCCACCCACAGCATCCACAGTCTCCAGCTCATCGTCCGCTGCTGCTTGTGCCAATACAAAAACACCTGCGAGAGTTCTTTCAACGCGGACAGCTCCGTCTCCTTCTTCTCTTCCTCCACAGCCTGGTACAACGCCTCAGTGTGCAGCGGCGGCGTCGCAATCTGCGCGTGGAGCCAGCCCAGCACGCGCGTCATGGCTTGTGCCACACCTTCTTGCTCCTCATGGTTCTCATCCCCCAGAATCTCCCCAGACACCGCGTTCAGCAGACGGATAGAAGCCACAACCTCCTCCATCATCAGCGCCTCCAACCCTGCGCGGCGCGACTCTGTAGGCCGCGACGCAGCGGCACCCCAGACGTCCTCCTCCTCCGCCGACGTCATGACTAATGCGAGCTTGAACTTGTCAGTCGAGTCGACACAAATCCATTTTCCTCCAATCACAGCCTAGCTATATTTTAACCAATGAACACGATGTTTCGTAATACATCCAACGTACGTCAGCCGCTCCAAGTGCGCCATTCACTTGAGGATCCGCCCTCCAAGCAGCCATGGCGTCTCCGTCGCTGCCCCCCCATGTGGCGAGCTTCCTGGAGAGCCTCAAGCTGCAGGCCCAGCGCCACCGCGTCCTGGCGCCCATCTTGGCCCTGGCGCTGGCTCGCTTCGTGTACCACCGGCGTCGCGGCCACCTGCACCAGCTGCGTCTGCACCGCGCACTCAGTCGCCAATTGACCACCGAGTTCGACCCGCGCAAGCACGACGAGGCCGCGTCCCCCAGCCCCATCGCCGCTCCAGCCGAGGAGTGGCACGTCGTGGATGAGGACGGATCACAGGCCCAGTCGCTGGTGTACTACCCCATGGAGAAGACGCAGGAGGAGGAAGGCGACAACGTTCTGGTGCTCGTGATCCCCGGCAACCCCGGAGTCCCGTTCTACTACCTGCCGCTGATGCAGGAGATCGTCAGGAAGCACGGCAGACGCCACGAAGTGCGCTGCCTGTCGCACGCCAGCCACTTCATGCCGTGGAAGAACGACGGGCGAGCCTACTCGCTCAAGGAGCAGCTGGAGCACAAGGCGTTCTACCTCAGTCAGAGACTACGGGACGACCCGACGCTGCGTCTTGTGGTCATTGGGCACTCGATCGGCAGCTACTTCGCCCTGGACGTGGCCAGGAGGTTCCCGCAGCACATTGCCAAGCTGGTGCTCATGCAGCCCACCATCATGCACATGGCGCTGTCCCCCAAGGGCAAGCAGATGATGCCGCTGTTCAACCACTACGAGCGTGGAGTGACACTTGTTGGAGCGGTGGAGTACTTGGTGCCGACGGGACTGCGTCGATGGATCGTGCGTCGTGTAGTGGGGTCCAAGACCTCCGAGACGCTGCAGCTCGCGTCGCTGTCGCTCGTGAACTCGACCGTCATGCGCAATGTGCTGGGGATGGCGGCGGACGAGATGAAGGACGTCACAGAGCTGGACGGAGAACTAATCAAGAAGTTCGAGGACAAGACCCTGTTTGTGTACTCAACGGTGGACGAGTGGGTGCCCGCCGAGTTCATGCAGGAGTATCAGGTGCGCTTCCCGAATTCGCAGCACCGTGTTGTGCCCCAAGCGCACGCCTTTATGATGGAGACGAACGGCACGCGCGACATGGCGGCACACATCTCGCAGTGGGTTGGTGATGTGCTCGATGCCAAGCAGGTGCGCGATGTTGATGCATCAGCAGCGTAGGCTTGCCAGTTCGGGTTTGTACTTTTCTGCATATCTAACAGGTTGCATTTTTTTTCTTGTTTTATGGGGCTGTATTGAAGTCGAGTTAAAGCGACGTTTTGCATTCAGAGGTAGTAGCCGAATCTACTTGACGTGTCTGCTTCAGTTTACCTGGTTAGAATTATCGTATTCAGGCTGCCGTAGGTTAATGATATCGGCAGTTGTGTTAACCCGTTGTCTGGTTTTCCGAAAGTTCCATTTTATTTTTATCTGGTGTCGACTCCTCAATTGGTGATTCCGGCGCCGCAGTTCCATTGTCATGCCCCGCTGCAATCGTGATCGGAGTCTCAACTTTATCAAGTCCCTGTGGCAGCACGTTATCTCGACATGGGCATCTTTGCAGGTGGAATTGAACGGTGCCTATTCAACACCACGGATCACTTGTCTAGCAGAGTACTGCAGGAATGCCAGCTCGCTCCGATCAGTTGTGATTTTGATGGTATCGCCAGTTCCGTGTTTGGTAGTGCCTACTCTGGTTGATGTACTCCCACTTGCCAAACCTTCCGAAGGGATAGCAGTCAACAAAGCGTTCTGGCTTCGTGAACTACTTACGTATTTTGTGCTGAACTTCGCGGCTATCCTTCAATTCCGCGTCTGCGTGCCACTCATTACCATCCCTACCTAGTGGTATCGACGGTATCGGCGGGGATCACAGTCAGTATAATTCGCGCGCTGGCTGGAGCTGTTGGATTTCCCCTACCGTTTTCGATTGTGGCGGTCTCACCCATTTGGCTCGTGGAAACTATCGTTCTACTAACTTGGACTTGGACAAAAGCAATTCGAAGCAGTGAAGGACTTCGGAAAATGGTCATCGATACGCTTAAACTTTGGATAAGCTACATACTTATGGCTATGGTTTACCCGGTGTATTTCTACATTTTTACGCTGCTCTCGAGTGGCAGTCAGATAGCGTTTGCATTGCTATTGCCAGTCATGAAAACATTGATGGGGAGTCTTCTGGGGCGAATAGCTCGGCAAGCTGCCCATCTACGAGATGATACCCCTGAAATCGTAGTTTATACCTCGGAGTTTTACAATGCTCTTTTTGTATCGTACTGCATGCAGAAATCCCCGCCCGTGTGGACCACGATTGTGCTCATGCTTATCGACGTCTTGGTGACATCTATTGCCCTACGTGATCTAATACACGAATATCAAGATTTGACTGAGACAAGGAATGAAATTGAAAGGGTCAATGGTAGCAGCAGAGTCCGCCCAAGTGGTACTAGAAGTACCCAGCGTCTATCGACGATGGAATTTGTGAATGTTCTGCTAGAAGCCGAAGAACAGGGAGCCTCCTTAGCTGCATGCATAACTGTATCAAGTGCTATGACGGCTACGAGTATGGGAGTTCAAGGAAGTTCCAAACCGAAAGGAACCGTTTGCCCCGAATCAACAATCATTCCAGATAAAGGCAATTCTACTTGCATCCAGACACCGCTGCGACGCAAGTACGTTCACAAGTTGCGGAAAGTACTCTACATGGTACAATTCCTTCTTTTCATCAATTACGTCGAAGTAATTATCCCCCTCGTCTATTGTACGTACAATACTGCTATCATATTTATTAGTATCAACAATTTGTTTATGCAATAACAAAACTCCGCCGTGGTTTGTCGTTGTATATAGCGGTTTATCTGGTTACAACTTACCAGTTGCCGAATCGAGAATTCTATGCTGTTTTTGAAGGAATGGATCAAAATCAACTTACTCGAACACTCAGATCTGTAATGCTCTACTTCATCCTACAGTTAATTTCTCTGCTGTGTCTGATGGGAATTCTGGGGCGAATGCTGAAGCTTCCACCAGCACAGCTTCTAGCCTTTTCATTGGAAAAACGAGTTGTCTGGGTGCAAACCAGTCTTGTATTCTGGTTATTCTACAATGTCCAGACGACACTTCAGCACGCTGATATGTTAAAACAATAGTTTATGTTGCTTAGTTCGTTATATGACCGGAAGGTTTTCGTTTTCTTGCAGGGTATGACTATAGCTTCAAGTTCGCTTGGCTAAACGCAGTGAACTGATCGATTGCAAGGCTGCCGTAGTTAGTACTTCGAAGCAATCATGTATACCATGTTGAATGTACACACCCCGCTCGTAGCTAAATGTGTACAGATTATGCGAGATTACTCCGTGAAAGACTGGCATGGAAACGTGCAGTCTGAGTTTGCAGACGAACTTCTTGACCAATTCAACGATGTTGTCTCCTACCGGCTTCGCGCGATGTTCGTCGACGAATAGGCCAGCATTGTCTGGCTTGAGTCTTTCCACTCTGATCTCCAAAAGCACGACCTCTCGACACCGCTCCTCGCACTAGTTGCTGTCGCTCGTTTACTGTACCAGCGTCGTCAAGCACAGTTGGAGCAACTTCACCAGGATCAAACCCAGTTTCGGTAGTTGACCGCCGGCTCCGACTCTGACGAAGAAGATGGCGATGAGGAAGAGACGATCTTCCAGACAGCTCGTATCCCCCATCAGCGAGTGGAATCTCGTAACGGATATGACACAAAGGCGCTGTCACTAGCGTATTACCCCGAGCAAGAGGAGAAGGACCAGACTACTGAGGTGTTGGTGCTGGTGAATTCAGGAAACCCAGGAAATCCGTACTTCTATCTGCCGATGATGCAGCAGTTTGTCAAACAGCACGGACGCCATCATGAAGTCCGATGTCTCTCGCACGCAGACCACGTGATGCCCTGGAAAAACCATAACAGGGATTTCTCCCTGCTGGACCAGCTGGACCAGAAAGATTTCTACGTCAAGCAGCGACTACAAGAAACCCCGAACCTGCGCCTGGTGGTCATTGGACACTCGATCTGTAGCTATATGCTGCTGGATATTGAGCGACGATTTCCTAAACATCTTGACAAACTCGTGCTCTTGCAGCCGATGATCATGCACAGGTCGCTGTCCCCCAAGGGCAGACAATTGACGCCTCTGTTCAACAACTACGAGATGGTCGTGATGTTTGTGGGATTTCTGGAACAAGTGTGTTGATGATCATGTTCGGCATAGCTGCAAATGGAATGAAGGATGCCGTCGAGCTGGACAGCGAGTTGGTGTCGAAGCACGCAAACAAAATGCTGTTCGTGTACGCGACAATGGACGAGTGGGTGCCTAGCGAGTTCATGCAGGAGTACCAGCTGCGCTTCCCAGCGCTCAGCACCGTGTTATCCCTCACGGGCACACCTTTAGGATGGAGCCCAAGGGCACACGAAACACGGTGGCTCAAATTTCACAGTGGGTTGGTCGCATTCTGGCTGGGTAGAGTTTAAGGAAGACGCTATTGTTTTAGGTGCTTAGATTGTTGTATTGGTAAACGTTCATCACTCCGGCAACCTTCGATCATCAAGATGGTTTTACCCTAGGCAGCGCTGGAAGTCCCAAGGACACGGCAACGTCGTGGACTCGGCTTTCTTGTGGAACTGCCAGATCATGAAGGACGAAATGGCGTTGTCGATACCGTCGAGGAAAAAGTAGCCGGGGAATCCGTTCGGATGCTTGATGTCTCAGTCTTTCACGGTGCCCGTGCAGTCCTTCCCCGTGTAGAAGGCGATGCGAGTGCCGCCGTCGAAGGCGCCCCACTTGACAATGTCGCTCCACTTGGCGGACGTAGCGCGGTCGTTGAAGCAGCTCAGGTTGACGCACTCTTGTGACTGATCGATCTGGTAAGTGTACTTGCCGCCGCTGTCGTCGTCACGGTTCCGGACCAAGCCGAAGCAGGGTGGTTTGCGACCAGCACGACGAGGCTGAGTAGAAGAATTGCAGGGTTTCTCGGAGCCATGACACCTGGTGTCCACGAAGACAATTGAGAAATGCCAAGCGCTAAATGCCTTTCGTGCAACCTTAAAGTGTGGGCTGAAAGCCACGTATACTGGATTACAGCCACGGATTCCGCCAGTAGGATAAACGCTACGGTAGAATTGTTACGGAATGTCAAAGATACTTCTCTCCCTGAGCCCACGACGCGAAGAAAACAGGTACACCTTGATTCCTGTGAATCAAGACCACGTGGAAGATGCATTGGTTTCAAGGATAGACAAAAGCATCGTGCATGTCCTTATTTAGCTGGAAGGCTTGAATAAAAAATAGTTACGCTGCTGACTACTTAGTACACATAAAATGCTAAATTCGATTGCTGCATTCCCTTCGTCATCTGTGAATTTTAGAATCGAACGAAGCTATCTTTGTAGCGATGAGCAAAACACCCCGGTCTGCTAAGCTCAGACTGTACTACGAACTCGCTCGTTCCCTTTCGCTGCTCATCGATGACGTCTATCTGGTCCGTCCCCATCGCATTATGGGAGTCTGCACAAGTGGAGTTGCATGGGAGCTACTCGGCTGCGCGTGTCTTGGAGTTGGCGAAATACGAAAGCTCGACTTCTTGGGTTCACGTGCTGCTGGTGCTGCTGGGGACTCCTCTACCCTGTTTGGCCGTGACGGTGCTGATCGACCTGCTGCCTATGGAAGAGGTGTGGGCGCCAACAAACTGTTTTTCGTTCGCCAGTACTACAACTTTCTAGTGATGACGTTCTTTGCCATCCACCAGTTTCGCATCGGCGTTCGTGCTCTTCCCTTCCCTATTACAAGGACAATTGGCAATTCGATTGTGTTTTCAGCCATGACGGTGGCTATTACGTACGGCTTCATCGGGGCGATTGGATTCCCCTTACCATTCACGATCCTTACAGTATCCCCACTGTGGCTTTTGCTTACGTCGACGGCTATGGCGTTTGAGTGGGTGAATAAAACACGGGTGAACCCAGCGGCAGCCAAAATGGTGGTTGACATGGTCAAATTGTGGCTGTGCGACACCCTCCTGGCTTTCATTTATCCGATCTATTTCTACATCTTCACAACGCTTTCCAGCGAAGGCCAGACGGCGTTTTCTCTACTATTGCCTGTGCTCAAGCTGTGCATGCGAAACCTTTTCGCGCGGATGGCGGACCATTTGAAGGACGAGACGCCAGAGATTGTCGTGTTCAATGCGGAACTCTTCAACTCGCTATTTGTTTCGTACTGTATGCAGAACTCGCCGTCATTTATGACCACTTTACTGATTACGATTGCTGATGTTGTGACGATGGCGTTTTCACTGCGCGATATTGAATTCGCTCGTCGTGGACTGAAATGTATTGAGCGAAATATTGACAAGGCGAGGCGGTGGAGCAGTCTACGAGGTCGCGTCAGCTATAACGTTAGTGGTGGTCGGCGTTTAACAACGCTGGAGCGAGCATGTGCATTACTACAGCAGGAAGGAACTGAAACAAGCACTCGGGTTGCCACTATGGCTGAAATAATACGCATTGCTTCGTATCACGATGCCACGCTAGACCAGCCCCAGAACCACCAAACTGATTCGGGCCAGAAGCAGGCATCATTAAGAGTAATGCCGAAGAAGATATTCTCGTCATCTTCGCGATCACTGTGCTACTTAGGCCAAAGCCAGAATCGAGCTGTCGTCCATCCAACTGTGGACGAGTCCAAGCCTGCTGACAATGACCTAGCCAAAGTGCCACACTCTTTAAGGTACACGTGCAAGGTGCAACGACTTCTCTATATGGAAGAATTTCTCATCCTTCTCAATTACGTCGAAGTAGTGATCCCGCTCGTCTTCAGTAAGTGTACTCGTGCTGCAAAGGAGCTTTATTTTCGTCTACGACTTACTCATTTTGTTTTTATCCAGCAATTTACTTGATAGTCACGTATCAATTGCCCAACAGAGACTATTACGCTGTATTTGACGGCATGGATGGAGCACAGCTCGTCCAGACCTTGCAAAACGTAATGTTCTACTGCTCCCTGCAGCTGGCGTCATTGCTACTTTTAATCTATATGCTAAGGCGAATGCTTGGGCTTCCACCAACAAGGCAGCTAGCGTTTGTCCTGGAGAAGCAGTTCCACTGGGTGCAGACTAGCCTCGTTTTCTGTGTCTTTTACAACGTCCAGGCATCTCTGAAGCACTGTGGTAAACCAAAACCTGCTTTTGCTTTGTTTCTGCTAGAAGGAAACTAAGTTAATATTTGTTAGGCTACGACTACAGCTTCCGGTTTGCGTACTCACTTCGGAAGCTGAAATCAAGCGGGGGAACGTAAATGTGAAACACATTATCTACGACGCTCATGACGATTGAAGAAAATTGAACTTAAAACTAAGCGTTTTCCAGCAAACTGCGTTGAGTGAGTTCTATGGTAGCTGAGTAACTTCAGTGCTCTCAGAAGAGTTGCCTGTCGTGTTTAGAATCGCTCGCTCTCGACACTCGTGCTCGATGCCATTCGTTGGGTACACTCCTTGCTCCCAGACCATGAACGACTTGGCCCCTTTGACGGAGGGGAACATGACCTGACCTTTGGGGAGCGTGTGGCTGATGAGCTTCGTCCCTTGACACTGCTCCTCCTCGTAGAACACAATCGCCTGCCCCTTGATTTTTTCCCAGTCGGCGCCAACACTAGCATCGTCCAGGCACTCGCTGAACGTGTAGCACTTCTGCGTCGTGGAAAACTTCATCGACCACCTGTCGGCGCCGACGTAGAGCCCAGCGTAGACCACGATTTGCATCTTAGAGCAGAGACAAGGAACAGCGTGGAGTAGGAAGAACACGGCTGCGTACAACACGTTCAGTGATAGACTCATGGTGGAACGCCTCCAAGTTGAAAAGTGACGTGTAAGAAGTCATACTGTGCTGCCGTGTGTCGTGCGCATGGAACACCATATATAATGGAAGGTCGGAAAACAATTGGAAGGCACGACACTTGATAGATACTTACCCAAGATACGGTGTTCCCGGTGTCAGGCTTTCATTTTTTTAATTTTTTTTTAACTGGCTGACTAGATTTATGCCGGAGCAGAATTTAGTGATCGATTTTTTTTTTCAGAGCGGAATTCTCGACCGTGAAGCGAATGATTTGGCTGTAGAGTTGGCCGTTTGGATCACGCGTCCAACACCCCCTTCGTGGCAGAGCCCAGATCATGCATACCTTCACTGTTCTGTCGAGCTTGGCGCCCGAGAAGTAGAGCGCGCCGTCTGGAGTCCCGGACCCCACTGCATGAGAACGGATAGTTGTGAAAGACGACGTTGGTGTTGCGCTTGACCCCCTGCCACGTCGCCGATATGTTGGGCCCTTTGAAGCAGTTGTAAATGTTCTAGCTAAAAACATCTCGGCTAGTAAAAACGAACACTTCCGTTCGACGAGCTGCCTTCGCTGTCCAGACTCGTCAAGTTGGAGCTGGCGTTAGCGCTTCGTAGGGTGGTAGCTTCGCAGATGTCTACGAACCCCTTGAGCGCGAAGGTTCCGTACTCCCAGAGCATGAACGACGACACTTTATTGTCGAGGCGCACGGATGCGAACTTGATCTGGCCGGATGGAGTGGACTTCGACACGTACTGCGTCCCGGTGCAGTCGTCACTGTCGTAGAAAGCAAACCACGCGGCGGATGGGGCGTTGGTCCACGTCGCGGACGAAGCCTTGTCGTCGAAGCAGTTGCCGACGCTGTAGCAGCGCTCAGACGTGCCGAAGTTGAACCTCTTGAAGGTCTTGTGCTTGTAGTCGTCGTGGTCGTACAGCCACAAGTCGGTGGCGCCAGCAGGCAGCACTACTACCGCTAGCAGAAGAAAGATTACCAGTGCATTCACCTTGGCAGGAGTCATGCTGTTCTCGGCGCTAGTTGCAAAATGTTGGTGGCTAGAGACAGCCAAGTACTGTGGAAGGCTCCATCAAACTTCAACTGGCTACGAAAAATATTTTTTGCTACGTAAAATCTCTGGGATATCTAGCTGCTCTGTTAGAAAGAAAATGCTGGTAGCAACAGGAGGGCAGGGCAACCAGGCATCAATTCATTAATTATGATGCAAGCAAATTAATGCTTCAACGCTAGGGATATCGGTGGTATGAAAGCCCGGAACATTCGGTTGTTGATGAATTCAAATCATTGAAAAATGATATAGATTACTCTGGTACGTGGATCTGCGCTCGTTGTAAGTGCTCGAGGTGGTGCGAGCATCTAGCTAATGCCCCAAGGGCACGACAGATCTTGGCCGTTTGTGGGTTTCTTGCTGTTTTCCCAGATCATGAACGAAGAAATTGCGTCGTTGATCCCATCTAGCTTGAAATTCATCGGGTAGTTCCCTTCCTTCTCGTTGATCACGCCGTCCGTCGGCCAATCGCGGCTGTCACCAGTGCACTCCTTCCCTGTGAAGAAGGCAATGCGCGCTTGGCCGTTGAACACCCCAGTAGTCGGTAGACCTTCCCACTTGACGGAGGAGGCCTTGTCGTTGAAGCAACCGAGGTTGTAGCAGCGCTGGGTCATCGTGATCCCCCACGGGAAGTCAGTTCCTTCAAACTCCGTGTCCTGGTAGAACGTCACGACTCCATACCAGGCGAGCACAAAGTCACTGAGAAAAGCAACAAAGATGATCACAACACTAACAAGTTGTCGGTGCATTGGGGCGGGTTGTTGGTTTGCAGGTACAATGAATTGTGTGCTGAGATTGCAAACGCTAGCTTAATCCTCACCGACGGTAATTCTACCTTCGAACTAGCTGGTTCCCCACGGACACGGCGTATCATAGGCGTTCTTGATTTTCTCGCTGCTCTCCCAGACCATGAACGAAGTAATCTTGTCGTTCACGAAATCCAGCGTGAAGTCCTTCGGGTAGTGGCCCGTGTCTCCGTCGTCGTTTGCGGCGTCCGTCGGCCAGTGCCTCACCTCGCCCTTGCAGTTCCTGTACGTGTAGAAGGCAATGCGCGACTTGCCGCTGAAGCTCCCCTCCTTGGGCAGGCCCTCCCACTTCACTGACGACGCCTTGTCGTTGAAGCAAGAGAGGTTGTAGCAGCGCTGGCTCTTGGAGATCCCCCACGGGTACGTAGATCCCTTCCACTCGACGTTTTGGTAGAACGTCACCGTGCCGTACCAAGCCGAAACGCAGCTGGACAGCAGAGCAAATGCCAAAGCCAAGGCGAGGACAAATGTCTGCATGGCACACCCAATGCGATTTGAGAAGTGCTCGAAGAAGGTATGTCAAGAAATGGAGCGGACTACAAGATAGACAATACCACAAATTCTAGGTGGCATAGGATCGTTTGTGTCTGGTTGTGCGGTACCTTGGTGTCCGATTACCACTTTGCGTAGAATAAATTACGGAAGAGCATGCTAAACCAGCGATGTAATTTTTTTAAAATATTTTAAAAAATCAGCTACGATTCTCAAGCGAAACACTCGCAGTGGTGCTTCTTTGGGCGATCGCGTAAGGTTACCTAACCAGTGAGTAGATTTTGGTCCGTGCCCCACGGACAAGGCGTCTCCTTGCCGTTCGTGAGTTTCTGGTTGTCCTCCCGGATAACAACGATGAGACGGCGTCGTCGATGCCATCAAGCCCGAAATTCATGGGGTAGTTGTCCTTGATCCCGTTGATGACCCCATCGGTCGGCCAGTCGCGGCTGTCTTTCTTGCAGCCGTGGCCTGTGAAGAAGGCGATGAGCGACTTGCCCTTGAATTCCCCAAGCGCCGGAATGCCTTCCCACTTGACGGACGAAGCCTGGTTGTCGAAGCAGGCGAGGTTGTAGCACAGCTGCGTCTCTGTGATGGTCCATGCGTAGGACGCCCCCTTGAATTCGGCGTTCTTGTAGAATGTCACGGTGACATTCCATGCCGAAGCGACTTTGGCGACAAGTGTCACAGCGAGAAGGAAAAGAAAAGGTATTCCACAAGGGAACATTACTGGTGATGCACGAGAGGCGGTTGATAAGTGTTGCACTGCGTACACGGAAGAGAATGGAATAGTGGTATCCTACTCGTGCTAATGCAATGGAAACCCCAAATATTCCTATTCTTTTAAAGAAAAGACATCCGATTTCTACATCCACTTCTCTCGTTTGAGCGGTACACATAGATAAATTCCTTGCATCATTCTAGGGTCCGACCATTAAAACATAAATTCTTCACCTAGTTTGTGTGGCTAAGAAAATAGTGTATTAGCCGTGTTACGGTTCCAAATATTTGTTTGGTAAAGCACAGCCCTATGCTCTACACGGTACAAGCTGGCAACTAGTTGCAGGGACTCTCTTCCCCGTGTTTCTTGTCGCTGCTGTCGACCCAGACCATGAAGAACGAGATGTCGTCGTTCATTTTGTCCAGAGTGAGGTCGATGGGGTAGTTCTTTTCCTTGGTCGTCCATTCTACGTGGTGTCCGGTGCAGCCAGAGTTCTTGTAGAACGCGATGTGGGCCTTGCCGTGGAAACTGCCCTTCTGCGGTAAGCCCTGCCACTTGATCGACGTCACTTTGTCGTTGAAGCAACTCAGGTCGTAGCACTTTTGCGCTGTGTTGATACGGGAAGCTCTGGCCGTTGAAGTGGGTCTTCTCGTAAAGGATAACGACGCCTTCCCATGCCTGGACCTTGGAAGAAGCCACCGTGAAGGCGATGGCTGCAGCAGCACTCAGCGACGTGAGAAAACTCATGACAAAAAGGTGGTAGGCTGGAGAGTGGGAAAGCGGAAATGAATTCAATTCGAGTGAACGAATATGCCTTGATGATTGCAGTTTTGTCCCGCTTATTGGCAAACTAGCTATGTATTTTGTATTTGATAAGGTGCATTCCCGTGGGCTTAAATAAATGGGTGATGAATTCCTCCTAGTCATGGATTACACGAACTTTGCTCCCCTTTAACGTACAGTTTATCTCGCGAACGTTGCGGGCACCCGGCTCTTCCTAAAATTTGTGATTTGTGGCCTCCGGCCTATTCGCTCGTAACCCTGCAGCGTACGAATCAAGTTAAATATTCGGGCTGTTTCTCCGGATTTGAAGTCTACCTCAGATACTCGGTGGGGAATTTCTGCCTCCTTTAGGTCATTTCTCAATCTCACTGCTCGCAATGGCTTCGCTCCCAATGCAGCTCGTTCTTTACATGCTAGTGGTGCGGGCGAAGGAATGCGTTGGGCTCGCTCAAGACTACATCAAGTTCACTGGCTACGTGAAACTCTACTCGGGCACCTACTACCAGCACAACCTGCTCACGATCAACTTCAACATGCCCAACCGCTGCTACAACGTCAACTGCACCAACATCGACGACAACATCAAGTCCGCGAAATGGGACGGCCTCCCAATCACAGGCTTGGCTGGCAAGGCCTATCTCACCTTCTACGCCGACGTCAACTGCAAAGGGAACAAAACGACGGTGCTGCTTCCTCACAACGGAGGCGTCCGCGAGTTCGTGTACCCCGACGGAATCTCCTCCTTCATGGTGCGATCGGAGTCCAGGAGAAGACTGCACGGAATTGTCAACGTCTGCAGCTGGACCGGCGCCGAAACTCTCGGCGGCTACGTGGCCGAAGAACAGAACGACAGTCGTTGACGCTCGCTCTTAGGCTTCTATAATGTAGGCAACTTCTATCTAAAAAGTTGTACTTCGAAGTACTAGTTATTTTTTTAGTTTTATGATACGCCTGGATAGCACAGAGTAATGCAAAATGACAGTATCGATCCTTGCGTCATACATGTACTCAAGTCTTGTAGCTTTATCATACACTTGTCATTTCTCCTTTTGCGTCAAACTCGACAATGGCTTTGCGTGTGAACTTCGTTGCCGTCCTGTGTTGCTTCTTGTCGCTGCTTAGCGTCTGCTCGGCCGCCACGAAGATCAACGGCACGGTGGCGATCTACAGCTCCACCGACCACAAGAACCGCCTGCTCACGATCAACGTCCGGTTCCCCAACCAGTGCTACAACGTGGACTGCAGCCTGCTGGACAACAAGGTCGAGTCTGCCAAGTGGGCCAACCTCCCGACTACGGGAGTCGACGGCAAGGCGTACATCGTCTTCTACGAGGACTTTGACTGCGGCGGAGCGGAGCTGTCCATCACTCTGCCCAACTCCGGCGGCATCAAGAACTTCAGCGGCAAAAAGGTGGACGGCATCATCTCGGCCTTCATGATCAAGTCGCAACCCTCGGACGTCGACAACGGATTCTCCAACGTGTGCAGCTGGACGGGGGCTGACGTTGTGGGTGGCTCGGTCTCGCAAGATGATTCGATCTCGATGGTCGTGGCCAAGCCGACGTAGGTGGATGGCTGGAATGCTTCACCTTTTGTGTGTGGTGGGTGCATTAGCGAGTGGTGTGAGGGATTGCGTAAATTTCTACTTGAATTGAGTTCTAATGAAGCTAGCACCACCAATTAAATCAACCTGTTATCGATTTAATCGGCCATATTTCAGGTAACTTATCTCAGTCGTTGTCTGTATGTTCATGGATCGACACCAAAATGATTTATACTGGGAACACCCGAAGAATGATGGGGTGGACAGCTCCCAACGGATTAATTGGGTGCGTAAGCGTAACCTGGCGCAACCTTCGTGCTACACCAGCCAGAAGGATGTCGACCGAACAGGTTCAACGGCAACTTTCAGCAAGGCAGGAAATGCACAGAGACATCAACGGCCCCATGCACCAGCTTCAGAAAGTGAAGTGCGGCACGCGCGATATTCATGGGTGTGGCCCCGCAGGGGCCACGCCCTTGAATCACACGGGCCACAGTTCTCCCTTATCATGGCAATTAGCACCGGTGCGTTTATACCACCGGTGTTCCCAGCCAAGTCGAAGACGACCTAGTTAACCAAAACCCCTTACAAATGATACGACTTGGACTTTGTATGGGGCCCCATGATTTCTCCACTCTACCTTAGTACTGAGCCTTTGTCGCCCCATACAAATGATACGCTCAGTACTAAGGTAGAGTGGAGAAATCATGGGTTCCTTTGTCGCCCCATACAAAGTCCAAGTCGTATCATTTGTAAGGGGTTTTGGTTAATAATGGATTTTGTATGGGGATTAGCTGTCCATAAGTGTTGTCACCTGGGCAGAACCAGTGATTTGTATGTGAGCTACCTGAAGAAGCGCAATAGCGCGCGTGTTAGCAGCGTGCAGATCTTTATCAGCGTGTTCTGCAACTCTAGTCCAAACCGCACCTTAAAACAATAAAAAATGACGAAGTTACAGCCACTTTTGGTGGTGTCCATATCTTTTTGTCGTGGAATGTACGTGACTATCCATTCGGGCACATACCACTCAAAGACGGTCAACATACAGGCACGTCTCACTACATATCAAGGCTTCTATAGGTCAGTTAATTAAGCTCAAATAGAAGGCCACTTAAACCATCCATTCGGGCACATACTGTACTCCAGGTCCCATCATCGCGCCCTCCACTGCGCTACGGGGCTCGACGGGAACCTATGTACTCAGGTCGACCGCGGAACGCACGACCTCCGCTACGCTCCGGTGTGCATCCTGGTCGCATGTAAAGATAGAACCTACTTCGCAGCGCAACTCCTCCGGTCTATGCGCCGTAACCTCCGCTTCGCTCCGGTTGTCAAGGAGCCTCTCTCTAAGGCCTCGCCAAGCATCGCTGGGTTGGTGTCGCAGCGTTTCCTCAGAAACCAGCGGTTGCAAGAGCGCGTACCGCTGGAGTAGCGATTTGTAGCTTTTACTCTTTTTTCCGAGCAGAATATGCTTTCCTCAGAAATCAGCAGCATTTTTATGGCCGTCCCACGCCGATCAAGTGAGCAGCAGCAAGCTTTTCAAGACGAACGACACCTCGGCGATGTACATTGACAAATTTCAAAACTTTTGGAACTTGTCAATGTACATCTTGGACCAAAACGTCGGTGTGAATAAGACTGCGCCCGGCGCGCAGATGGATGCATGTATCAACAGCTCCAATGGCCATTGCGTACAGCTGACCTATAACGGCAGTACGACGGTGAGCTCGGCGCTGGGCCCGCCTCCGCAAATACCGCGCTGGTTTTGGTACGTACAATTAGTGTTCGCACTAACACTAACTGCATAGCTAGCACTAGTGTTTGCAAACTGTTTGTTAGTGTGACTCGAAAACGGGTGCTGCTTAACTGTGAGTACGCTTCATTATGAGTAATTCCACATAATGTGACTTAGAAGTCCGGCACCACCACCTTGGACCAGACCGGAGGAGGATACAATGTGAATGCATCTGGGGAAGTAACGCGTCGATCCGCTGATGCGGACGTGAGTAAGCTAATAGAGAGTTCAAGCAGAAAATAAAAGATAATTTGCCCTAAAGGGTTTGTAGCACGTTATTTGTGTTCGTGAATGGCATCCCAAGAAGCAACGTCTTTAGAGTGGAGTCAGTAGCTTCAAGTACGAGTTTAAATGAAATTTACGTACTCGGAAGTCCGAGCACAGTACTCATTACTCGAAAGTCCGCGAAATCTACTCAAAAATAAGGATGACCCCTCGGACAGTAGCCATTAATTTGATCTGCTAGTGATAGAGCAGCAAACATACAAAAGCGTTTGCAAACAACACTAACTGTAAGTAAGTGTGTTGCGAAAATCACTAGAACATGTTTGCGGAGTACACTACGTACAGTGTACTCGCACCAGTTAAAGCCGCGGCTATGAACACCCATCTGTGATCTATTTTCTGCTGGGGAGTTGATGCTGCACGAGTCCGGGTTGCCAGTGTACCAACTTTGGACCACAAACAACCTTCTTCAACAGCTGGAAAGTGATCGTCAACAACCACTTTTCGGGTCACTAGCAACCTGCACTTTCTAACTGTACTTTCTCAAGCATCGTACCGGTACCGGTAGCCAGATTGTCAGTTCCCAAGCTTGATCTGTTGTTCTGCCTCATTGCCAGAGCTGTTTGGTACAGTATTCCAAAGCACGGCAACCATACAAAACGTTGACCGCGGCGATGACCAGCGCTAACGTGTAGGTGGCGCAGCTTAAACCCCTTGATTCTCAATAACTCGCGCGAGTTAATCTGAATTTCTTGATTCACAGTAACTCGCGCGAGTTAATCTGAATTTCTTGATTCACAGTAACTCGCGCGAGTTAATCTGAATTCCTTGATTCACAATAACTCGCACGAGTTAATCTGAATTCCTTGATTCACAATAACTCGCACGAGTTAATCTGAATTCCTTGATTCACAATAACTCGCACGAGTTAATCTGAATTTCGTGATTCACAATAACTCGCGCGAGTTAATCTGACGCTCAGACTTTCAAATATTCAAAATATCACAACCTTGGTGTAATCTACACGAGATTACTGTCGGCCAACAGCTCCCCACACAACACAACAAGCCAGAACCTTTCGAGAGTTTGCGGAGAACCTAGCTGCAGCTGTCCCCACCTCAGATGTCTCAAAACCACACCTGGACGAAGTTAGCCGAGTTCCAAGGCGAAGATGCGTTCGTCAAGTTTCGCTGGGAGCGATTTTGCTGTTCTGCCATATTTTGGGTGACGACGCGCTGGTGCATGATTTGCCCCGGGGATCACTCGATGGCTGAGCGGCGCCTTCGCTGTCAGAGTCCAGACTGCAAAGGAACTGTTAAATGTGCAACGCTCTGGAAAGTGCATGAGTGCCCGACTTCGAAGCGGTGGATTGCGTACACAAATGGCCAGCCACACGCGCGTGGAGACATAGCGTGATCGTTACCTCCTCGCGCCAAGGTGACACGTGAAATGCGCGACTACATCCAGCGAATGGACCAAAACGCGGTACCACCACGCTTAATCTGGAGCAACATGCTTCGTGCACCTGAAATACTGACTCCAGTGCTTGGGTTTCCGACGTGCCCTCAAGTTCTGCGTAGTGTCAAGTACAATCGATGGCTGCAGGGGTCTAAAAACTCTATTGTCAGGACGAAGGAGTTAGTGAAGGCGAAGGCCATCGTTGCTGGAGTGGATCCCGACACCGCGATTGTGTTTGGAAATCGTGAAGATGAGCACGGCTTCCCTTTTTATTAGTGTCCGTACATCAAACTTGGCTCTCTTCCTTCCGTGTAGTCGGTGGATGGAGACGCCAGACGTGTGGGGGCGTGTATCTCAAGAGTGGCAATGCGATAGAAGGTTGCACGTCTTTTTGACATATTTCGCGGCACAATGGATTCATAGCCGCTTCTGTAGATGACAGATTTATCACTCTCCAGGGGGGGGGGTACGCTACAACCAACAATCCATGTGAAGTGTTCAATGCCAGCATCAAGCGCTATACGCAGCGGAAGGCAGCGGATACGTGCCGTTTGTTGATGAAGCTACTGACGATTGCAGAAGATTATTCGCTGTGTGTACCACCTCCCATGGCATCTGGACCAAACGCCCCGCCTCAAGTTGCAAAGCAGCTGGCCCGAACGTTAGTGTCGACCAACCGAGTCGTCGTTTACGCTACGACCGAGAAGTCGGTTGTTCGCGTGCTATATCATTGCGGTGATCATTTGGAAGACCGCCCCGAACTGTCTGATCTTGACGAGTTGAAGGCCCCCAGCAACGCTAAAACTCCTGTCATCATATCGCCCGAGTGTTTAACAGATGCAGAAAAGGCTGCCGCTGCCAAGTTCTATCGGGAAGCTGTGAAATGGTCTGTACGCCGCGCGCACCACGTTGGCATGCCACGAGGCGGGTGGGCGGCGCACCTGAGTACGTTTGAGTGCTCATGTCTTTTCTATAAGAAGTTCCTGTCTTGTGCCCACATAATCTGTGGGCGTGCGGCTTACGGACTCAGCGTGCCTGGAGTTAATGGGTCCAATTTAAGATTCAAGGATAGGCGTGTGCGCCAGATGCGTCCACAAGTGAGCAGTGCGGCTACAGTGCATGTAGATGATTCAGCTACCGGTTTACTGCTGGCAGCCAACGAAGTGTCGCTGCATGGCAATCACACCGGGTCCGATCTTAGGAGACATGCGCATAACTTCCCAGCTCAAAGTCTTGGTGTGGTCGGGGCAGAAGTCGGGTTCGATATTGGCTTCGCACCTGGTTTCAACCTTTGTCCGCAAGATCACACCAGATACACAGCATATGCCTACAGACCAACTGGTTACACGGCGACTTTACCAGACCCGGTGGCTTTCCAGCTCGATCCACAGCATTTTCAGCCTCTCTACCCGCCGATTACACAGCCAAGTCCTGCAGCTCCCCCATATTCATTTCAGACTAGTTTGGCGACTTGGCAAGAAACATTTACCAGTTCTGGGCCATATGTATGGTCTAAGTCAATCAAATTTGAGCATTTGCCACCTCCAACCGAGCCCGTCCCCATCAGACGCCGAATTGGCCACCCCACCCTGGCCACGGCGGCCCTCGACATGCAATTTTTGTTAGATTAGTTCCCGGCAAGAGGCTACCTGCGTGTCTATAGGAATATTACATCTTTTACGACTGAAGTAATTCCCGAAAGGTCGGTAATGTTGAAATGGAGGCTGGTTGTTGCCACCGATACCATGTAGTTGTTTCCTGGACCTTGCTTATATCGCAAGATCTACAAACATCTACGTCACAAAGCGATATAATTGATGAATCACATAGTATGTATTCGAATGCCACTCTGTAGGTGTTTCTGGTTTTGTGAGTAGAACAATCAGGCTCGCGTAACGAAACCACTTTCGAGCTCTCCCGGAATCTATCTTGATTTATCAACAGCGTTTTCCGTGTTAATAATTTAGAATTCATCGGCTTGGAAGCGCCTGCTAACTATTAGCACTTGGCGCCGCCAACGCAACATGGTCACTATGTGTTACTCTCCATATATCAAAATGGAGGTTTCCATTGAGTTATATAAAGCCCACATGTGTAGTTTGGATCATCCCTTGACTTAGTTCGTGCTCGGCACTTGTCGCTTCGCGCTTGTCCTGTTCAGGCGTCAATAAGTCTTGGGCCTCGCTGCTGTCATCCTGTACAAGCAACCCCCTACTAGCTACAATGGACGGAAAGGCAACTTGGCTGAGTAGGCGTTCGTGTTAACCGGATAAGTTCACGACCACTGCTCAAGTATAAGCGTATCGCCACAAATGCGGCCTTAGGGAATGTAAGCACTGCAGTTCGAACCTCATAGAGCCCCCTGGCCTGCTGTAGGTCGGTTACGCACTACTTCATACTAACCCCGAAGTACTTCATACTAACCTCAAAGTGCTGGATTCAGAACAACTCGCGCGAGTTAATTTGATATTTACTCCTGATCTGATTAAATCTGATACCTGAAATGATTGGCCATATACGGCTGACTATCATTCGAGAATTCCCCCTCCCTTCCCCCCTTTTCCGAATGAAGAGGCGGGTGTGTGTGAATTGCACTGAGAAGGAGAAGCTTGCGCTTCTTAGGCGCTGGAAAGTAGATAACCCAGATTGGACTCTAGAAGAAGCCGCTGTCGAGCTTGAGGTCAAGGAATCGACTTTAAGAGGCTGGGTGAAGCGCTACTGGGATGTTTGTGACAAAGCGGTTGGCTCAGATCGCAAGCGCAACGAAAGCGGAGGACGAAAACACAAGATGAAGCCGTACGAATGGAGAGTAATCGAATACCTTGATGAGCTTATGGAGGACAACTGGACGTTTGACGATGTGATGTTTTATTGCCGGAGCCTGGAAGAGTTCAACTCGGATTTTGATATTCCAGAGTCCCAAGTAACATGGGTAAAACGGTTTATCCAACGCTACACAGCACGTGTACCCCCTGACGATGGCGGTGTACCCTCTACTGACGGCGGTGCAACCTCTGGTGGTGGCGGTGTAACCCGTGGCGATGACAGTGAGCACGAGGAGAATGGAGGTGCTGGCGGCGTAACCCCTAGTGTAACCCCTAGTGACGGCGTCGTACACTCTGGCGATGGTAGTGAGGACGAGAAAGATGGCGGTGCAACCTCTGGTGGTGGCGGTGTAACCCGTGGCGATGACAGTGAGCACGAGGAGAATGGAGGTGCTGGCGGCGTAACCCCTGGTGTCGACAGTGAGCGCGGTCAAAATGATGGAGTAACCGCTACTGATGATAGAGTAACCCCTCGTGATGGCGGCGTAACCCCTGGTGAGGACAGTGAGCACGAGCAAGATAATGGTGTAACCCCCGGTGACGGCGCTGTACCCTTCGATGGCTGTGGAGATGAACACAGCGATGAAGACAGCTACGATAGCGCTGGATCAGATGAAAGCGATAACAGTAGCGAGAGTATGGATTGTAACGAGTTCGAAGAGAGCGAGTATGAGGTGCCTAGAGCTGCTAAGAACACTTTTTTGCCTCGGAGGCAGTCTGCTACCAGGTCGCGGAAGCAGAAGCCAATATTGGAGTGGACGCGTAGTGATGATACGAGCTGGATCTATCGCGAGGACCTAGACAGCCTAATGCCGCATCAGACTTTGACAGAGTCCGCCGTTGATTATTTTGTGTATGGTTTCATGCCTCAGGAGAATGGCTTAATTTTTGCCGCGGAACTTCTTTTTTTCCGAACGATGCAAGCCGTGAAAAGAACGAAGGAGAAAGCTGCAAGGGACGAGCGCCTCGTTGGTCACATAGGGAAATTTGACTGGGTATCGTACCGGTTTGTTATTCTTCCAGTCAACGGTAATAGTCACTGGAGCTTTCTTGTGGTTAAGAATCCCCTGCAGGGGGCGTCATTCGTGCAGGCCAACAGGTTGTCCAGAGCGGCACGGGGAACGGGTACGGTGGGATATGGAAATCCATCACCCAGGGTACAAACAAGATCGTCCACGTGCCGGATGTAGCACTGAGCAAACTCATCGAGGCGGCCGAGAAGCCAAGAAGGCGGCCGAGAAAGCGAAAAACGCGGTTACGAAGTAGCTCGGATGAGTCTGCGACTACCTTCTTTCACTTGCGAAAAGTGATGCATTTTAGAACAAAGCAGCACTTAGAATTTCTGGACAACGATCTAGAAATACTATAAAAAAAATCAAAGCTTGATCGTGAGGGAATGTTTGCTTCGTTGAAGCAACCATCCGTTATTCATGATCCATGCGACTTTGCATACGGAAATATTTCCCGGGGTATACATTTCGAGTCCTTTGGGCCAAACGCGCCGTACTAGTAGTAGTATTGTACAACTAAAATGTATGCACTCTTTTCAGGGGACGAGCTTTACCGAGTAGGGAACAAGGTGAGGAGCACCACCGATTTTGTTGGAGTCTGGCACAACAGTATACTTCGCATTTTTGCATGAGGTCTGGCTATGGTTCGCTTATCAAGCTGCCTGAGGTTAATCCAGACGCAGGAGTACCTCAGACCCTCTTCATCCACGTTTCCCGTTATCGCAATCCGCCTCGGCCATCCGTCCCAGGTTTTGAAAGTACAGTGACACCTCCCTAAATGAACCCCTCTAACTGATCATGTGTTCCCTATCTGGTTAGGATTCCTCGACTGCAAACGGGATTATATGGGTTTCACTATAGGTGTTCTATAACTGATCAAAAACCTCTTTATACTGGGAACGCCCGAAGAATGAGGGGGTGGACAGCTCCCAATGGATTAATTGGGTGCGTAAGCGTAATCTGGCGCAAGCTTCGTGCTACACAAGCCAGAAGGATGTCGACCGAGCAGGTTCAACGGCAACTTTCAGCAAGGCAGGAAATGCACTGCGGCATCAACAGCCCCATGCACCAGCTTCAGAAAGTGACTGCGGCACGCGCGATATTCATGGGTGTGGTCCCTGCGGGGGCCACAGTTCTTCCTTATCACGGCAATTAGCACTGGTACTAGCACCAGCGTTTTATACCACAGGTGTTCCCAGCCAAGTCGAAGACGACCTAGTTCTCTAAATGGTCGCCATTGTTGGCACCTCAACCCTCAAAATGGACGCCGTAGTAATAGATCCAAACTCATATATTTTTCTCAATCACTTGCCTGCCTCCTCCCACGTATGCCACTGCTACCACTACTCCCGCCACAACAAATCGAGCGAAGAGAGAAATTGTATTTGGGATGCTAAGTTGGAACAAAGAGTTTGCAGTAACTGCAAGCTTGTAAATACTGATAAATAAACTAGCCACAGTATGTTTACAATCAGCGCAGCGTACATATATATTTTACGAAAAACTAAAATATTATGATGTCGAGACAACTAGGGGCTATGCAGTAGATACCAAGCAAAAGATAAACTGCAGGCATGGTGGCAGGATATCGGGACAACAAACATTCCTATAACCACACTGTATTGAAACTCATGTACAACCTGAGGGGATGCGATTCTGCTACTACCAATGAGAAGAAGGAGTAGGAACAGGCAATACGGCGCCTACCGTTATTGGTTGAGCTCTGTTTGTGTGAAGACGAAACAAAACAAGAGTACGAAAATGCTGGAGGGGTACCGAGCCCTTGTGCACCTAACATATGAAAATGTAGCCATTAGAAGTGTAGCCATTTCTTATCTGATCAATTCTTTAACTCAAACAGCGTATTAGACCGAGCGAACTGGGTGCCAATTATAGAGGTACGACTGTATTTATAATACATCCTGCTTTTGTCGGGAGGATACAATTTGTCGGCTAGAGAAGATTGGTAGAAATGATCACTTCAATCGATAGAGAGCTGTGCTAAAGCGTTTGACGAATCATGTCGCACAGACGTTGCTGGAATCAAGTTTCCAAAACGACAAAGAAAACTTTGCATACTACGAGTTACAGTGAGAATGTCCATGTCTTAATCCTGCAATATCCAAGTTTGGCTTGGGCGAGAGACTGTCTCGCCTCCAGACTTTTTTATCTACGTTCTACCCCTAAGCGATCTGTTGGAGCATCGGCCCATATCATGCAAACGAATACAAAACACCTCGCTCTGCTTGCGACCTCAGTTGAAAAATATATTTTTGTAAAAAAAAACAAAGTGGTCATTTTCAGTGCCCCCTGCGCCAACAACGATCGTTTGCCGGCGGTTTCTTCGATCAATTCGTGCCAAGATATGGGTTTTCTCCATGCTCAGCAGCTTGGTGTAGTCGCTGATCTTTTCTTTTTCAATACTATTATAAGTGGCTTTTGCCGACGCCACGCTATCGAGCTCGCAGTGACAAACACCTAAAACACCGAGCTTCCAACGCTTGGATCTCACGCTTGTGTCCCGAGTAGGAACGGTCACCACCGTTCCTACTACACGGATGACCGTTCGACCAGCGATCGACTTCTGGAGGATACGATGCGGTGAGCGGGCAGTCATCCATTTCGGAGGGGCGCTGACTGGCGAAGCGTCGGTTAGGTGGCGCGCTCGGCTGCGATGGAAGCAGTGACGCGAGCGATGGGTGAGCAGTTACGCGAAGGGCAGGACGGAGGTCACGAGCACCGCGTGGCTCGGGACGTGAGCTGTGAGGTGAGCCAAGGACGAAGGGGTGAAACGAGAGCCAGGTGAGCCGGTGACGTGTTGAAGTCGGCACGTGAGCCGACAGAGAGCCGAAAGAAGAAGGAAGCACGAGCTGTCAGGCTCCGTGCGCGGTAAGGAAGTAGGGTCAGTCGTGAATCTGCACTGGAGAGAACAAGTTGATTGCTTTTGCATATTAGCTCTGTTTCTCGCTATTTGTGCCACTGCCTAACCGTTCTAGCTTCCATACAACGCTTGACCGTCCCATCCAGGGCACTCGCGACACGTGGTGGAGAAGCAGGGTACGGGCTTCGTTGTGAAGTCCGAGCGACGGCAGTACGAGTCAAGTCCTCGCGTCGGTGGAGCTTCGTCTGGTCTTCGGGAGTCTGCCTGGAGCCTCGGACGCTTGAACGGTCTGGATCTGGAATTGCGTCGTGTGAACGGTGCGCTCGGCGCCGCTGTGGGGTTGGAAGAACGGTACGCGAAGTACCCCCACTGGTCAAGGTCAAGAAGGTAAAGAAGAAAACGGTCGGCTCGCTCGGAGCCCTTAACGGTCAAGGTCAAGGTCAAGTCAACGGTGAACGGAACGCTCGGTTCCGCCGGTAATTCTGGTCGGCTCGCTCGGAGCCTGAAGTAGTTTGAAGTCTGGAAGTTTGAAGTTTGGAGATTGGAGATTGGAGTTTGTTTCGCTCGTTCGAGTGAAGAAGATCGCGTGCTGAAGGTCGAGTGAAGAAGACTTTCTGAAGAAGATGACGGTTGTTGGAGAGCAAGGAGAGAATGGGGATCAGCGGTCCGTGCAAGATGAAGTGGCACTGTTGGAAGCGGAACGGTTGCGACGGCTGCAACACGGTGGGACCACGTCGGCTCTACTGGGGCAGCGACGCCCGCGATCGTCCGGAGATGCGAGCGGAGTGGACGCGACGGCGCAGGTAGCTACTGCTGCTGGTCGTTACTCGCTTCGCTAGGAAACGAGGGAGGCGCTTTGGGCCGATGAACACGATGATGAACCAAGACCGCAGATGAACACGGTGATGCGGCCGGAGCTCAAGCAGAACAAGAGCTCGAGATGAAGATGGCTCCGTCGCCAGGCCCCGAGGCTGTGCAAACGGTCGAGGAAAACGGTGAGGATGCCGAATTTGATGAAACAGAACAGTACTGGTCGGCGGAGGACTACGGCTACAGTGAACTCGCTGAGTACGAACCGTCCTACTACACGGACTACGTGAAGGATGAACCTGAAGAAGTGCAGCAGCAGAGGACCCCGAGTGGCTTCATCCCGATGTACACGGGAATGGAGAAGCGTCTGCCGGGAGGTCCTGTATTTGGCTGGAGCGTCGGTGCCCAGCAAGGAGGCTACGGTGGCTGGGGAACGGTGCCGAAGCCCACGGTGAAGATGGAGCGGAAGGTGAATGTGGAGCCTACAGTGAAGTCCCAACCTACGAGACCGGTGAAGACCCAACCGACGGGACCAGTGAAGACAGTCGCGCACTACAAAGCACCTGTCAGAACTGCGGTGAGTGCCTCAACGAACGGCCGGCCGATGCCTACCCAAGCTCGGAACGGTGGCTACCGTGCCCCCATGAACAACTCGACCGTTCGGAATGACCGTGATTTGTCGTCTATGGTCTCCAATGCGATCAAGGTCCTACCCGCTTTCTACTCGGACACGGCCAGCATAGACAAGGCGTGTAGCTGTTCGAAGCTCACACCAGCCACCTCCCGGACCAGTCTCGGCTGCTAGTGTTCCAACAACGGATCAAGGGCTCTGAAGCTGAACGGTGGTGGAACAACTGGACTATCAAGACGTTCGCGACTCTGAAGGTCCGATTCCACAACCTGTTCTTCAGCCGAACGGCTGACCAGCTCTGGGAACGGTTGCATTCCGCTCACCGTGAGCGTGGCGAATCCGTTGAGGAGTGGGGTGACCGTGTGACGGATCTTTGTGACTCGTTGGACTATCCGAACCGGAAGATGAGATATCAGCTGTTCCGTCGCGGACTCCGAAACAAGCGCATATTGGCGTGTCTCGACTCGGGACCGGCGCGCGATATTCTGGAGGCCTGCGAATGGCTATTGGCTAAGGAGATGTCGCGTCCCATTGAAGAAGAAGACGAGTTCTCGGACGAGAAGAAGAAGTCGAGCGGGAGCGATGCCTCGCCCGCGAACGACCCGATGGCGGCGGTGGGCGTGCTTGCGGAGAAGATGACGACGTTCATGACGCAGCAGCAGCAGTGGCAGCAGCAGATGACGCAGAACCGCTGGCAGCCTCCGCGCTCGCCGCGGAACCGCATGCCCAACGTTTCGGCTACGACTTCGAGCCCTGGCGCTGGAATGAACGGTCAAGGTCCTCATGGGAACGGCCGACCTGTCCGAGGAATCCGTATGGGAGCTGACAGTCGAACGCAAGAGGGGGCGCCTGTGTGTGGCCGGTGTGGCTACGTGGGTCACTCGCGAGAGACCTGCCGCCGCCAGTCCATG